TAACGACCATTCATCCTGCAATCCAAGATTTACAACAACAAAAACGTCTCAATGCAATGAACTCCTGTACCAGTGTACTAAATAGTATGAGAATAGCAAACTTAATTGTCAAGCAAGGATTGCAGATTGTGATTCTAAAGCAAATCTAATCCAGTAGATAAATATACCTGTTAACATCTTAGCAAAACCCGATTGATTGACACCAGAAGTTAGAGTTCTCAGGAGCAGGTTCCACAGCACTTATGGCTCTTTATACACATACATTTACTACATGCACTGCAAATAAGTTATCCCAGAAGCACGTAATGTTCGTAAAAGCTTAGAAGGTTCTTTTGATAAGACAAATGAAGAACATTCGAAGCCTTAAACATAAAGGAGTCATAACTAATTTTTTGCGTTTATAATAATTACTTACTCAAATATTGCCTACAATATACATTAGATAATCATATTTTATCAGGCAATTGTCTGCTAAAATAACCTTCACATTCGACATTTTACTATGAGGAAGATGATTTCAAATTAATTAGACCTTAATAAAATTTGGTTTCACACTATAAAACTTTAAAAATCCCAAATGACAGCGGCACTCCGTCATGTTTCAATACTTCAATACATTTTACTATAGTCTGTTTTGATTTGATAGTTGCAAGGAGTACTAAACATGTATCCAATACGGTTCCAAATGACCTAATATCATTTTCAATTGTAAAGCCACAACATCACACTGTGTTTAGTTCAATCTTGTTTGTTCCGCTGCCAAAACACCACGTCCTTGGAGTGAGTCTAAACTAAAACTACCTCAACTATGTAAATATTCATAAAAAATAAACACGATATAGCAGACACACAATCAGCCGCACAGACCAATGCACTGTGTGTATATGGGTCAAGCCTTCGGATAAGGACATTTGCTCATAGCCAACATCTCTAGTAGAAAATATTACAATAATAATAAACACTAATAAGATGAACGGAAGCCAACAATCTTGCTGAAGGAAAAGCCTACATGGTATGTTTCAATATTTCAAAAGAGTGCATCTGAGGTGTCCAACTTTGTGGCGCCACCTGCATGTGAAAGTCTGATACCTAAGAAGCAAAGCAGGACAGGGCCCTGTTACTACGGAACCCTCTGGAAACACCAGGTGCCACAGTGAGGCGGCTGCGGCTGCAAAGTGCCAAACAGTCATTGTGCCCTGAGGCAACACACTTAACCCACGTCCCCTGTTATGTGTTTGATGGTGGTCAGAGGAATACTGGTTGGCTTCTGTCAGTTGGAGTGCTTCTGTTAGTCTGCCACTGGGCAGCTGTGGCTATAGAAGTGTTTATCATCACTGTGACTGAATAATGACATCTGAATTCATGATAAAGTTGAATCTGAAGTATTTTATATATATCTGTTTTATATTATGAATGTGATTTAAGGACCTATATGAAAGCAGGACTTTCTTTTAACATCAGTTTGGATATTCTTCTCCTCTACGCGGAGATTAGTCAGGAAGGAAGTCTTGCTATTGTTGTTCATTTAACTATTACTAATTGAATTATTGGTGCAATTAATAATTAAAAATGCTAAATGACTATGTTTTCTGAGCACATAAACTTTAAAATGATGATAGCATTTGCCCTCAGTGCCGCATGTTTGACATTCCGTACATGGATGAGAACTTTGACTTACTCTTAAGGCGTAGGTGAAATCTCAGAAGGTGTCTTGCTCCACAGACTTGGGAACAGAGGAAGTCACAAAAGTCCGACATCCGTCACCACAGTCCATTACACGGACTCAGCAGGAAGCCTTCAGTTCTGCCACTGTGCAGCTATTCTCAGAGCCAAACACAAAAATGTCCAAGGTCCCATAAAGACCGTCCTTCCTGAAACCAGTAAACCACCACATTGTCTGATGATCCAAGACAAAAACTGTGGGTTCCTCTGGTGGGACGTGCAGCCAAACTGTAACCAAAACTTTAAAGGAATGTTCCATGAGGACAGCTCTGCACAATAAACATTCATTTCTGAGTTTCATCTCTGATTCTGCATGTTTCTATGTGGAATATTCTCCCCTGACGGACGAGAGGAAAGTCCCTCACAGTACCATACCTCAGAGGGAACAAGACCCGTTTTAATAAAGTACATGACAAGTGAGACAGGGAGTTTCCCTTATACAACAGTAACACACAACAAAAAACAGTGATTTTAAGGTGCAACACAGCTCTGCTACAGTCTTAATCTAATTTGATGATGACTACAAAAAACATTTAATAAAGATTTTCATTGTCTATTTACTCGTCCTTGGCATTTCAGAGACAGCAATCTTCAAAGTACAAAAACTCAAATATTCTAGTCCATTCAATATTCCCTGACATATTCCATCTTAAAGCACCTGTTCATGCGGCTCAAACATTCACTCTCAGATAAAACAACTAACCCTTATGTATGCTTACACAAGCCGTTCGTCCAAATCTTAAAATCTTTTAATGCCACAAGATAGCTTTCTGTGAGTGCTTTAACAGGCCCAGACATCACAGGGATCAACCACACATCTGTGAGGCTTCTGCCACCTACACTAGAAAATGTGTAAAAGCCTCACCAAGCTAACAGGGAAAAGGATATATGGGAGCAACAGTACAACAGATGCAAGAATAAAACACTGGAAAAAGAAAAGGGAGGTGATGTGGAGGAGATGGTCGTATCATGTTCTGGAAACAGACCCCAGGCAGCTTCTAAACTATGGATAATATGGAGTTGACATGTCACGTTAAACACTGTGGATAACACGGTGAGATAAAACACAATCTAAATTCAGTGTGTCAGACAAGAAGGAATACAGAGCATGAGCTATTACATAGATAAACACAAAAAGACATTAAAGTGAAAAGAAAAACTGCTCGCCTTAGTGTTGCCCATGAGCATGACAGCCTCCTCAGCCCATGAAGAAATGTGAGAACCAGCCACCTGTATTAAGTCTACTGCCTTAAGCTTCCAAACTGGTTTTATATGATCCTAGCAAAAAAATCTCCTCACACTTTTAAACATTTAAGCCCATGGTTTTTAAATCGATTTCATGCAGTATCAATAAAAACCCACTCAAATTGGTTTAAGACAATCACTTTCACACAGAGAATAGACACAGATCATATTTCATCAATTGGAAAAGACAACAAAATCAGGGTCAGATTAATATCAATCAAGATACTTTTTGCTAATGAATTCCAATGTGGGTTTTTTTTACTGCAAATGGCAAATAAACTGAATCTAAATCTGAGATACTAGGGCGCCCCCTGCCTGTAGGTCCTCACACATACACAACATCAAAGCGTGGGAGAGCAGCTTTCCTGGCGTGAAAAAATATAACTTCGCCGTTTTCTTAAAAGTGATTAAAAAAACTAAACATGTTCACACAAATAGCTAAAGAGACAAGTATGAGCAAAACCAACGCAACTACTTTTTGCACCGGACAAGGCAGAAAACAGTCCTGTATAAGCACCAATAGAAGCCGCTAAAGCGAATAAACTTGATACATGCATTAAAATGTGCTACTTGCCTTATTATATTGCGCGAAAAGAAATAATTCGTCAGTCATTCATGTTTGAGACGCTCCCGACCTGTCCGATCAGCCCAAATCCCGTTCACTTCTGAGGGAAAAACTCCTCGTCAAACTGGATGCTATAGAGAAAAAAAATCTCTGCAGGAAACGGTGACGCAGCTTCATTCCAATCTCTTAAAAAAATAATGATTTATCCATGTTGTTTGCAATAAAAGTTGTCGATATGCTTATTCTTTTGACAATAAATCTTTAGCGTCTGGCCATGTTCCAAAGATCCATGTTTTTGTTTTAAGAAAATGACTGAGTTCCTTTGGTGCTAAAAATAACAGGAGAGGGACAGTGTGAGCAGATGTCATGTCAGTAGAAAAGAAGCCAAACAATAATTTACGTGTTTATTGTTTCAAAAGTGTTACAATTCAGATCAGCAGCGTATTCGTGATCCTCTTCCAATTGTTGCATGATTCAACTCAATTACATTGTTATGCCACTGTTAAGACTTTTAGCAGTCTTTAAAAGCAGATGCCAACTATAAACAGACTTCAAAAGCATAATGGGTTGTCTAGTTCAGAAGAGTTCCCACAGCTTTGCCACTATGACCAAAATAAGAAATATCTCCTTAAATATTGACATTTTAGGGTTTAGAATACAACAACGATTTAGTAAGAATCACACATTCAATTGCACGACTACTACTGCTTTACAAATATACATGTATCAGATAAGTTATCAGTAAACACAAGGTTTTGTTCTTTAACACTTTCTAGATCATTAGTCACAAAAACAACAGTAACCATAAAAACATGGCAGTTATTATAGTTCAGGCATAACCAGAGACTGAAAAAGAGGACGTCCTTGTATGCAGTCTATGGGTATATCTAGTTGTACACAACAGATTTACAGGAGAATCATGTTTTTCCGACCTGGTAAAACACTTGAGGAAAACAGGAATCAAAGACATTGTTGCGTAGTTGAAGACATGCATGTTGTGAACACCCTTCCTCTGCACTGTTCCATGATTCAGTAAATGACACCTGTAAACTGACAGGTGGATTGGTCCATGATCCAGAAAAAAAATCAACATCTGGATTTTTCTCCTGCTCAAGCAATTTATTGGAGAGCATTCACATTATGATATAGAAGAAGATTGACCTAAAAATTAAGTAACATTAGATTGACACTTTCAAATTCAGTTTCTCTGACATTTTTGATTTGATTGGCACAGATAGAACAACAGAATAGAACAGAATAGATTACCTTCTGCTTATGTGAATGAAATGAAAATTAGCTTAATGTTCAACGTGCAAAAGTGAATCAAATAGAATGCATGATAATTTAGTAAACCTGTTCATTTAATCTGATGACCCCCTTCACTTAAATCTTGTACCCCTCAGAAGTCACTAAAGTGCACATATGAAGAGAGGCTGTGTCACAGTGTAGTAGAGTGGAACTCGCAGCTTTAACTGAGGACGACATGACGGTCGAACACAGACTTCCGCTGCTCCTGGACCTGCTTCCTCCAGCGCTGCTGAGCATGCTCCACTTTGTTCAGCATGTTGGGCCTTGAGTGTGACCGTGACAACACATTGTGTGCGTTGGCAAATGGCTGCTGATCCTGGGGGTAGGAATGCAAAGAAAGTACAGTTAGACCCTTTCACAAATGTAACAGGACTAGTAAATGACAATTAATTTCAATAATATGCTATTTAGACAGTGTGTATATATAATTACTGTACACTTGAAACAGTCATGATTACCTTGTCCAAGGGGTAACGTGACCACCTCAGTGCATGTGTGTGTGTATTTGTCAGTAGGTAAAAACTGGATGGACTGAAATGCTGAGTGCTGATGCAAAATGATGGTCTAACTTGTGTGACGATCCGTTCACGTTCTATTTATTGTAAAATTCCGATAATTACAAACTCTTAGCAGGACGATATTCATGTCATATTTTCCTGATAAATGTTTTGATCTGGAAAAACAGATTGGTATACGATTACCCCAACTATATTTCAGCACTTACCCCCACTGGAACATCGTCGTCACTTTGAATGAGCTGAGAATGTCCAAAGAGTCGTCTCTTCAACATGGGCTCCAGAAGAGTCAGATACACCATGTAGAGCAGCAGTAAGCCCAATATGGATAGGTACATAATGATGGTGAACTAAAGGTAGACAAGAACAGTAGAGTTTAAAAGTTTGTGAGAAAAAAGACCCCCTTAGGAGGTAATGGGATTCCATTTTGGATAATATAAGATAGCCTTAGGGGAATAATATATTGAAATAAATTGTATGTTTTCAATGTAAGAGGAGTAAAAATAGCTGGGTCGGTGATGTGAAGCAATATCAGAGAAAATGTTTAAATGCATTTTAATTGTTTCATAAATTCTTAGACCTCAGAAACTCAGCAAACTTGGTTATTACTGTGATGGGAGACCTCTGGGAACACCAGGTACCACTCACTTCAAGCCTCACTTCTACAGTAGTAGTTTACCACCACAGTATATGGAATGATTAAATAACGCCACGTGAAGTTTCTTTGGGTGTCCCATAAGTAGTATGCATTTTAATTGTCAGGAAGAAACATTATTAGCCACCACAACAGTTAAAACAACAAAAACAAAACAGCATTACTTACAATTTGAACTATATCAAGACATGATTTAAAATTGTAGTTTTCAACACATTTTATGCACAAAGTAATATATACACTATACATAAGTGTATATTGTGAAAATCATGTGGAATTCTACCTTGATTGTCCCAGAGCTTCTTTCCTCATATTTGCATTCACACAGTAGACAATAAGCCTCCACATCTTTGCCATCAACAGGCATGGGTTCAACTACATGGAGACAATTGCTGAGGGGAAGGACACACAAATTAGTATTATTCAAAACAAACACACGTATTAGAAAGTGTAACGTGTAGTTATTTTGCTCCTACCAGTCTTTCAGAGAAACATTTTGCTTGTAGATTTGTCCTTCTATGTCTTTGTACGGCGGACAGATGCATTTGCAGCGAATATCTTCAGCGTTCTAGAAAGATAAACCACAGTTAGTGAGTACAGTAATCTCAGAAGTACACCGTTTTTTTCTGCAACTTTGTACTTCCCAAGCCTTTACCTGGTGACAGTAACCTTATCTCATCTTTTGTCAGTTATCATTTACTTGTGTGGTTGTTGTCATTATAAAAGTGCGGTACAGTGTACATAGAAAAAACTTACCATCAACGCCAGTGCTTCATATGCAGAATAGTAAGTTACTTTTTTTCTAATGTCACCGGAGGATTTAGATTTAATGCATGTTGCAGTACCCACCAATACAAGCTAGATAATTAATACATAGGTTAAATTATAATGTTCCCATTATAATCATTTCCTCGCATTCTATGACATCCACTATAGACAGAACGATTCAACGAACATAAGACTTTGCATTTATATCGTGTTTCATTCTATGGTTCCATCACAGTTAGTTATGACTAACGCTATGGACCTTACAACAAACGCCATCGAGTTCTGTGGCACCAAAATCACATCTTACGTGTCATCATATGGCGTAATCATAAATGCAGAGTTAGCGTTAGCTTTCATTAGGCTTACCTTCGCTGTCACTGGAACAAGCAGCACTAAACACACCAGAACTGAAGCCACAGGGAGGAATAAATGCTTCATCTTTGTACTGCTCTCCATCAACTATCTCTATCTCTATTCAGCAATAAATGGAACATGCAGATTGCAACACATTAATTCCAGAGGCAGTAGGCAAAGCTAAAGCTAACCACAACAACACGGCAACTTCCGGGCAGCTGACTAGACGCTTCCGGAGGCGGTGACCGGAGATTCTGCAGCCATAGCAACGATGGCAACCATCTTGGAATTGTAAATAAATATCATGAATAACGTGCATATTATGCCTAGAAAAATAAAGAAATGTTTAATAATAGAATGATGAAAATATTCAGGTATATTTCTCTATTCATAATCTAGAGAAGGGAGTCTTAATATGAACACGCTATAATCAGCTCATACAGTGTTTAAATTGTAAACATCTGAATACGAAGTTTCATAGTTCCTTCAGTATAAATACAAGTAGCAAAGACATTGGGTATGTTTCTAAAAGGTGTTCTCTTTATTTACAATGTAACATATACAAAACAATATACACAATAACTAAGAAGTTATAATTCTTAAGTGTAACGAAAGTTTGTCTTTGGTTCCAGTCACAATTTGTTGTTGAGCTTTATTCTTATTTTTGAATACCAAAATGTTACTTTACCTATTTTTGTCAAATGGCTATGTGTGTTCATATTTTTTGCCCTAGTAAAATAACCTCTCTTGACCATATTTTTTTACATTATGTACAAAAATATTTTATCAAAGTAAATGCTTCTGTGTTAACCCTTCTCTTTTAATAGGGTTGATTTCCCCAAAACATTTGGGAATCTATTTTTAAAAATCTAATTCTTTTTCTTAACCTTATTTTGAGCCTGTAGCTTATAAACTAAACTCACTCTATGTACAGTATCTTTGACATTAGCACGCTCATTATCTACATTTTGTTTGTGTCCATTGCTAAAACTCATAAGATCTAATCTATGAGACATGTGTAAATGGCAAAGCAGGCAAGGTACAGGCAGCACTCCAAATAGTTTGGACCACAATCACACATTTTCACTGTCCATGGGCCTCCTCTTAAAGCTTGTTTTTAATGACCAGCTTGACAAATGTACAGTCCAGTTCTGGCTTGGTCACATCTATGGAGGAATAGATTACTGGTCACTGGAAAGAAACTTCTGCTCAGCAACTCTTCTTATGGACGAAGGAATCGTAGGACTTTAGAGCGCAGAAAGCGAATAAAGGATTTGGGGAACATTTCTCTTGATTCTTGTGCGGTGTAATTGAAAAAGTTTTGTGGATGGGCCAGCACATCAAACAGAGCCCTCATGAGTTTCTTGTCCTGTAAGTGGAAAAATATGGTAGACAGTGTAATTTCACTCAATCCCAGGAGAGGGCATCACTACATCTGGTAGTGGTAATTACTGTATTGAAATCTGAAATGCCTGAGTGATTTCATACTTTTAGTATTTCCTGGTGATTTTCAGAGGCATAGAGTCTTCCGTCTCTGACGATATCTTCTATCAATTCTTGGTAGTCCTCTATAAAGATATAAACAAATAATCTATGATTCATTGTATTCAAGCCACATTATCACCATAATTAATAATTAATAAATAGGCCCTTCTTACCATCATACGTCACATATGGAACCTGGAAGCCCTTCCCACTGTTGCCTTCATTGGATCTAAACTGTATCCAAAGCCTTTTGGAGCGAGAGGTGAAAGCTATGGGCCGCTCATATGTCTGACAGGTCTCATATGTGGTCACAGAGTTGGGAAGAGCTGTGGGGTCAAGTATTGGTCACAAAATGCAAAACAATATTATCTCTTACTTAACCAGAGATGACACTTACAACTTTTTCTCATGACCAAGTAGTCTCCACACTCATCTTCAATGGGTAAATAAATTTCCGGGACCACAATAAGGATTCTGCGCTTGGGAGGAGGGTTGATTGTCCAAGTACATTCAACATTTGCAGGGTAGTTTCCTGGATAATTAGGGGATTCAATAAATCCACTAAAGTCCCCTAATTCTCCACCACAATGGCGATCTGCAAAATTCAGGTAAACATGTTAGTACATTCACAAAGCTGCAAGTTATGACTTACTTTTCCAGACATACTTTTGCATTGCATGATATTTGTGGAGCCATCGAAGTCAGTTGTAGTATTTCCAGGACAGGCAACGCAGTAGTTTTGTCCAAACTCTCCTTGGTAGGTTCCCATTGGACAGCGAATGCAGCGGTGTGTGCTGGTGTTGTAGAAATGGCCAGGAGAGCATTGAACTACATGGGACAGAAGCATAAAGACATTTGTAGTCAGTTCTTTGATAACAATGTAATCTTACATTTAACAGTAGATATTAAAAACCTTCAATGTATTTTTTTTTTTTTTTTTACAATGCTCAACCTAAAGAACAGTGGAATGGACTTTACCCCTGAACATATGATACAGATGTACAACTTATCAACTCTAGGGGGCAGCAAAGATCAGGAGACAAATGAGACTTGCCCATAGGAGCCCACACTCTAAAAGAATTATACTGTCCTTTCAAATATTTTCATGTGGAAGGCATTTGTAAAGCGAAAGTATAATTTCAGCTAAACGTTTAAAACATTACCTTTGGTCTCACACTCTTGAAATGAGACGGCTCCAGTGTGTTTGGTGACCAGGTTTCCGCCACAGGGGAGGCAGGTGGTGCGTCCCACGTCAGGCTGATATGTTCCTAGTCGACAAGGCAGGCAGGGAATAAAGCCATCCCCAGAGTATTGGCCCGGAGGACACTGACCTAAACATGAACGCATGAGTCATTCCAAACAAACTGCGGAAAGCCCTGGAGAGATACGATGTTGATAGAGATATAAACAAACAGCATTTACATATTTCAGGTCTTATTCATTGTTAATTCACAATGTGTTGCCTCCCATCATCACAGAGTATAGAGCACAAGCTTAAGAGAGTCAGCGGAAAGAGTCGGTTTTTATCTGGCATCGTGCTGCTCCTGTATGAACTAATCCAAACTACACAAATCTGCAGATGGTCTTTTTGTTTAGTCTAAGAGGGAGATAAGATCAGAATTTTCCCGAAAGTGACTGCGATAACACCTTAACCTAGCAGCTCTTTACCTAAGAAACCCAAAAGCCTGTTTATTGAAATGTTTGATTCTAATTTCTTCTTCTTCTTCTTCCAGTAAACATGGTGTTGTAATCTCACGACAAAAGATTGTTTAAGATCCTCAAGTATGTATTTAACTCAGAAATCAAACTTGGATTTCAGTCTAAATAGCATCTCACCTCCACATTCTGAAAGGTTTCGAGCTCCCACCACTTTGGAGATTTCTCGTCCTTCTGGAGCAGGGCAAACATCGCAGGACATCTGCCCCTCTTCGTCCTGATACGTCCCGGCTGGACACAGCATGCACCTCCCCAGGTTCAGCTCAAAGTACGTCCCCACTGTACAGCTCACTAATTCACAGGTGAGGAAAGACAGAAACGTTTTAGTTATTTTTTAATTATGAACAGGTGTGCGGTAAAGTCAAAACAGATTTACGATAATTGCAGGGAGGGGATGCAACCCGTTTAATAATAATACATTCGTCTTGTAAATCTACGTTGATACTGACGTGCCATTCGTGGTTTTAATTTGCCACTATGCACAAACAGACGAGTGTCAGTAAGGAAACTACAACACAAACATGTGAGCCATAGACGTGAGTCATAAAAGCAGCTCTGTGTAATCAAACAGTCCAAACCACAATGTAGATTTACACTATAAACATGACAGAGCCATTAAAGTGAAGGAAGCCAGACTTCACCAGTGCAATAACACCACACACTTAAAACGGATAGTTCAGTTTAAAAAAAGAGCACTGGTCATTAAACATCAAAGCTACTCAGAAGTATCATTCAACGCCACTAATATTATTATAGTGGAAGCAAAAAATATAAAATTACAGAAAAATACTTTAAGAATTCTATACCAACAGAAAAGCAGAGTTATCCAACTTTCAAACCTCAAAAAAAATAACTATGTAATAAAATCCATCCAAGTATTTCCTCGCTTTCTGTAGAATCACCAAATTCATTGGCCCAGTTCACGTTTTTAAGCTTTTTCAGACAGCACAGAAAGGACCAACCCCACTCAGCCAATCAGCTCTCAGCCGAACACATTAAAGAGTGACTTTATGTGTGGAAAAAAGTGTTAAAAAAAGGTTTTCTAAAAAGATGAAGACAAGTCATGTTGCGGTCCGATTTGTTCATACATTGTTACTTATACAAGACATCTATATTACCAATATTTATGAAACAAAGTGAGGTACCCAAGCTTTAAAATATTATTGAGAGGCAATGTAGAGGATTTATAATTTAAAAACAATAAAACAGATCTAAGTGACAAAATTGTATCTTTGATAATATAATTCCAGGAGACTAACCAAGTCTTTCTACATATTTTTCATCTTGTCATAAAATAGACAGTTTAAAAGAGACTATAATAGAAGGATCAATTATTCAAATTATTGTATCATTTCAAACTTGTGTTTCATCATCTGTATGACCAGTCTGGGCGTAATACAGTTCAGACTCAGAGTACCAGTCGAACCTTGATCTCCATACGATGTCTCCTAAAACGAGGGCAAATAAATGAAGCCTTAAGAATGAACAGAAGGACAGCTGTCTTTTGTGAACACTTGAAACGGATCAGGCCCAACTTTAAAGTCTCGGGGATACACACCTCTTTCAAAACACTGAGCCAAATCAAAGCAAGCTCTCCCTCTCATCCAATAGAGCACACCGTCTGATTACAGAAGCCTAAGCACCACTTTGCTCTGTAATTATATTTTAGGCATTATCTCGGTCTGTCTGGGCCCTTTTGGATTTTAAGAACTCGGGCCAACTTGAAGGCAACAAAAAATAAATCTTGGTTGAACTAGAACCTATTCTGTGCATTGATTAACCAATAATAGACATGTTTATAATTTAATAAATCATTTCAACACCATCACTTATTTTTGTCCTAGTGCATAATAAGCAATTACAAAGAGAATTTGGTCCTCTAAGATAAAAATGACTAAAAGCATCTGCCCTATTAGGAACTTGACTTAAAAAATTGAACCTGATCTCAAACAAGAGTAAATCAATAAAATGTGAGCTTAGCTGCATGGCGGTATTTAAGAGTTTATTGTTATGCAAGTTTTCCCAAAGCTTTGAACAAAAAGTTTGAAACCACATCCATTATACATCACTCAGCAAGTTGTAAGATTTTCTTTAAGAGTAAGAAAATGTAATTCTCTCTGGAGCAGTTCATTTTGGGAAGCCCATTGTTTACCCTGAAAGCCCATGAAGAGCCATCATTGCATTGTCCCCTAACAGCTTTTATTTGACAGAGGGAAGCAGTGAGAGAAGAGAAAGTGAAAGAAAAAAACCTGGAAGCTTTTCAAATGCAAAAAAATGCTCTTTAGAGTCCTCGAATTGATGGGCCCCAAAGAGGTTTAAAAGACCTTTCACCTCTATTCAAGTCCCGAGTCTTTGCATGCTTGATGACATAGGGAAACACTACGGTATCACAGTGGTTAGGAGCTGAACCCAATAAAAGGGGTCAGGTTTCTCAATCCCCCATTCTGCTCGACCCAATCACTGCTCGCACCCATCAAGCCTTGGCCGAAACAGCTGATGCTAATTGATTCCCATGGTGTGGCTGAAGTCAATTCTCTTTAGCAGTTTAGTGGCTGGGGGTCATGCAAAGCAGTCCCAGCTGGGGGCAGGGGGGACACAGCACTCAAACTGCCAGCGTGAATCAACAGCGCTTCCTAAACATCTTCAATGTTAAAACAAACACGGAAACAGGTCAGGAACAGGAGCTAAATGGACTTGAACGTGTTTGCCGCGCACCATTGACAGTCCGGTGTCTGTGCGGTGTCTGGTTTCTCAAAGCACTTTGGTTGTGTAGAATAATAAATACAGCAACGTTGTTAAGAGTATGTGACGTGCTGGAGAACCCAATTTGTAATTTGTTTCATAAATACAACTGAAAGAGTCCTGTTTAAGTAACCCTTTGAAAATAATCACACCACAACATTCTGTATTCAACCCATTAGCCAATCAGCTCTCAGTATGTAAAATATGTTTTCTGAGTGAGGGCTGGTACTTTCTATTTCATGGAAAAAGCTGATCTAAAGATGTGATAAAGGCAAAAAAATGCATGCATGTGAAAACTAGTGATAGAACTTAGGTACTCCAGCTTTAAAGTATGAGTAAATGTCAAACACTAAAGTGCATAATATAAAAATAAGAACAAGACAATCATTCTGAAAAGCATCTGGAAAAAATGTTTAAGAATTATTTTTGCATCTTGTTCGGACTACACAAGCTCACAGATCGTTCTCCATCTCTGGCGCTCAGAACAAGTCCCACGTATACGGTTATTCAGTGGACTGGGCAAAGTGAAAAGGACTAAACTGCACTCAGAGCTAAGCTATAGCGAGAACTGGGGGAGGAGGGAAAAATATAGCCTCCTTTAAAGAGCTGGAGGTTAAGAATGCTTTTCAGCTTCCCCTCCTCTTCCAAATTACATGTCTACACCCCTGCCATGACCAATAGACTGCTTAATGTTGACCTGAAAGCATAGTAGGGGAGTTAAGAAATCAAGACAACTTATATCCTGCCATAGTAAGTGATTGAAGAAAGAAAAAGCTAGGTTTAAAAGGAGGCCAAACGACTATGAATGATTACTCTAAACCAAACAATGTTTATTTTTTGCAAGCTACTGTTAATCTATTACAAATCACTAAGAAAAAGCCAAAATGCACATAATCTGAATAAACATTAAAACTTTTCGCCCCTATTACCAGAAGAGGGGAGAATTACTTTTCCATGAGTGATATTAAGTGGTATAAGTAGGCAGCAACTTACCGAGAGGCCCCGTGGTAGGGGCACTTTAACACCAGCCAGAGAAAACACAAGGCTGCCTCCTGCTTAGATAGTGTGCGGTCCCACATACTAACATTTAAGCCAATGTAGGTTGTGTATAAAAAGCCAAGACTTGAGAGTGAGTAGCTGCCAGAAGCCCTCATATTACACACCCCCTATCCCAGGGAGAGATGCTGGGCCATCTCACAGCTCTTTGGGACAACAACAGGCTTTCTGTTCAGCTCACCGCGGCTGGCTCATTACACCACGTCTGCTAACCAAATATGGCGCTCATCTGGCCAACACCTGCACTAAATCCAATCATTAAAACCACTTGTCTGAATACATCTTACTGGGGAGCATGCGTTCAATTACTTCAATCTGGATCTACTGTATTTCAGAAGCTGCTTTCAGTGTGTGTGTGTGTGATGACTGAGTGAGTGTTGGCGTTGTAAATTGAATACAAACTTACCACATTTCCTGTTCACAAGCACCTGACCAGCAACGCAGTGCCCCGGGAGCTCTGCAGGCTGGACCAAGCTCTTTCCCAGCTCGTAGTCTGATCCGGCAAAGTGGAGGTGGAACTGCTCCCGATTTATGGATTTTCTCAAGGTCCGGATGGTCTTTTTGAGTCTCTTCTCCGAACGCCGGCGCACGCAATTCAGGTCGCAAGTCTCTGCTGAGAAAAACACTTTGCTTTGTCAGTCCTGTTGGAGACATTTGCGGTACAAAGACATGCACATGCTGATGGTAATGTAATGTCAAGCCCAGCAGCCAAACAAACAATCCCAGAAGTTCAACCGAAACAGGAGATACTTTATCAATTAATGTATTACGAGTTATAAAAAAAGACAGCAGCCACAGACCAGGTGAAGTAGGGAAAGAGATTTCAGGCAGTGGGCAGAGAGGAGGTGCAGAGACCAACCTGTTACCTCCTCTGGGTTCACATCCAGCACAAACTCTGCGGTGATGGAAGAGCCGTCCTCCTCGCTGGTTTTTCTGCCGTGGCGACTCCGGGGGCGTTGACCGGACGACATGCAGCGGAGGCTCACAAAACTGAACTGGACATTTTCAGTGAAGGGGAACAAGCTGTCTGTGGGGATTGCAGATAACTGATCAATACAGCACAGATAATGACAAGGAATTCATCAGTCAACATAATTGCTATATTTAAAAAACATCACCCTATTATTTTATGGTATTGTAGATCTCAAATTGTGGACTTTCAGCCTTTTTTTTACTTTATTATAACTGACAACCCACATTAGACGCAATTGTAAAAGTGTACTACATTACCATAGTCATTAGATATTATCAGAAAGGCTCAATCAAACACCTCGCCTAAAGGTCATTGCGCCATAGGAAACCCATGATTGAATGCTTGGTCAGAGACAACTTAGAGCCTAGTTTGGGCTGATTACATCCTCCGCTGTCACCTCGAGACAAAACACAACACTGAGACATCCAAGACGTCTCAAACCGCAACACTTTCCCACTATAATTTCTTTCATGTTTGCTTATGCCTTTTTGGTTTCAGGTCTGGTTTGTTGTTTGTATTTCAATATGTCTCAAGTGCAGAACTACAATCATAAAGAAGGGACCCGGAGAGTATAATGTTAAGCAGTGGGGGATCCTAACCTGAATGTGCCAAGTTTATACTCTCTTTGAGTTTTTCCTGGCTTCGTTTTAAGTTACACTTTGCCGTGCCGGACCGGAAGGTGGCTGTCGTCCTTATACGTGGAACACTTGTCATATCTTGACCTGCAAACACAAAAACAAAGAGTTTCTATTTGGTTTGGTCGGACACAAAGAGTTGAGGATGCTCAGTGAAAATATTGTATCATCCATTTGAAGAAAAGGTTGAAGCAAAAGTTCTTCCCGTTTGTTCTGTGCGTATGGAAGAGTACTGAGGTGAATGAGAGTACTTGCCGAAGCAGTGCAGGCCATTGTTGCTACTTTGAACATCAGACGGGCAGGGCAGAGGCGCTCCACAGGTCACTGTGTATGAATCCTCTGTGCCTAAAACATACAAAATGAAAGCCACAAAAGTCAAGTTAGAGAAAGCAAATACACGGCAAGTAGGGACATGAAGCACTGCTCTATTGACTAATGTTTAACTACTCTTCAAAGAACATTATTATAACACAATAAAGTAATGATTAATGATTAATGAGCTGGTCTATATACTCGAGGTATAGTATTTCAAAGTCAAAGAGTCATTTTGTCATAATATACAATTATTTTCTACCAATTGAAAATAAACTAACAATGGTATGCCAGTGCTGAGGCATTAGAAAACATCCACAAAGCTTTAAAATTAAAATAAAGGTCTCACCGCTGCTGATATGAACTTGTGACTGGCAGGTCAGGGAACAACGATCCCCTCCCTCCTGCTTACTGCAGTTCAGTGTAGGTTTAGTGGAAGTTTTGGCAGGTGGCAAACTCTCAGTCTCTAGATGGAAACCAGAATATAACTTCGAGATGAATAGAAAACTTGGGAGACAATGGGCATAGGACCCGCTTCTGACAGATTAGTCGCAAACAACAAATGGCAGAGATTAAAAGAAGAAAGGGCAGCAGAGTTCAAAGTATCTCCTGTTTTTTGTTCCCCATTTTGTGAATTCAACATACAAACATGAAGAAGTGGTATTACCAATGCAGTCTTTTTTATTCCAGTGCAGTTTGTGGCCAGGATAGCAAAAGCATTCGAATCCACCCAAAGTATTTTCACATATATGCTCACAGCCTCCATTGTTAACACTGCACTCGTTTATATCTGCAAGACAAAGTAAAAAAACATTCTAATATCATTTGAATAAGACATGCGGTGGTATCGCACTGTATAAATGTTACGCTCAACTTGTTTTGTGTGGCTGCCTCCACCCAATGGGGTCTCACCTCCACAGTGGGCCAGTCCATACATGGTGAAGCCTTTGTTGCATAGGCACTGAAAACTACCAGGGGAGTTCACACATGTGTGATCGCAGGTCCGCTCAAAGAAGCACTCGTCTATATCTGTAATCAAATGCATGACATAATAGCAGGGCAGTTAGGTAAAGCCTTCATCATGAGGGATTTCCCATGCACCCATGCTTCGCCCTGATGCTGAGCTCATCACTTACACTGCGTTGTACTTAGTGCCATGAGCTCAGCATCCTCCAGACAATAACAGTGATAATTATCACGCCCTTGCACTTCAAATGGATGGTTTTAGATAGTACATTTTGGATAATATACTTTCTCTAGATGTGCTCCACCATCACTATTGATTCGCTGGATTAGCCGTTTATCATATTTTTGCACTATAAGGCACACACATAGAAGCCAATCATTTTGCCTGAAGCATTGAGTTACATAAGTCATAGAGTTTATAATGCAAGTTACAACTGAAAAATTATTACGAATATTGCACTTATAGAGTTGGACTAATATATATATATATATATATATATATATATATCGGAAAATACATTGAGTAATGTTTGATTTACCTCATAATCTGTTTTTTTTTTTTACTTCTTTTTTTACTTCTTCATAATTGAGATGAAGAAAAAGGACAAGTGTACTACATTGTGCCTTTGTTTACAGGTAAACCAAAATGAACTAATGTTCCTTATTATCCGGTGGGCCTTATATTTAATTTTTTTTTAAAAAGCACGATCATGGACAATGCGCCTTATATTCAACCTAATGGTGCAACAAAAACACGGTATGTCGATTGTAGTGATTGCATAAAACACATTGATACTGCATTGACTTCAACAAATTAATTCACACTAACATTTCTGAGAGCAAATGATACCGTTATTTATTGATAATGTCTTTACCTTGGCAGGAGCGCTCGTCTGTGAGAAGTTTGAAGCCTTTTTGACAGTTGCATTCAAAGCTGCCGATGGTGTTTCTACAGAAGTGATCGCAGCCGCCGTTATTAACTTCACACTCATCAATATCTGCGGACGCCACAGGACAGCAGGGTATTGTACGTTCACTTTCAAGACAGACAAACAAAACAGTATTGACAATGAGACATCCTTTCTTACCTTTGCACGTCTTTCCGTCCGGCTGTAAAGTGAATCCAACTGGACAAGTGCAGCGAACGCCTGTGGACGTGTCTTTACAGGTGCAGTCACATCCTCCGTTGTTCACAGCACAAGTCTCTGAAGGAAACAGGGTCCATTATGACACATACATTGATTTATACATGATTTATATATAAATCCGACATTATCTTTCTGGAGGGATTTGCTCGGTTAATCCCTTACAGTTGCAAAACAGTTGAAAATGGGATGGGGTCAATATCAGTACCATTTTTATTATTTTATTATTATTTATTACTATTTATTAGCCAATCCTGTCCAATTATTTCACTGCTCTATTTGGAAATGTCAAGCAAAGATGTGAAAATATGCTGATTATAGGGAATATTTACAAAAAAGTAGATTAGTAGTGACCAATAATGGAATACATCCCAGTTTGGTTATTCTTATTTAATATTTAATTTCTTCGTCTTTGTCTTTTGGCATGAGCCTGTAATAATACAAAAATATCACTGACCCTGACTCTTCTCATTTGTTTTTCTCTTGCAGTACCATAATGCCATGCCGAAAAAGCAAATGATAATTATTTAGTGAACAACTAACAATGGCAACAAGATAGAAACTAGTACAATTGTGTTGCTTACTGAAAATTATCTTTTACTTAATAATTAGTCAAAAGTAATACTGTTGCTTGATATTGTTTGCTCCATGTTTCACTTTGAGTTTCCACATGTATGAACTGTGCTATCCAAATAAACGTGACCAATTATATGTATATATATCCTACAGAGTGACCCAGATTTAAACCTTTCAGAAAGACAGATTATTGCATTATGTAAACCAGGTTAACCCAGAATCATAATACTGATGAATACGATGCAGAGAGCTTCTCAGTCAGTCCTGCCCATGTAGAAGGAAAATGTGAAATATACCACATTGTCACAAATGCATATTTTAGTCGAGAATGAGGGGGACAAGCCAGCGAGGCTGTAGTCATTTCACAGTTTGTTCAAAACGCTTAGGAATGTGTTGGTCTGCTACAGGCAGCTCAATATTCAAGCATCAGCACTGAACATAATGTAGTTTTATCCTTGTGAGGATTGGATTACCCATCAGGAGCCTTCGCTTCACCCGTTTATCCACTTCAGTAAAGGAGGTGGCGTTGTTGTCTGCAGTCTCTGTGGTGGCCTCATCTCGTTCTGTGAGGGAGATAAAGTCACAATACGTGTTATCAGTGCTTTCAAATACATGTGGGACATATTCATTTGGAATCAGATAACATGACAGGACCTCACACAGCAAACTGAGCAGTGCTAATCTCTCAATCAGAATTATTGTGCAAAACATGAAAACATTTTTTACATAAAACTTTAACCTAGAATAGAATAGAATTAATTGTAATAATGATTTAAATAAAAACAAAAAGGTGTCTTACCTAAGCAGGATCTCTTGTCAGACTGTAGAGTGTACCTGGGGTGACACTTGCATATGGGACCCTGATCTGTGTCCTCGCATGTGTGTTGGCATCCCCCATTACCGTGAATACACGTTACTGTAGAACAAATAACACATCATGCACTCTGAAATATCATTTTATTACAGTTTGTTTTGGCGTAGCACTTACAAATGCAGCCCCTCTGGTTCTTGGCCAGCTCGAACCCTGGACGGCACTCGCAGGCCACTCCTCCCTTGGGAGTCTCTTTGCAGATGTGGGCGCAGCCGTGCTCCTTATTCATACAGTTGAGGCCCTCTGGAATAAAAAGGGAAAAAGAAGTTCACAATGCAGCACTCCTACAGTGAGTGACCGGCTCCACACAAAGAGCTCACACCGAGAGATTAGTCTAGCATCCTAAAAGACAGTGATTGTTCTCACGCCGTTCACAATCCAAAACCATAAGCCAAAGTGATGTTTTTGAGCTTTAAAATTATACATCACATTTAGTGGTAACAAAATAAATAAAGCAATTATACTAATTGTAAAAAACTAAAATGTAGAGAATGTTTTCTGTTTTTAAATGGGCCATTTGCGTTTGTGCGCTACTCATTTCTAACGTTAATTCTCCCACTTGAGTGAGACATGAACGTTAATTAGAGACTGACAACATTGTAGACAGAAAAACAAAGCAGGGCACTGACCCACAGACCGGTGGATGCAGGTGTGCTGGTTGTCACTGAGGAAGAATCCATCTTTGCAGCGGCATTCGTAGCTGCCCATGGTGTTGACACAAGTGTGCTGGCACCCACCATTGTTGAACTTGCATTCATCCACATCTACAAAACAACCACAGAGATTAACCATTAAAAATACATCTTCAGTCCTTTTGATACATCCAGGGCTCACAAAGCAGCTTTACCCAGGCAGTTGTGACCGTCATGTGCCAAATGAAACCCATCATAACAAGTGCATCTGTAGTTCCCTGGTATGTTGTTGCATTCATGTACACATCCACCATTGTGATCCAGGTCGCATTCGTCTATGTCTGAAAGGAAACAAAAATCAAACCGCCATCTCAACAAAACTGAAAACAATTTAAAGACCCAACTGTTTTTCGATTTTTTTATGCCCGTGCTTCAAGACATCAAAATACAAAGGCAAGTGTTCAGGATTCAAACCTTAATGTTACCTTCACATTGTTTTCCGTCACCTTTGAAACCTGCTCTGCACGTGCACTTGTATGAGCCTGGAGTCGTTTGACAAATAGCATCAATGTGACAGCCATCACTTCCATCTGCACAGGGATCTGCTGAAATGCAAACGAATTATTCCACAAGCACTACAGCTGGAGACAACCGAGACACACGAGTGTATGAGTTTAAATTGTCCACGTGAGATGTAGTAATATCATCACGGGCTATACCAAAATATACAAGAAGTCTCATTTCGTTATTGTTGAAAAACAGCGTGCACGTGAATATGTCGAGCAATAAAGGCTATAAATTGTCACGTCAATGTGCGCCTATTAAAAACACCAAAGGGAAACAGCGAGCGCGCACAGCTAAGCGTGCGTAAAGTTTGTCCCGTCGTAAGAAAAATACACACTCACTCACTACAGTCCCAGCTCGATTCTCTGCGAGCGCTGCGCTTTGACGACTATTTAACAAGAGGAAAAACAAACAAAAGTCCCTCGCAGCCCAAATAGCTCCCATGGTGATATGATCCAAGTTTAGAGGTCTTCTCAAAAGGACGCGTACGCACTGAAGTCGTGACCGAGCGCCCGCCTCATTTTCATTCTCGCCTGTCAATCTGCTTCACAGGGGCCTTTAGAAAAGAGAAAGGAGCGAGGAGCCGCGTGCACGTGTACGCGCGTGCACGTGAGTGTGCGTGAAGGGGAAGAGAACCACGTGCACGCGAGAACTCTTTGAAGCGACGCGGTGCAATGTCACTTAAATAGAATATTCTGACATTATAACTGGAATCTCACAAACTGAAACTGGGATGGTCCAACAAAACACAACAGGATATGTGTGTTTTCACCAATGACTGTTACAAACTTTGATTTTCTAATCATCAATTATGTTAAGTGCTTCGAGAGAACCGCTGTTATCATTTTGATAAGTACAAATTACATGAATTTGACTGAATCTGTAATGCTATTCTGTACTCGGCTCGAAGTCACACGTCTTTATTTGGATTGTTTTTTGTCAGACTGGTCTACGGTCTGCTCATTGATTGAGCCTCGAGCATCGGTTTTAGGTTATCGTGCGCCATCTAGTGGCGGATGGTAAAAAATACATTTCATTCTCAGGAAGCGCGTCACCTAGTGCTCGAAAAGAGAACACAGGTTTTTTTCCTTGTGTTACAAAGTACAGTCATGCGAGATGTGTTTTGTGAGGACTTTTTATTACAGTAAAGATCTACATTGTGGTACAGTATACAAAAAGTATTGAAAAACATCTACATTTCATGCTGAACAGAAGTGCACAAATATAATAAAAAACGACTTCTCAGAGGCTTGACACCAGTTTATCATTTCAGTAAAAAAGTTCTGGTAATAAATAAATATAAATTACAAAAGTTCAAAATTAGGGCAATTCTTAAGGCACATTCATTACCCAAAATGTGCCTATTGAAAATATGGCAGCACCCTAAGGACAGAAAAAGCTTATTCCAGAATAAAGGGAAGCAGCATCATAAGAATTATAAGTCTAAGCACTTTACCCTACCACACAAATGTGTATTATCAGCAGCTTCACATAAGGTTATTGTCAATTATGGAAGTTGATACAGCGATAATTGAGATGGTTATGCACTGTGAAAGGAAAGTACAATTTCAGAATAGCTTTTATGGTTTATGCAGTATTGCTGAAGCAAGTGAAGCCTTGTCCAAGAAAATTTGGTTTAGAAGAAAAGCCACTTCATGCTGTAATAGCAGGAGTGAAAAAGAGCCCAGAGACCTCCCAACATTCAAAACGTCTGCATAGTTTGAACAATTGTATTTTCAAAGAAATCAAAGTTAACAAGTTGCAAAAAGCGGCAACTATAATCCCTGTATTTATTTAAACTTCTCTTTACTACTCTAAATGGCTTTATAGCGCTAATGGAATAAGTAAAACCTCGTTGGATAAACCAGTTCAGTATAAGAAAATCGAGTTTTAGCACCAACTGCTAAAAAGGAAAATAATTCAGAAGTAGTGGTACCAATTCCTGATATAAAGAAGTACCACAAACTTAAATGAAGTATTTACAATACATTGTGTTGACAATGTGCATTACTATTTCACAATTAGCTGTACAAAAAAATAATAATAAATAGGCAGGGGAATGTACTGCATTCATGGTTTTAAATCGCCTAATTCATTCATCCAACAGGGGACAAATAAAAAATAAAAAAAATGGTTGTGTTTACATTTAAATGCAAAAAACAAAACAAAAAGTTGTCATTATAAACACAATAAAATCTAACAAGTTCATTTACAGCTAACATACTACAGAAATTGTGCTGGTGTCAAGATTAGCTTTTGTGCTAAAATATCTACGGGTCACATGAACATTTACAAAACCAAATTGTTAACGCGAAAAGTCAGACAAAGATGGCATACAAAAACTGTTCTTCAGGATTGATATGTATAAAAACATGTACTATTTACAATGTGTAGATTTTCTAGAAAAATAAACAAAGGCATCTCAACAAAAAATGTGTTCCTATAAATAATACTAATGCCCCTTTTTGCAAAAAGTATACAAAAATGTAATGAACCAAGAGAACTACGCTAATTATTAAAGTAAAAAGATAAGTCTGCCACTGGAGACAAATCCACCCTATAAAGGTGTACGACAAAAGCCATCACCAGGTGTCTTTGATCTCTTCTGATAGTTTCGGCGGAAGAGACTCTGGGAGGTGTGTGGCCACCTGTGTGGATACCAGCGTCTTCTGCTTTTTGGTGTTGCAACAGGGCTTAAAAAGACGAGGATCGATGATGACCTCTCCAAAGCGCCCTTTGTAGACTATACCACAGCAAACCTTTTGCCTAAGACATCATAAATACAAATCATACATAAAGGATTGGTAAAAGATGCAATAATACATTATGAATTTACTCTATGTGGCAACATACCGTTTCCAATATGTCCGATCCAAAAAGGAATAGATGGACGGAGACGGCCTTCTTTGTTTGGATTCAATATCTGAACCATCATCTGATTGGTTGCTGTAACTGGGGGACTGGGCAGGAGACACACTAGAGGTAGTGCTATGGGCATCAGAATCTGGAATGAAAAATAATGACTATGAATTTAAAATAGTCAAAGAGTTGGACAGGAGTGCATTAAGAAGAATAGTTGGCATACTTTGACGTTTTAACTTGTGAAGCTTCTTTAGTTTGCTCTTCTTCTTTCCATCACTGTTCTTCATCTTCTTAGGTTTTGTCATTTTGAAACCTGGCCCTGCCCTGGCATCAACCACCTGCACAATCACAAAAAACATGTAACTTAAAAATGAATTTTGAACATTGACATAATTAGAAGAGACACAGAAAAATACTTACGTGGTTCCAATTCTTCTTAGATCCATGAGGCAATTTCTTCCACCTTTTTACTAGTAAGACGCAGGCATTACAAATGTCCCCAACACGTTCCTCTGACAGCCTTAATACAATTTTAGAAGAGTTTGTTAGAAAATGTGCGTAACTATACACATTTTTACGGTGTCTGTAAATTAGGAATACTTACCCAAAGCAGAGCCTGAATGTTTCTTCATACCGACTGCTGTCTGTGAAGCGAGAGCTGGAGGACTTGGTCTTGCAGATGCAACAACCATCATTACTCCGGTAAATCTTTGACTTGTGAAAGCCAAACATAGTCTTACTATTTCTGTAAACTCACAAATCTGTAAGGCAAAAAAAACGCGGCAGACTTTAAAACACAGTACTGGAGCCTTTAAAATACAGTAGTACCATGGACCCACGCAGCGGATTTACTACTGAAGGGGGCGGTTCCAACACTCACAAAAACAAACATGCTCATGTCTTACTCTTATAATTTAAACTCAGTATACAATCTAATAAGAACCATATTCATAGTATTGTATGAAAATGATTGAAACCCGTACATTTAGGATAAACATTTTATATTACAGGCTGCTTGAAAAAACCTTTAAAATATTTTTTTGTACAATTGCTAAAATTGCTACACTAAAGACACACTAAAAGACACGAGTTATCATTTCCCACAAAACGATTTGACGAAAACTCTCAGAGATCGGACGGACATTTCAGAATCAGGCGCACAAACCAATCCTGTCAACAAAACACACCTGAATAAACCGACGTTTGAACGCGTTAATTCATCAACAAAACAGCCAGTGTCATTTAACACAACAAATGTGTAATTTCACAAATCAATTTATTACAGAACTAATGCAGTAGGCAGTGACAACAGAGTCGAAGCAAAAAGCGGGATGCAGCTCGTTTTGAAGTGAAGAAACAAAAAGCTACGGAGCCAGACAAGAATTTTGTTTAACATTTATAGATCCTTATTTGTACATGTAAACATTCGATTGAGTAAACATCGTTGACGATAAATGAACGGTGTCACTTAAGTGCCAAAGACCGAGCTTATCCCTTTAAATTCTAACTTTTACTCCGGTGAGCGCCAAATACAGCTCATTGTTGTTAGCCATTAGCATGTTAGCTTAGCCAGTGTAGCTAACGAAACCACGCCACGCTCTCGTTGACTTCCACGTTATCCCATTGTCGAGGCGGCTTCTCTTTGTATTTTGCGCCACTACATCTATCACAAGTTCGTCAGCTCGCAATTACAACGCAAACCAATATAATCGACATCATACTCACATTCACCGAGGAACAAATAGAAGTGCATTTTTGTTAAAAGCAAATAAGAGCAGACTTACCGAACAAAAACTTTGAATCTTCGCCGTATTCTCCACACACAATGCGCATGCTCATACTACGACTGCATACAGCTGTGCATTAGAATAACATTTGCATAAAAACCCCGAATGAAAGGGTCGGGCTGAAATGACCATATAAGGACTGTGGTTGTCGAGTTTGAACATTCCTTCCACCAATCAGCATTAACCGCACGTCCCTCTCGTTAATGTTGCATGGTGGGATTTGTAGTCATGCAGCTTAGCCTGACCAATCATTTGCACAACGGTTAAACTACATGTCCCAAAATGCATTTCCGACCAGCCCCGTAGAAAACGCAGCTTTGTAATGGCGCGAAAGATTGTTTACGTCTATCATCGACTGAAAATGTAAACATTTTATATGTGCACAAACATTTGAGTCGGGTTATTGCTCCCACTTCTATTTGTTATAGAATTTTAGTCTCCTTAGCATTTTAGACACTTTATTTTAGTATTTTTACACTGTACACTTAGTAAACACTACATTACACATGTCAATGAATGTACAACAATTTTTGAAAACAAAAATATAAATCTTCCAAGATGCTCATTAACTGTACACAAATGGGCACAACACCGTCATTCCAGACATTGTTGGCACAGAAAGAAGTCCTTCACATAGCATTGTTCTGCACAGTACAGTCCATTGTAACTGAAAGGTCCCAGTAATAACACTTGATGTGTTAGGGATTACTTTGATTTTATAATAGATTTTGCATAGCAAGAAACTATGAGAATGAGACCAGTGGGGGAAAGCACGGTCACAATATGCATGTTATTTTCTTTCAGTATGGACTTAGGACTAAATATGGCCATATGTATTTACAAAAAGGTCATCAATATGATCCAAGAATATCTGGGTCAAGTGACAAATGGTAAACTTGGGGCTTCCCTTCCTCATACCCAAACACAATATTTACTTGTGGATGACAGTCCACAATCTTATAGTCATGCAATGATCTTCATTCACTGCAGATAATATTGTCATTTTCCCAAACCATAATATAATTAATTTTATTCAGATAAATGTATGTGGTTACTATTTCACCAAAAAGCCTCTGCCATACACATACTTATAAAGCATACTTCTACATCACTCGCTTTACGCTCTGCAATATGACATTGGAATCCGAGTTTACAACAGAGCAAGCGACAGATTTAACAAAATAATACTGTTTTATCTGAAAATATAAACCATTTGATTTTCCTTATCCCTTAAATAGAAACATTATCAGCAGTTCACAATAACAAAAAAATATTTAGCTTTTAACAATGTAACACATGTAGGTCAGAGTCAGTAATGTGAAAATGGTCATATTAGAAAACATATTATAACATCCGATGACAACATCATTCAGAATAAAAATATCAACATATGTTGAAAGGCTCATTGCACTTTTCATATGGCAAATGTAACAGTAGCTTTAATATAAGCCAGAAATGTCCTTTGTTCAAGTCTGATTCTGCATAAAGAGTTTGCCTTCTTTGTTTTTGATGCGTCTGATGGGGATTTGTTTGGTTAGATGCCCACCCCTTTGACGAGAGACGCCTCTAGGGTGATATTAAACTCCTGCAGAGTCTGAAGCACTCTGATCAGAGAGTTCACCAATGTCCGGTCTTTGATCAGTGCAGTGTCCTCGTACATCTGAGCCGTGATCGGGCAGTCTGCCAGCAGCGCAATCCAGTGATGTAGCAAGTGATCCCTAAGCAAGGAAAAGGAAATTAATTGAAATTTGCTTGTCCTTTGGGAAAAAAAATTATAATAACGATATGTATATGTCATTGACAGTGCTCAAGTCGATGTGTAATTGTACCATACCAATATTTCTCAAAGTGTGGTGCATGTACGCAATAGTCAGTAAGCGTTCAATTCAATTACCTGAATTTAGCGTTTATTTAATTCCACATTTTTGTACTCATTCAGGTTCCTTCTCAATTAGCATTGGTGGAATTCTACTGAGTAGTACCCTTAGCCCTAATATAGAGGCGATAAAGCCATGTTTTTGACCTGGTATCAGTAGAGTGATACTCTATGAAGTAATCATTTGGTTAAAAACCACTGGACTATAAACTGGCGGTTCAATCAAGATTTCCCACAGACAATCTGAAGTACAGTATCAAAGTTTGTAATTAGTAGATGGAAATTACCATCTCTGAGTTTAAACAGGTAATTGTGAAACGTTCAACCCTCAGATCATTTCAGTCAGCCACAATGATGTGGCGCCCTTTCACTGGAAGAAACCATTAAAATATCAGATGCCTTTGGAATCCCCACAGGAGATATCACGTTTTGTAGCTTTCCTGCAGATCACTTTGTAAATTAAATAAAGAATACCATGTTTTATTCACATGGCACTATAGTATTGACCCTTAGAATAAATGAACGTACACAGTATATATCATCATCTGTAACACACACACACAATATTAAAAAAAAAACATGGAAAATATACCTGGCTCCAAGACAGACCATCATTTGAAACTTCCCATCTTTGCCAATATTTCTTGGATTGCTGTTGATGGCACGCATAAAACGGCAAAAGTGGCGCACTCTGCTCTGCCAGTTTTCGTCTGGATTCACCTCTCTCTGTTCAGCGCTTTCAAAGTAAATCTGTGATTTTTCTGGTAACAAAAAATATGTATTAGAATAATTATATACTCATAGAATAACTTAGAACATAATGTATTTACCTAAAAAATCCCAAATAAAAACATTTTTAAATAAGCGGGGTGATTTGAATCCATGTTGGAAAACTTGCTCCAGAGCCCAGACAAGACCATACTCTCCACAAAGTAGAAGCGTTAAACTGCCCCTCTATAAGTACGTCATAAGAAAATGAGTTAAGTGTACATTTTATTCAGGACATAAACATAAACGTATAATAAAATGATAATGCTTCTACAATCAGACGACCATCAAGACCACACAAAGTATTCATGCTCCTGATGAATAATGGAGGTACATGTTGGAGCCTGTCTAGACGCCCGTCTCTCACCTCCTTTTCCGGCTTGTGGAAATGCTTTACAATCCCATTGATGGCTTCTCCAACTCCCTCTTGGATCTGCCCTGTGTTTAGCTCTGGATAAGAACAAAGACAAAAGATGAAGCGACGCATGTAGTGACTTGTGCCAGTGTGTCCACCGTTTAGCTTTCTGTACTCATAAAACTTAAAAGCAGCCGGGTTTAAATGAACACATGTTTATAGCAGGCACAGAATTATCATCAGCAAATAAAAAAAATCATGCACTTACTTGGTTTACTGTTTGGCGAGATGGTGACAAACCTCCTCATCATGCCAGGAGACTGTTGCATTGGAGGAGTGCGGCAAAGTCTTTCATCATTTTCCGAGCTGGGGGTCATGAGCTCCCCAACAAGAATCCTCTCCAGACTGCCATCATCCACACCTTTACCCAACCACCGGCCGCAAGGAAATCTGACCGAACAACACGTTTTAGGACAAACCAGAAACAGCAAATGGTAGATATGGTGTACACTTACTTGTATGTGTGTCCTGTGATTTCATTGCGCACTAGAATGCACTCCACTAGCCACTTGGCATAGAGACCTGAGTTATCGTGACCCATCTGCACCGTGGTCAGCTTTCCCAGGTTCTGACACTGAAAGCAAATGCAATGAGTATTATTTTTCATTATTAAATTGTTAGGAATTTAAAATGATAATCAATAGATCTCTGCTTATTGATACATTTTAGTGAATAATCCAGTACAATTTGGAGCTCAATATCTATCTTTGCTATAAACCAATTCAGATTCAGACTGAAAAATATTTTAAAAAACAAAGGAAATGTCAGACAGTAACATAAGCGATATGATATGAAGTTCCAATACCAATTTAAAATTTCAATTTTGTCTAATAACTGATTCACAATTGACGCAAGCAGGAGCATATTTTCCTGTCATTCAATTCAATTCAATGTATTCTTGTATAGCCCTAAATCACAGCAGTTACCTTGGAGGACTTTACACAACCGTTGAATTCGTCAACACAGATCAGAGTATCACCAGTTCAAACACAAGAAATGAAATAGAAAACCAACATAAGGGGCAGATGACCAAGATCCATAAGTGTTAATAAATATAAATGTTTGTATTTTTCGACCAATGACCGTTTTAATACTTCTTTGATAAGCTTGAGCTAGTCACCTATAAGACGAATACATTTACAAACTATCTTCCATCATTGTGAATTCTATCATGACAGGGATAATACTACATTGTCACCAGAGTAGTCACTAACCTCAAATGTGATTTCCAAAGTATTTCTGGGGACTTGCAGAACACCTGTCTCTGCAAGTTCACCGGAAACACACACCCAGGGGTTTGCTGTGAACATGGACCCACTCAGCTTCTTACTGGAGACCACCACCACATGGTACGGGATCACTGTGGGGAGAGTTAAAACATAAATCCATTAAGTTTCCCATGAGTTGAAAATAAAATGAAATTGAAAGTATTAAAAGGGTGGTTATGTTGACGCTTACTGATCGTTGTAAAGACATTGGTGAAACAGAAGTAGTCCACTGCATTGAACGAGAGGAGGTGATACAGAAACTGCTCTTTCTCGTCATCGCAGCGCAGAAAGGCATAACGTTTGTACAGTTTTCTGTGTAAAACCAAAAAAGCAGAAATGTTATTCCTGCAAACACAACAGTGAAAAGCACAGCGGCGGCACAAAAGTCAAAGAGGCAGACCACTGACCCACTTCTACGCAGACGCATTAATTATGAACGAGATTGTCAATTATTTAGCTTAAAACTGAAATGCATCAAGATGTTTTGCAATCTCAGAGTGCGGGGACGCAGATGGTGAACGGTGCATTTCGATGACAAGCCGAGGAAAACGTGGTGAGGCACAAAAATGAGTAAACAAATATTACTTGGTGAGCTCTTGATCGGAAAGCAGTTGTTTCAGATGTCTGGAGAGCAGCTTCTTCTCCATAGAGAGGCGAACCCAGGCCCGGGCTTTTCCAACATCCGTCTTGATTTCACTGATGTTCTGAATGTGCCTAAAAAGGGAAAGAGGAGAGTTTCCAAAATGTTGCGCTGAAAGGAAAATGTTGGAAAACCCAAGGATCCAATACAGCGTTTGTCGCAGTGTAATCTATTCCTGAATGGTATGCAATTCTATTTTTTTGTCACTAAAAACAATTACAATATAACAGGAAGATTGGAGTTCATGTTTATACATTTAATCAAAAGGCATGCGCTAAAAGATAAACAGTAGATTGAAGTCATAGTTACCCCTTTTTAATGAACTGTGATTATATAGGATTTAAATACCTTGTGTGATTGTTTTTTTCCAGTTTTGTTCAGCACTTTGAGTTTCCTTGTGTATGAATTGTCCTATACGAATAAAACTTGCCTTGCCGTGCCTACTTAGCCACATTGAACCCTCTACAGCTTGTTTTAACACAAAAAACAGCAAAACATATTTTTGCCATTGCTCAAAAAAATCTACAGACAATAAATATTGAGGTCCAAAATACATATAGTGTCATACAAGAGTCAATGAGTCAATAAGTAATTATAGAGACAGGCCTACTTGGATGCTATTCATTAAATCTCATTAAATAGCTTTGCATCTTTTGGCGTCACACAAACATGCCCATTTCTTTAATGTTGTGGCATTTCTTGAGGCCATCCCATGTCGTTGCTGTAAGCCACCATCAGGCCAGATCTGTCCAGACACATCATCTTCCACTCCACCAGAGCACAGCATTGTCTGCACTATGAGCATTTCTACACGTCACCCCACCTCTTAGGTCACCCACTTTTCTCCGCTTGGTATCTCCATAGTGATAGGAGATCATAGACATTACAGAGGGCAGACATTCTATTGCACAGAAAAGATAATTCTATAGTTGTATAATTGTATAGTATTGTTTTGTTTTAGATCTCAGGACTTATCGGTTTTCCAAGTAGCATCGCATAACGACAGGAGAGCCAATCAGAACAGTGGGTTTCGTGACCTATGGCTTCTCTTTGCGGTGAGACTTGGAGAGGAATTAGACTGGAAATAATGTTACACTGCACACCCCAAGACACACCCCAAATGTTTGTGTTAATAGTTAATCCTTGGACAGGACTCGGTATGAATCATGTGTGTAGATGTTTTCTGCCAGTGCCTTTGGTCAGGTCAAGTTTGTAAATGAGAATTAAAAACAGTATTCAATCAACAAAATATTTAACAATATCATACATCATCATACGACATCCTTGCTCCCGGAACAGTTGTGCTCTACCGCTAGATTTCACATGCATGTCCTTTTGGCCTCTGTCACATCCCCTTAGATAAAATGGTTTTTAGACAGAACATTGAAAAAGTCAAGAAGTCAGGTAGTCACTCACATGGCTCTAACTTACATGTATACTGGTCTGATTTGTTCACATTTTACTTTTACAAGTCGCATAAGATTTTGGAGAGTCTCGTTTCAAGATAACACCTTTGTTATTATGTTTATCATTTTAAAAAAGTGATACATTTTAAATGTAGATAACATTCTTTGTACAGATATATACATACAACCAAATATTGCTTGCACTAGAATACACAGTACTTTATACTTGCTTCTTATTATGCTAAAGAAGATGTTATACTCGTTTCTTTTTGATGCAAGATTTTATTTCATATAGTATAGAGTTATTATTAATTTATCTTGTGCTGTGTGCTACTCATTCCTACTGTTGGTGATGCAACACTGAAATTTCCCCACTGTGGGACAATAAAAGGATCTCTTAATATTATAGTAATCTTTGTGCTGTATTTCATTCATTTCAAACCATAAGGGTGCAACCTTATACTAGGACAGGGAGACAACCACACACATTTTTTTTATTATAATTTTGCGGATGCTAACCTCATGTCCTGAATGAGTGATATTTTAAGCGGGGGCATGGCCGACACTCCTCCGTCCGACTTGCGTCTCTCTGTGTCGTGGATGAAACCTGAGGGCCCCAAACCTCCCGGAGTCGCGCTCTTCTCTTTGCTCTCCTGATAGTGCAGCAGGTGCGACCACAAGGCAGACTTTCCCTAAAAAGATAGTAACACTGTAAACGTCCAATTCTACAGGACAATTGCAAAGCAGAGATCTGATGACAGTTTCTAACCTGTTTGACTTGCAGCCCGTGGCTCCAGATCCTCTCCAGCAGGTCGCACAGACTGGCGATCAGAGTGTTTTCCTCCACACCAGTAATGCTCACCTCTCCATGGCCCAACTCCACCGCCTCTCGGCCCATCTTCTCCACCAGCATACGCTTAGTCTGTGGAATATAAATGTATAGTTACTTCAGTTTAAAACACCACGGAAATATTATAAAGTTGGTAAAAAGCCATTTAACTCAGCACTAACCTTGTTCCTGCACTCTTTCAGCAACCCCTCAACAAATTTCCAGTTTGTCTGAGCAATAACCGAAGGCGACAAGTTGGACAGTTTGGGTTGTCTGATGGTTGTGCCCAGATTTCTAGCTTCTTGAATATATTTCTGGACGAGGAAGAAAACAACATTTAATACAACAGCACAAGAAGTAGATTATGACAATGAATCCGCCCATTGTGTAATACAAGTCTTTTTATGTCTTATTTAAAGGTATATTAGGAGGATTTTCTACTTGCGGGTGGATCGTCAAGACTATTGGTCCTCCTAATTGTCAATCATTCTGGTGATGTGTGCTCGTCAAATAAGACTAGAGGGTTTTGTTCAAAAAGGGGAGAGAGCGGTTCTATCCTAAGATTTGGGGAAATCCTCCTGTATATCAATAAGCCTCATATTGAAATGACTTGGGTATCTTTGTTGAAACCTCAATTTTAAAATAATTTGAAAAACTATTTAGCTCGCCAAACATAATCGTTAATTAAGTTGATCTTCATTTGACATTTGAGTGCAAGGAAGGCCTTTCTCTCAATTTGAGCTACTCAAAAAAGAGCTTTTATCACAGTCTTTTCTGTTTTAAATGTAAAGATTCTTGAGTAAAAAATAATAACACATTACATTGAAATACAACATAAAAATGCCCACAGTTCACATATTTCAAAAGCTCAAGCCTCTTGTGTAATAGAGGAAGCTCATAAAAAGTCTGAGGCAGTTCATTTTGCCCTACTGGGAAAGCTATGGCCTCAAAGACTACAAACACATACCACATCCACAGAGACCGACTTTAAACAGGGCCTGAAGGACTGAGAGAGCCAGTAGTAGTCGAGAAAGAGCAAGAGCTGCAGCTCCGGAAACAAACACTCTACATGCTGAGAGCGAGCCAGTGCGAGAAGCAAAAGAAAAGACAGAAAAAAACAAGACATGACAGACGTGTTAACAGACAAAGCAGATAAATTAAAGATACATGCAATGAAGAACAAAGGGGAAACACACGCAAGATAATTTATTTCTTCCATTTCGAGCCAAAGGAGATACCTCTCTCTGGTCATTATCCAAATATAGGTGCTCGGCGTGCTGCTTCTGTCGATCTCTCTTCCTCCACTGGGCAGGGGCGCTCCTCTTCGTCCATCTGCCAAAATCAACACACAACCACAATTAACTAAACAGCAGTGCTAGTCCATAGATAAACAATAGGTTCTGTTCATATTGTAGAACTCTATTTCAGTTGGAGGGCAGGTGCCATAAGTCTATGGGAAAGAAGTCATTTTGGAAAAGAAATGATGAACAATTTTAAATGCTTTCACAGTTCACAGTTAACGTCACAAAACGTATAATTTTTATGATTTGTTTTTTTTATATTGCCACCTCTATCAGACAGATTTATGAAAAAAAGAATTAAACCTTAGTTGATATGAACAAAAAAAGAAGATGTGGGATTTTGTGGCAGTGTTTCATGTGAATTGGTCCAGGAATTACAGATAACTTTATCCCAAAACTAAAACTAGAAGTCTGGCTTTTGGCAGTTACCACTGTTACCAGCAAAGATTTGTCAGCTGACTATTTTAAAATACAGGATCTCCACCACAACAGGAATGTGATGTCACACAAATGTCTGAAGTGTGTAGATGCAAAATGCCTACTTACTTGTTGGTAGGGGGCCCAGTGGAAAGCACATCCGACTGGAGCCGAGGGAAAAAGCCCTGGTCGTGGCGTCCTTGTCCAATCTTCATGTCCAGAAGATGCGGGTGCAGTGCAGTGTGGTCAATCTTGTGCACTCTCATTTCAATGGCCTTTTCTAAAATGGGTAAAAACACAAGCAAATCAACATTGTGCATTGAATTCTCTCAATATTCAGACATTTTCATGCTGCAATTTATTTTATTAAGCACTGTCATCTAAAAGACTGTACATTTTAGATGGGTTTTATTGGTTTCAAAGAAAAGAAAGGCGTAACAAACTCCCACAGATCAGACAAAAACAGATAAAAGGCTTTGGAGAAAATGTCAAGAAAATGAATGTGGCTTCGACAGCAATTATCCGACTGTAGAGAAAACCAACTCAAATCCCACCCACACCATCTCAAGTCAAAATAGATGCTGTCCAAAGTTCAAGTTAGGACGCAACAGTTACTGAGAATAAATTAGAGGAACGAGGGCTCATAGCAAAGAATACAGACCCCTCAGCAGTTCAGCAATTCAACATACCCAAACAAAGGGTAAGGGGCTCCATGTGCAATGCAAAGAGGATCAAAACTTACATTCCTTTGGTAAATATATACAGGAGATCAATATTATAGTATCCAAAACCATGGGTAAGGGACCAGATGCAGCCCTCAAACCAATTATTTGACCCCAAGAGCCTAAATGTGCAGCGAACTTACTGTGCACATACTGGAATAATCTGTAAACTATTACTGATTATTAGGATGGCATTTGTCAAGCAACTAGGCCTGCACTTTGCCTTTCAAATCAATGCAAATTTGTCAGTATATAAATAACATCCCTTTGCATCGTGACACAGAGTACACATTCAGAACATGACTAGTAGATTAGATAAACTAAGATGGACCTTTTTTATTTGTCCCACAATGGGGATTTCAATGTCAATGTTGTGGCAGAATCAGCAAAATAAAAAAGAGGAAATAAGAGCACTCAGATTGCACACATCAAACATGATCTATTATTTAAGATCATTAATACTAAAGTAATAATTAAACACCAAAGTAATAATATAATAGAATTAATAATTACATTAAATTAAAGTCTGGAGCTGTAATTGCACTTGGTTCAATGATAGTACTACTAGTGCACTACTCATATTCTGAATGCATTTGGATTGGAGTGACCACCACCAGAGAATATACAGCAGATGGAAATATTACGAATGTGAGTCTTGTCATTTTGAGGCTCAATGAGATGAGGTGCAGGAGCAAAGAAATCTGCTTTCCCAAATCTCTTTTTTAGTAGATTGTCTGCAAATAACACATGAATCAAATAACACCCATCAACTGATATGGCACCTGGTCTTTCATCCATTAAGTGAACGATAAATGAAAAGAAACGGCCTTTGGTATTGGGTAAATAGAGAAACATTCACCTGCTTCTTCAATGTTAGTGCATTTCTGGTACATGGAAGTGCGCAGCGTGGGCGTGCGGACGTTTAACATGCGGATCTTATCCACGCGCGAGTCGAACACCCGCAGCGTGTGTTCTTTCTCCTCGTCGTCGTGGCAGAGGATTTTACTGTCGATGAACGAGGCGAACATCTGCGTCTCCAGGAACCGGGACAAGAAGGGCAGGTACGGCTCTGGCTGATCCGACAGGAAAGAGGCCTGGGAACGACAAGCTAGTGTGAGTTTACGTTTGTGCCACAAAACCTGTCCTTCCATGATACAGAAGTCTACAGCCAGAACAGTAATTAAGCAGGACTAGCTTCTTAAACTTATTAGAGGCCTTAGACAGTGTCTTGTCTGTGTGAGTGAGATAACGAGTGCGTGTCTTTGTGTGTCTTGTTTATTTAATTTGAAGTAATGATGTAACTGTTAAAGTGTTAGTGTAATTTGTACTTGCTGTTTTGCTGTCTGTGTGAGAGGGGGTCTGCTTCACCTAACCCCCTTTTCAAAACTTGTGACATGTTTTCCATTTGATAATTGATATTTGTATCTTGTTTTGTGCAAGTTTTGAAATAAATAACCAACATAAAGAAGATATAAGAAACGTTTTACTTTTACATGATAGACACAGATGTAACCTAACCTACACATTATTTCTTTACACATATTGGGCTTTTTTTTCTTGAATGTCGTTCTTCACAGCCATTTGTATTTTTATGTGATGTGGGCCAAAGATGAATTTCTACCTTGGTAGACAAAAAAGATCTTTTCTGTTTTATTAGCATTTATGTAGTTTTTAGAAATGTATGCTTTTTCATCAATCAGGAGTGGTTTGTAAAAAAGGTTCAAATTACAGGCAGTGAAACATGGGTGTTTTATAATGACATCACAAAAGGAAGGAAAAAACTTTTTAATTTGTACGTCAAGGAATTGCTAACGTGATGTCATAATTTTAGTACCAGAGTTTAACATTTTAAAGCAAAACAAAAATATTTATCGTCACTGCACTTTAAGGTTGAGGAATGACTTGACACAGCAAGTACTGTGTTTATTGTTTAATATCGTATTCTATTGTAGTGCATTTTATGTACTGCACTTATGTAAAGCACTCGTGGGTTTCAGCCTTGAGTAAATGAAGAAATACAATTTTGAGCATGTTACGTTACAAAGCTCTCATTGTTCTAAAAGCCACAGATGGACACTTTTACCTTGTCAAAGTTCTGCATCTGGTCACGATTGGTGAACCAGGACTCCTTGTCTTGACTGGGCTGGATGACGAACACTTCGTAGTCCGCAAACATCTGAGTGAAGCGGTTGGCAAAGACTTCCCGGATGTGGATGTTGAGCTGGTGCATCTTGAGCTCCTCCTCATCGCACTGAGCCGGAGCATCTCTGATCCCACTGGCGTCATCACTGACCTCCAGCTGTTTTAAAGACACATTAAACCAAACAGAGAAAGTCAGTGTGTGTTTTACAGAGGTGGAAAAACGTACTTGTCTTAGGTACATTAGTAAAATCAACCGTGGTAAAACTGAAATCATTCCCATACTTGAGTACATACAAAAGCTCATACTAGTCAACATGTAAAAGAAACAATATTTTTTGTTGAATAATTGAAGAACATTATATTTATTTTAGACATTTTAAGGATTGGATTTGAAACAGTAAAAAGAAAATGCAATTGAAGAAATGGTTCTTACAGGCAAAAAGTAATTTGAACTTTGAAGCGTGGCTAATCACAATTCGTTAATTCAGTAGCATGGCTAAATTTGGGTTTAAACATAGAATAATTGTAGTAAAGTAGAGTACTGATACAAACGACTTAAGTCCAGTAAGTAGTTTATTACTTGTCACCTATGGCGTTTTGGGTCTTGAGATTACCAGATTACAAGGGCATGGGAACGGAAGTCAAGGATATCAGTGATTTATGACCAGCAGCAGCAGCAACAGCAGTTGTATGAAAGCCAATGTCTATGTTTAGAAAGTCACTGGGTCAATTGTACAGATGCCAGGACTAAATCACTAATAAGAACATCTACTGTACATGTTTCAAAATGAGGTCATAATACAAACAAATCAAAAACAATTAAATACATTGAAGCTATTAAATGAAATTGCTTTGATAAGAAATGTAAATAAAAGGTCCATTGTGTGAAATCATATATTACTGCATTATGCCCCTGAGGTTAAAAAGGGGGATAAACATTATACATCTAACTGGGTGACACACTCTAATACAAGGATTACACACTCATCATCATAGATAATCGTTGTCCTCTGTTATTATTTCACTCTTTCTTTAAAAAGATAAACTGGCATTTATTGGTGACTCCCGATTATAAAAGGTTCTGCATGCGTTATCATTGTAGCTCATGTATTAAAATAGCTGGTTTTGGAAACAGAATACCTCCCTCTAGTGGAAATAAAATGTTACTACCAACAACTTTACAAAATGTGTTTTCTTCCTACACAATCTTTTTTTTAAAGTGCCTGTGTTAAGTTCAAAATAACAAATAACATCCTGTGTAGTATTTAGCACCTTCTCCAGGCTGACTCCGGTTCTCTTCACCAGTGCTTGAAGCCTGGCGATCGTTTCATTCTCTCTCAGCAGGTAGGAGTTGAGTGGTGACGCCAAGTTCCCATTGCGTTTGTCTGAAACATCCACAGGACGGAGACCCCTGTATTTGGGCGGTCTGTCGCTGGAGTGCGGCCGGCCCTCTGGAGAAATGTTGAACGACATAAGGACCTCGGAAATCTCTTGAATAAACTCCAGTTTGTTGGGAAACTGAGGTAGCTCCTCAGGGAGTTCGATGAAGTGGTTGTCAATGTCGACAAAACATAAATTAGCCTGTAGAGGACAGAGAAATGCATTTACTTAACACTACAACCAAAAATAAAGTTTGGGTGCCAAACGTTGGAACTACAGTAAGCAAAAGAAATGAATCAACTAGTTCCTTGCTCGAAAACCAGCTTGGTTCTATCTCTAGCTTTTTCGGACAGTAATGTGTAAAAGAGAGGTGGTCCCTCTACAAACGTTAAGAAATGTCAATAATGTTTGAATCTCTTCTCTAGTTCTAAATGCTCGGTGCCTTTAACGTAATCCAAAGGGGATGGAGTAACTTTGTAGGGAGGTTAAAGACAACTTGAGCTTTACCTCTTGGGGCAGCTCTAGTTTAGTGCGGTCGTCTTGTCCATTGGAGTGAAGGCCCATCAGATACGGCACAGGCGCATCCAGAAAGTGGAGGAGTGACGCGGGTAAAATGGGAACGTAAACGTGCTGCCATTGGTAAGGGAACATTAAGGCTGTGATGCTTTCTGCCACCGTCATCAGTCTCTGGTAATCTGTTCAAAACACAAACAACATTTTTTTTTTGGAGAGATCTATTTAAACAACACTGTACCTGTTGATTGAAGAAAAGATAATAGATGTTTGAATTATGTTATATTACTGTATATGGACACGATTCCTAACTGTCTTGAACCATTATCTTGTAATTTAGTCTCTAAATATCTAAAGAGTATTTTTACTACTCAAATCCAGATGAACAATTATTGCATCTAACATTTTTAACTGAATTGTTGTTTTTGCAGTCAAAAATAGTACCAGAAATGACCTAAACAAAATATCAATTTGAGTGTGCTAACCGAACAGCTTAATGACCTTTGAATTATCTTGACAAATAACGCAGCTCCGTCATGTGCCTGTCTGTAAAATGTCTTTGTCGCGATGCGTCTCCGAGGAAAGCACGTCTCCATCACTTCACATCTGCATTCCGGACTTATCTGACACCTGGGGTCTAATGAGGAACAGTTGGGTCTCACTTGTCATGGTGCCAAAGCAAACACTTCTTCTTTTGATCATGCAGTGTCCCATGGGGAGTCTCTCTTTCCCCCAGGCCCCTCTCCTAAAAATCTGAACAAGCATCTACTAGGACAGAGACCAGTTTAAAACACTTCTCTAAACCTACAATAAACTGAGAATATGATATAAGATTACATATAACCATGAAAGCCTCAAACTAAAAGGTAGAATGTGGAGAGCTTTCATCACTCCTGCATATTATTTTCGGCTGTCACTGAAAATCACAACGATTTAATTGCAGCCTGCCACAACACTGAATACATTGAGTGACACATTTCAAGAGACAAAATCAGCTCCAGTTTACCTAACAAAATGCATCATCACAGTTTGATGCAATATCAGCCAAGAACTGACATTTAATGACATTTAATCATCACGTCTGGACTTTTCTTTAATCGTTAGTGGTGCTTTGCTCAGAGTGTGTTTCTTTGCAAAGCCTTGTGCAACAATCCCCTGCTTCTTTTCAGAGGAAGACAACCGGCCTTTAACTCTAACAACACCCTTCACATGCTCCGCAGTGATGAGCCTCTGGGGGGAGGCATGATGTCACTTCTAACCAATAATAATCATCCAGCTCGACGTCTGTGCTCCCTGCCTCCGCGTCGCATGGCAACAGGACCGCTTTCCCCTCAAGGGCTGCTCCACGGCCCCCTGAGCTCAGTCGGCCACTTGCCTTTTTGGGCTGTTGTAACCGATCCACTTCCCAAGCCAAGTCACCAACCCCATTAACTTGTCATCGCTCCTCTCCTCTGCGCTGTGTCGCTAATATTGGTAATCAATAATAAAAGTGAATGATTCATTAATATAACCATAACCTTCTGTTTTTTGTATATTTTGTTATATCGTTAATTAATTCTGGGGCAAAAAAAGTAAGTAAGTAAGTAAGTAATCTTTATTTATATACCGCCTTTCACAGACCAGAGTCACAAAGCGGTTTACAATTGTTATTTTTTCGCATGCCAGACCTATTGTGCATGTTTTTAGTGGTAGGGGAAACCGGAGTACCCGGAGGAAACCTACGCAGACTCGGGGAGAACATGCAAACTCCACTGAGAAAGGCCTTGGTCCAACCGGGATTCGAACCCAGGACCTTCTTGCTGAGGGGCGAGAGTGCTATCCACTCAGCCACCGTACCGCTGGCTGAGTGAAAAAGATAAAAAGACAATTGCATGAACTACAAGGAACCCTGTAAAATGATGCATTCAAACTCAGACGTGAGTCCTGTCTATATTATTTCGCAACAATTAATTAACTCCACACTGCGCGTTTTACTCTGGCCTGAAAGAATAACTCGTTTGACCACAGAAGTTAAATAACATTAGCCACACATATCCTCTTGTGATGTGAAGCAAAAAGCTCAGCATTCCTACTTTCAAGACAGCACTCACGGTTATGTAATATGTGGCATAATAGTTTCAACAAACACAGAAGACATCTGTTGTGGTAAAACCTTGAGCTACACTTTTCTACAACTATAAAAAGATGATTCCTTGGCTTGACCATAAAGAAAGCTCATGAGAAAGCACTTTTTGGTGCAGGAATCACAATGAAAAAGGCTTGTCACTAGTTCAGCAGGTTCTGTTCATCTCTGAATGTGAAGGGCGTATTGATGTAAAACATAAATACATACAAGTAGAAACAGGCAGAGCAGGTCAGCACTTACGCTGTGAGTAAAGCAGTATCTGCATCTCCAGCAGTGCACATGTGAACAGCTGAAGTACGTTCTCCACTCCCAGCAGCTCAAACACTTCCCCGATGGCAAAGTCAAAGAGGGGCAGCTCTGAGGTGCTGGGCCGTTGGCACACGATGGGCCCGTCCACCCCTGAGAACTTCAGAGAGCGTCCGGATGGAGGCAGGGGCACCTCAAACAGGACGTTAAAGACGTAGCTTTCTAAAGGCAGAGGAGGTGGCCGGGGAGATGACACAGCCTGGTAAAGCTGCTCGAGCACCTTCCTACAGGCCTGAGCAAAAGCCATTGGTGTGATTAGACAGATACATTTAGAGACGAACAGAGTGTCACGGCTGATGTCGTAGGAGTTGAAGCGCTGAAGGCGGGAGATGGCAGGGGCGGCCTGAAGAATGGGCCTCTGCCGTGGCTCTTCCAGTCCTCGAGGAGATTTGGGAGATGTGGGCGTGTGCAAGATGTCATACTGCTCTGCGTTGTGCATGTGGTAGAGAGTCTGCATTGCACTGCAGATCTGCTTACTGGTCACCTCCTCAAAGAAGGTGAGAGCAAAGCCATAGGTCCGAGAGCCGTCTTCTCTGGTGATGATATAAGAGTGAAAATGAGGCTCCCGAGAGTCCACCTGTGTCCTGAACGACAAACCCTTTGGCATACAGAGCTGTTGGGGAGAGAAAGGAAAATAATAATTAGATGTGAATAAATCCTAACAATGGGGAACTATGTAATGAAAAGAAACACATACCATCCCCACAGCATCCTGGTCAAATGGATTCCACTCCACATTCTCAGGATAATGTGCTAAAACTTTGGATTTAAAAGTTCGTCGCAGTGGACTCTGCTCAAAATTCTCACCTGAAAATCAAACAAAGAAAGGAAAAGAAAAGGAACAAATAGTTATTTTACAGATCATTTGGTCTGGTTTCATAATATATTATTAAAAAGCAGCAGGCTTGAAAGGGCCAAGCAAAACTCTAGAAGAAAAGCGAGTCAGCAATTTTGTATTTAGAGAAATGTTGTATTGAATCATAAAGCTGCAGTATCAATTTTAAACTGGTTTTGCTTTGCGACAGCTTTAATGTCAATACAACTGAAAGTACGACAGACTTGAACCCAGAGTTAAGCAGAAGTGATGCACACACCAGCGGTATAAGATTCATTCATAATAGGGGTAAAGACAGAACCAACCAAGCATCACCCGTGAGGGCAGCTACAGCTGAGAATGAGAAGCTGAAAAGCAGTGATTGTCAAACATTTGCCCATTCTTCACTTTGTGGCTGAAGGAGCTGGTCAAACAGAAGCAGGGGTTAAGAAAATCAAGGTAAGAAAAAAATGGTGCGCAAAAAAAAAAAGATTACAGGCAAAACCCCAAACCTGCTCTGAAAACAAAGTGGAAATGTCAGATTAGGGAGTGAACAAAGGTTATAGGGAGCGGTGGAGGGTTGAAGCTGTGCCCAGGTTGTAGAGGGAGGTGTGTGTTGCCAGTTTTACCTTCTTCTCCCTTGCCTCTGGCCCCATCACTGAATTTAGTAGCTTCTATATACTGGCATAAAGCTACACAACAAATAAAACAAAAAATAACGTTAAAATCCAGGTTGTCAGTGGACGGCGCATCACTTCTGTTAGAGTGAACACAGCTGTGCTTTTGGGAGCAGGCTGTGCACAGATACAGGGAATTAGCATGTCTCTGTCAGGTGGCTACGCTAAATTAAGCCAGCTGCTGGGGTTATACACAAGGATACAGTGTTTTCTGCTCTGTGTGGAGAGTCGTGCTTGCAGAGTACAAAAAGCCGAAAACCAATGTTTAGATGAAATAGTAATTACGAACAAATTTGTCATGTTTTCTGTCATGTGTTTTTGCTCCTGTATATCATGAACCCTTTAAGATGGGGGACCCAACTTTCAAACCCCAAAAACCTAAACTGTTTGATTAAATAAATGTCAATCATTCCTGGCTTGAAAACAGTCTGGTTCTATCTCTAGTTTTTAGCGGCATGTATTTTTTCCCTGTCACATCATTAGGGCCGCTTTTTCAGACAGAAAAATAAAAAAGAGGACCCGCCGTTACTCAGCCAATAATCTCTACGGCTCAGTGTCAAATGACTCACAGAAATATCTTTTAAAAACAGACAAGTGTATAGGATGATCTTGTGGTCTGATTTGTTCATGGTATTTTACCTTTGCAATACTAACAACTTATGAAATAAAAAGTTATGTTCTTTAAAGCAGGGTTAACTAAGTCCTAAGCAGGATTATGTATTGTTATTCTCACAGCTTTAGAACCACTTTTTCAGGTAGCGAGAAGAGAGATAACTGCTCTCCTCTTCAAACTCAAACCATCAAACTCGCACTTCCTCAAAAATGTATAGAAATTATGCGATCTAAATGTTGTGCTTGGAAGTCATTTTCTCCAGTGAAATAATAGCATTCATAATCATTATTTTCAATTTTAAAAAGTTGGGTAATCCAGCTTTAAGCGATTATTTGGAACCCTACATATTAAACATAAACTTCATGCTTGTGTGTTTGTTTGTTGACAGATGAAGTGAAGGAGATGCAGGCCTTTTAACTTGAGCATCTCAAATTATGGAGAGGTTTTCCATTCTACCTCATTGAGCAACCACAAAAGATTGATTAAAAGTCTTAACACAGAGAAGAGCACAGGATGTAGTAGACACAGGTACATCGAAGTGGCTCAACAGAGAAGTCCACAGCCTCAAGGATTAGAGCCTTAATCTGCTGTGGTTCATAATCTGCCAACTCTGGAGAAAGTAGGCTACACATCTCAGACTGCCTTTTTCAAAGAGTTAGACGATTATGCTCGAAGATGAGATACTAATACTAATACATTATTTAAATGAAAAAAATACCATCCGCTCACATGATTGACTAAATAGTGTTGTTGTTTTAGTAGTCACACAAATAATGGTGAGTTTCATAACAGATAAATGGTTGTTGTTTGTGTGCTCTGCGCCTGAAAGTCAAAAGGTTTGTCACATGGCTCTGGTGATGCTGTGGTTGAAGGCTGAAAAATCCTCTAGGCAAATTCTGACAACAAAGAGGAAGCTAAGAGAGCTTATGCAACCGAGTTAACTTGTCAGTAACCCTAGACCTTATATCTATCTATTGATTATTTCATCTATGTGTACAGATGATCTTATTATTTCATGTTTTATATGGCATGTATTGAAGAAAGCATTTTGTGCACGATTCGTCTTTGTAACAATCACAATTATTAACCGCTCTTGTTTAGTATTGACAATTTCATAACAGCTTCAACAAAGGACCGGAAGCTGAGACACACACGTCACAAATTCGTACACACACACACGCACAAACACACGGGACGAGAGCCATGCAGCCCACTCATGTGTTTTGCGCTCCAGGCTGAAGTCATCAACAAAAAGGAATTGGTTTCTTTTGAGAAAATGTAAGATTCAAATGTTATTACTGCATGTATAGAGCTGCGAGGATATTTCTGGCCGAACAAGTGCAACTAGTGATTATGTAAGGGAGGATGGGAAAGTCACACAAAATAACATGGCATTAATGAACGGACTTTGATTGAATTGACCGTAAAATTAACCCGCCTTACACTCAGTCCAACATGAAAAAGGAAAAAAAAACATGTCAAAAGAATAAACTAACACAATATTTCTAATTTAATGAGTATATATTTCATTCTATTCCATCACCCTCAATCAGGTTAAATATATTCACAAAATATGCAACAAAAAACTGAATATAACAGTGACAAATCAGAAATATTTGCCATTGTAAGTAACAGGATGTCACAAACTAGTAATTTACTTTGGTACTCGAGATCATTAATTCATAATAATTCAGGATTATTAGGAAATGCAGTCTGTAGTGCAGTCTCATTTGTATGCGTTTTGTGTTGTACAGTTGTATACCTTGTAATACTATACATGTGTAGTGTTATACTTTTAGTTTGGAGTTTGATGCCTTGCAGATTGTGACAAAAATACCAACTAACTAACCAATCTCATCTATTTTGCATCTATTGTCACAGTCATATCCAGTCCATTATTGCGGGAGACCCAGCTGAACGGACAGGAAGTCAGTTAAAGGTGAAACATCTGTTCGGAGCCCAGGGATTGGAGTCCAGAGAAAGCAGACTTCAGAAAATACACTCTTCCTCAGGGCAAGAATGTGCAGGCTTAATTGCTTGATCCTGATGGGAAAGAATGTAAAGGATAGCCATTGGAGTGGGACAGAACAAACCCCATGTTCTCTACACAAACACAGGGTTGGGAAAAAGCTATGCTACCTTACATGCCGGGCAAATGCTGACTTGCTGACTCTTTGAACTAAAGCCATTCCACCTCAATGAAAGCAGATCTGAAACAAACATGTAAAAACGAATACACGGCTCCACTGCTCACACGCTATGAAATTTAAACTGATTAAAAACAGAAGTATAGTGTAGAAATCGACAGTGTAGTAAATCTTCACACCTTAAATCCTACACACGATGCCTATATGCCATATAAAAGTGCTTATTAAGCTTTCATGTCCTTCCATTGAATTTATTTTGTTTTCTGGGGCGGCTTTATGGATGTCTGCGGGAGGCATTCAAAAGGATGTTTAGCATTTGAATGAGCACGGCCACTGTGCGAGTGTACTTATGTCCCAGCGCTGACGTTTTCCAGTGAGGTCTGCGAGAGAGCAGGTTATACATATGCTAATGCTCCCTATGGCAGGCTGACAAAAAGCAGGCGTCATTGATAGGGCTGTACGTATCTTGCAAAAATCTAATTGATTGACTGCGGAACCTTCCGCAGTCAACCATTGGTTTTGTATTTCTTTATTCCGTCATTTTTTTTGACACGTTTCACAGCTTTCACATTTTCAACAATTTCCACAAGTTATACATCAAAACGTTCCACATGTTTGGGAGATTATTGCTATTACTTTTGGGACTTCAGCGATTTCCGGTTTTTCCGCAATCGGACAAAAATCTGCATTGAGAATTCTGCAATGCATTTTAATAGGCCCATGCATTTTAATAGGACTTCAGCTCTTTCAGACATTTCTACAGTTTCAATGATTCAACAGTTTCAAGGATTCAACAGTTTCAAGGATTTCAGCAGTTTCAAGATTTCAAGAGTTTCAAGGACTTCAACAGTTTCAAGGACTTCAGCAGTTTCAAGGACTTCAGCAGTTTCAAGGACTTCAGCAGTTTCAAGGACTTCAGCAGTTTCAAGGACTTCAGCAGTTTCAAGGACTTCAGTGTAATCATGCAACCTAATAGGGATTTTTCCATGTAAACCAGTATAATGCAACTTAATAGGGATTTTTCCATGTAAACCAGTATAATGCAACTTAATAGGGTTTTTTCATGTAAACCAGTATAATGCAACTTAATAGGGTTTTTTTTCATGTAAACCAGTATAATGCAACTTAATGGGGATTTTTCCATGTAAACCAGTATAATGCAACTTAATAGGGGTTTTTACATGTAAACCAGTATAATGCAACTTAATAGGGTTTTTTCCATGTAAACCAGTATAATGCAACTTAATAGGGTTTTTTCCATGTAAACCAGTACAATGCAACTTAATAGGGATTTTTCCATGTAAACCAGTATAATGCAACTTAATGGGGATTTTTCCATGTAAACCAGTATAATGCAACTTAATGGGGATTTTTCCATGTAAACCAGTACAATGCAACTTAATAGGGATTTTTCCATGTAAACCAGTATAATGCAACTTAATAGGGATTTTTACATGTAAACCAGTATAATGCAACTTAATGGGGATTTTTCCATGTAAACCAGTATTATGCAACTTAATAGGGATTTTTCCATGTAAACCAGTATAATGCAACTTAATAGGGTTTTTTTCATGTAAACCAGTATAATGCAACTTAATAGGGTTTTTACATGTAAACCAGTATAATGAAACTTAATAGGGGTTTTTACATGTAAACCAGTATAATGGAACTTAATAGGGGTTTTTACATGTAAACCAGTATAATGCAACTTAATAAGGATTTTTACATGTAAACCACTATAATGTAACCTAATAGGGGTTTTTACATGTAAACCAGTATAAAGCAACTTAATAGGGATTTGTACATGTAAACCAGTATAATGCAACCTAATAGGGATTTTTCCATGTAAACCAGTATAATGCAACTTAATAGGGATTTTTCCATGTAAACCAGTATAATGCAACTTAATAGGGATTTTTCCATGTAAACCAGTATAATGCAACTTAATAGGGATTTTTCCATGTAAACCAGTATAATGCAACTTAATAGGGATTTTTCCATGTAAACCAGTATAATGCAACTTAATAGGGATTTTTCCATGTAAACCAGTATAATGCAACTTAATAGGGGTTTTTACATGTAAACCAGTATAATGCAACTTAATAGGGTTTTTTTCATGTAAACCAGTATAATGCAACTTAATAGGGATTTTTCCATGTAAACCAGTACAATGCAACTTAATAGGGATTTGTACATGTAAACCAGTATAAAGGATAACAGTTTAAAGGATATCAGGAGCTTCAAATACTTCAGGAGTTTCAAAGATGTTTAAAGTATTTTAACAGTTTCAAGGATTTCAAGGATTTTTCAGCTAAATTCCACATTAGATCTGTTCCGCAGTCAATCGCAATGGCTTCAGCCATTGCAAGTTTCTAGTTGCGATTTATGATGCGATTTATGATTTATTTATGATCAATGTTGCGATTACTATGCAATTTTGGAGATCCTGATTTTGTTCAGAGTAATAATGACAACTTAAGGGAGTTTCAAAAGCGATAACTTAATACATAATATTTATATAGAGTTCTTGGTAGTAAACAAAGCTGTCACTGCAAAAAAAATGCTTGAATTATCTTTTGGTCAGACTAGTGTTGTTGTTTTTTTTTTGCTTATCTTTAGTCAATATTTGCTTATTGTTTATTTGGAAAGACCTTTATTAATTGTCTGTCAAATGTACTATCTGAGATCACAAAAATTAGGGTTTTGATTCGATGGCCATTAATCATGCAACCATGATAACATTGTAATTCTCTGAACATGAATGTCAAAAAAGTGGTGGAGATGGTAAAAAAATCAAAACCCAAAAACATATTTTCATTAATCAGAAATGCCTTGGATATATTTGTTTTTAGTACACACATGAATGTAAAATCAAAAACAGATTATCCCCATTTTGAATGCACTGTGTTTGTTTTAAATCCCTCGAGTGATTTTAATGTTTTAATGGTTTTAATTACCTGTGATTTTGGTGTTTGTTTTATGTGATGATTTGTGTCTTGTGTGATGTGGACTTTGTCGGGCCCTGTAGTATGAAAGCCACTCTACAAATAAAGATTTATGGATTGAATGTCAGTGTTGTGAAAATGAGGAACATAGTAAGAAGCGAGGACAAAACTCCAGAGTGAGAGTGTCGTGACATTTCACTATGCTAATCTCGCTTGGTAAAATAGGAGAAAACCACATATCGTTGCATTTTTCATAATGACCCTGATTACCCAAAGACCTATTCAACCTCAGACCTGTTGTGGCACATGTTTACTGATACCATCAACAGCCTATGAGCTTCAACAGTGGAATTTCCGCGTCTCTTCAGAAACGCAGCGGGGAAACAGCTGATAACGACAAACCTATAACCTTCAAAGAGCAACCAAAAAACAAAATAACCACAAAGCACCAAAAACTGCTCCTGTCTAACTTTTGAATGTGCTGCTAGATGAGCCAGGATTTGTGTAATAACTAAATAAAGGGTTATGAAGTCCAAATATGCAGTGCGTGTTTGAACAGCTAAACTGAGCCAACCAAAAGTTACCGCGGCATATACAGGCTGCTTTGGGTTTCTATTTTTGTTACCACTATTTCAAAGAAAAAGAGAAGCAATGATTGTAAAGTTCATATTCAAAAGACAGGAAAACCTAAACTTTCTTTGATGAGCCAAGGAGTTTCCCTGCCTAGTCATTTCTGACCTCTGCTGACACAGAATACTTAATCTGATGTGACTTGTGACATCACTCCTGAGAGCAAAAGTCATACAGCTGCAGTCTGAAGTTTAAGGCCTGACCACAAGCTTAAAAGTGACCTCACAGCACACTTTACCTTTTCTGGTATGACTTTAAATACGTGTAATTTACTATAAATTACTAGTAACAACTACAGTTTAACCTGTAAAGGGATTTCTGTGGCCATTTTTATGTTTTATGACATCAGTAGTATGTAACATTTTATGTTACATACTACTGATGTCACTAATCCTAAGTCCTTCTTGACAAGGAAGGTAAACAGAAATCACGGTGTTTTACAAATTAAAAAGGCTACTCTAGAATGGAATTTCAGCAACAAATCCATGCAATACTCTAGCCTAGAATATACATCTAGAAAAAAACAATGTTGCATGTGCCCTGGTGGATGGGGGTCTGTCTCAGGTTAATCCTATTCAGAAACATCACCAATACTCAGACTTATTATTGATGAATATTCACTCCCATACGGACACAGAATGGAAGTGCTGTGGCATCACTCGTTGCCAGACTAAATGGCATGCACACAGACATAAACAACAGAATATATCCCAGTGGTAAGCCCTTTACAGCAGGACACTCAGGCTGCAGCAGTGCGAGGCCTTGTGATATTCTCCTCCCCTTGTTTACGCAGCTATACTCAGGAGTGAGCCTGCGTGTCTTTTAGCACATCACAAACAATCATAATCATAATATAAATCCTGTAATGTGTCCGGTAGAAGCAGATCCAATGAGGCTACAGCACCAGTACCGCATTTACCCGCCTGGCTAGCGCTCTTACCGGACAGCTCGTCTGGCTCCAGTCCGCTGTCGGTGTCGAGTCCGCAGATCACGAAATAATCTGCGAATCGGCAAGAACTGGAGCTGAATCCGGTGGTCATTTTGAGACTGGTCCGAGTTCCCTGGAGCCCTGGCCTGGGAGCATATCAGAGAGCCCCCCGGAGCCGCTGAGCTTGTGCCATCACGGGTGTCATCAGAAATCACACTGCCTCAGAAACAGCCGCCTGCACCGCCTCCACTGGTCCACTGGTCCACAGCCAGCACATCCGCCCGGACACTTCACAGTAAGAGGCGGAGGCTGTAGTCGATTTTCTTAAAAAAAAAAAAAAAAAAAAAAAAACTAACGTGTTTGACACATGGATCTATTAGGTTTGACCCAATGTTAGAAGAAATAAAAACAAACTTTTCAGGCATAAAATAGTTCGTTTTACTATACTGTAGTAAAACTATTTGGGCATAAAATTACTTATCAGAGAATTGTGCCATTGGTCCATTTTGGAGAGGGATGATGGGGATGACCAATGTCCATAAATGTTACATTAAACATGAACAGGAATTTAACTGAAACATTTAAATGAAACATTAAGGAATGGGTTTGGGTGTACGCATAAGCCCTGTTGATCGATTGCTATAAAAAAAAGAGGTTGTGGTATTTTCCAAAGGAATATTGTACACATTTGTTTTTTTGTCGATTTTAGCTGTACCTAACTTTTGCTGTTGTTTTATAATACATTTCAAGTCAAATTTAAACAAATCAGAGCATAACAGCTATGTCATTATAATTATTTTTATTGATTACATAAGATACTACAGGCACAAGCTGATTGTCCGAGTAGGGCTGGTGTAAGATTTTCACAAGGTTGATCTAAAGATGTGGTAGAGGCCAAAACAACATGCTTACAACAGTTTTTAGAGCTAAAGCACATGGACTGTAATACACATTATTATTTGTGGTTTCAAAGTTAGGTACTCCAGCTTTAATCAGTTCATGGTTACTATAGCCCACCAAATGCGTTTTTTGTCAACTCATAATTATATTACAGTTACAAAACTCAAAAAGGGCTTGGGTCTTTGTTATTTACTTTGATTTTCAAGCCAGAACAAGGTCTCAATTTGCCTCTTATATAATCAGTGTTGTTTTACTGTATCGCTAAATATTTCTGGGATTTTAAATTGTTGTTTTTGTGCATAAAGTTTGGATCAGATAGAAATCATTTTAGTTAGTCGACAAGGAATTTCTTTGGGCAACTTTACTAAACTAAAATTTATTGGGCATAAATACTAGAATCTTATGCCATTTGTTTCCCTTTTCACATACAGTATAAAAATTAAAATAAAATAAAACTAAATATTGACAGCCCGACATGCAACTGCAAGAAACCTTTGGAGTACAAACATATGGCTGGAGCTTTATTGAAGCTGTGCCCTTATGTTTACTTATGAGAAAATTCTTTGCAGAGAAAGATTAAACTTCAAACTCCCCCTACAACTTTGGTGAATATAAAGAAGAGTTTGTGTCTGGAGATAGGGTTTGACTCACTCTATAAAATTAAAACTTTTTGGTTTCCCTCTTAACAGCTGGGGAAATCCTTTCACTGAAAATGAGACAAAGGGACCTGTGATAAAGAAAAAAGGTCCAGGCAGAATACATATTTATTTCTAAACCACCATAAACCACCATAGTTCAAATGGATACAAATTTTACCAAACAATTACCATTTTGTCATTAATGATGCAGTAAAGATGCAAAGTCCAACAATGCCCTCTAGTGGAAGAAGTGATGAGAAGAACACAGTACATAACATTTCAGGTTAAAGAGCACAGTAGTAGACATTCGTAATGTATTCTGCTTTACACAATACTACAATATTTGTTGAAATCACCTCATTATAATACAGATTAAGGTTCTTTTGTCTTACCTCAATATTAGTGTTCTGAATACCACCATTAAAAATAATAAAATTGTTAATATTCCATTCCACTTTGTATATGAATATTCTAAACATGGCAACAGCATAACGACTGGACAATTATATTCATCATATTTGATCGATCTTTCTTTAAATTATTTGGGGTTATTTTTTTGACTCCTCAGCCCTTCTCACTGTTGGTGTGATAAGTCAGTTCATTTTATCAAATGCGTTGATACTCAAGAATAAGCAAGGTTGAGAATGCGAGTGTAGTGGAAACAAACCCATCTTCTTCCCATTAAGCTTTACTTCAGCAGCAATATGAATAAAAGGTACAAACAGATTTATGAACAAATCATATCAGGATTATCAAATTATTTAGAGTTTACACTAATGAAAGCAAGTTCAACAGGTAAAACAATTCTTTTACATGGTTTCTATGTACATTCACTGCATAAGATCCTCCACAAACATAGCAGCATACAGCGAAAGACAAACAATGAGAACATGTAAGATGGTAAGCAGGATATTTTCTCAAAAACTGTACAGCCAGTAGGCACCATGTAGACTATGAATGAGGCAATACTTGGGGAAGGAGTTTGGTGCTGCACGTGTGAGTGTAGTATGGAGTATGGCATTACAACAATGCATAGAAACCAGTCTTCTTTATTCTGTTTTTTTAACGCTGTGTGTCACTTTGTTGTGTTCATTTCAGTTACTTGACGCGATCATTGGAAGACAGTGATGGCTTCTGATATCTGAAATACAACATTGTTCAAAAATGTTAACTGGTAGCTAATCTAAAACCAAAAGTATACAAAAAGTTATTAAGATTAGAATATGTGGCAACAAAATCAAAATCTACAAATATCAATCAAGTCACCTTTGTATCACATACATTGGCAATTGTGCATCAGTTACATAAACAGTTATGAATATGGGAACAATTATTAAGACTAATTATTGCGGTCACCTATAAGAAGCAAATGTATTTGCACTCGACAGAATCCAAACAATAAATATACCGTAAAATATCAGCATGAAACATTGTCTGTGGAGTGGACATAACCAGCTGCAGTACACCAAATAGGAAGTGTGCATGGGTGAAGAGTTGGGGGAACTTGTCCCTCCTGCTGTCAGAATCATCATTCTGGGCTTCAAATATTCTCTACTATGATCCTTTTTAATATTAATATTTTTGATAGGGAAGCTGGTTGAGAAATTAACAATTGGGCAATAGCACAAGCCAAAGAAAGCCTCATGCTGCATTCATGTGATCTCAGAAACACAGCCTTCCTTAAATCAAGAGCATTCGAGACTACCGGTGAACACACATTATCTCATACATATACAAGATGTTTTACAAGGTGTTGGATTTTTTGTAATAAAACTATCAGTTTCCCTTTAAGTTTGTCTAAATTTTTTCCCCCAAATGACCAATTTTCTGACCAAAGTAGCGTTCAAATCCCTTTTCCATGTGGGAAGTTGGACCTTCTGAGTTTGAGATGAAAATAACAACAAGTGAACTCTATTGGTGACATTATACTCACTATATGCCCACTCCTACTACTGTCTATGGTGTGAAAAATACTTAAAATAAAAATATAACAGAACATAATTGTTGATCAGTGGGAGTCTGATGAAGAAATCAATTAATAAAAACGCCAAATAAAATGTCATAAATTTTCATTCTACATGTAGCACCTTCAAATCAAACGAACCATAAATTATTAAAAGAGTGAATATATTCCAATGTCTACATAGCTCACAGGAACTTCACCATTGCCGACACCACTTGTTTCAGTAGAAAGGACAACTCAGCCCCTGCAAGCATTTGGTGATCATCAAGTTCCTTATGTTCTTAGTGAGGCGGTGGTCAAAAGTCATGAGCCGTGTGAAGGCAACTCTCAGTCAGATGTCGCTGCTTTACTCCTAAGCCGAGGATGTTCTAGAGATTCTTCTGCAGTTTCTTTTGGAAGCACACAGGTAAAATGGAGAGAATCGCCAATATCCCCAGAACGGCCAGAGAGTTCCAGGATACAGCCTCGCCCGCTGTGGTAAGTTTATACAGTGTTGTCCCAGCGTTTATAGCAACAAATGATGGTGGTGCAACCCCTGAAAAGTGGCAAGTAAAAAGAACTTTAGTGGGGGAAAAAAAACATTGAAATCTGTGTTTGTAAAAATTTGAACATGTTACCTAAAAATGTCCCGATAAAAAACACCCCCAAAGGCACGTTGATGACAGGAGATGTTATATTGATAAACCAGTTGGGAAGAAAAGGGGTGATTCTCAGGAAGATGATGTAATTTATCAGATGATCCCTATGTTTGTCGACCTTTAAAAAGAATGGAATAACATACAGCAGAGGTGTCAAACCAGTTCCAGAAAGGGACAGTCTGACTGCAGGTTATAGATCCAAACTGAGCCGGAGCACACCAGATTCCAACCATTTCCACACCTGACGAAACGGGTGGAGTCTGGTGTGCTCCTGCTTGGAATGGTCACAACGATATGCTTGGGAAATTGTGTTACAAAATAATTTACCTGCTGAGACCATTTCTGAGCTCGTTCTGTGAGATATTTGTAAACCATGGGTCTGCCCACCAAGTAAGACAGCATGTAACAGAAAGAAGCTCCCAGGCCAGAGCACTGAAAAGTAACAACACACATTTTTTTAACAACTACTTTCAGACAATCATGTATGTACACATTACAAAATGATTGAATTCTAGTGCTAGCTACTTATGTAAATGTTTATGTGTGGATACAGCATCATAACTGTAATTTACACTATACATCAGACTCACCAGGCACACTAAGAATAAGGCCAGGGGGAAAGGGTAGAGATATCCAGACAGGATACTTAGAAAAATAGACCCAGGGATGGCAAATGTCTGAAGACTAGTAGAAACAGTGTCAAGGTGCAAACAAAACACTAATGTTTAGAACACACTTGTTCATATTAATGTGGTTATAAAAGATCTTCTATGTTTATTTACTTCAGTTCATTCAGTTGAGAGAAAGGTTTAGTTTCTGAAAGGATACAAGACATATGTTGCAAAATATGCAACCAACACTTGAGTGTAGTATGTATCCTTGTATTTTGACAATACTGTTCCCAAAGCTTTGGCATCTTCCATATCTTTAGGGATCTTGATTTTCTCCATTTCATCTCTGAAAGACAACCCAAAAAGTCACTATTTAAAGTCCACTCCTGGTGTTCAAAAGAAATGTAGCAAACACCTACTCCGACAGCTCTGGAAAATGTCTGTAAACCAAATACATGAACGAGGCAGAGCATGTGAAGATTAAGGCCAAGATGAGAAGTGACATCCGTGCTGACCCTTGAGAAGGCCGAGGAGATTCTGTGGGAAAAACATCCATTTGAATCATGTTTTTGGAATGTACATAGGCAAGGCAAGTTTATTTGTATAGCACAATTCATACACAAGGCAATTCAAAGTGCTGAACAAAATAAGAAAGCATTAAAATCATAAATAATCACAGAACATTAAAAAGAAAGATAAAAGTATAAAATCCCTCAGTTGTATGCACAGCTAAACAGAACTGTTTTTAACCTGGTTTTAAACATTGTCAGAGAGGAGGCCTGTCTCACATCTTCAGGAAGACTGTTCCAGATTTTAGCAGCATGAATCTGAAAAGCAGCCTCCCCATGTTTAGTTCTGACTCTGGGCACTAACAGGAGTCCAGTCCCTGTGCTCCTCAGAGTCCGGGCTGGTTCATATGGGACTAACATGTCACTAATATATTTTGGTGCGAGGCCATGGAGAGACTTGTACACAAGCAGAGCTGTTTTAAAGTCTATTCTCTGAGCCACAGGAAGCCAGTGCAGAGACCTGAGAACTGGACTAATGTGGTCGTACTTCCTGGTTCTAGTCAGGACTCGAGCTGCTGCATTTTGAATGTACTGCAGCTGTTTTACAGCCTGTTTGGAGAGACCTGTGAGCAGGCCATTGCAGTAGTCTAACCTACTGGAGACAAATGCATGGATAAGAATCTCCAAGTCTGCTTTAGACACTATGTTTTTGATCCTGGCAATGTTTTTTAGGTTGTAGAAAGCTGCTGATGTTACTGATTTAATGTGGCTATTAAAATTTAAGTCTGAGTCCAGTATTACCCCTAGATTTCTGACCTTGTTTGAAGGTTTTGGGGAGAGAGATTGTAGGTGACAGATGACGCTCTCTCTTTGTTTCTATACAACTCAAATGCAAGTAATTCTCATCTAAACAGGTTTTATAACTAGTTGAGATAAATGATTGAGGATTCCTGTGTTTATGAACCCTGGCACACTTCTGATATGACATGCATGATTGCACTATAAAAAACATCCCAAAGTGGTCGTCCGCTAAATTTAGCCAAGCGAGTACAGTATCTTACTCCCAACTTTGAAACTATGAGTACAATTAGTTCACGTTACAGTAAATTGCGATGAATACCGAGTCTGAACATATTTGTGAATGGGGTGTCATGTAGCCGTGAGCATAGCATGGACAAACCTTTCAATATCTCCGTTTTACCGCTGTCTTCGTGTGATTCTGCCTGTGCCGAGGAGAGGCCGGAGATCTCTTGTTTTTCTCTTCGCTTTTTTGCCATTTTTCCAGGGCTCAGATCAGATCGGGCTCTGGGAAAGTCTGTAACAGTATCTGAAGCATAAAGCGACACAGCCGGCGAGCCCGCTGTCTTGTGACCACAACCGTGTCCTTTCACCTTCCTCTTCTGAAACAGCGCCCCCTGTTGGCTTTGAGCAGAATAAGCGCAAAGCCAACTGTGACACACATATCGTCGCATGGATAATTGTTGGAATATGCTGTAGTTGTGTTAAATTTTACTTTTTGATTTCCTGTTTTGTAATTTGTTGGTTTCTTTTTTCATTCTATTAATCTCGCCTCAGATCGATGTTCTGCTCTCTCTTGTGTACATTATTTAATTGTGAGCATAGATACGAATCCATGATGATTATTTATTTGATAAGAACATAATAAAAAGGTTAATGTCGGTGAATCGAAACTACGGCCTAAATGACTACATCCCCCACAATTCCATGCGAGCGGGCGGATGTTGAAGTTGCACAAGTGAAGTGCTGAACTATCCGGGTACTTCTCCGCTCCTTCCTTTCGCGCCGGGTAACCGGAGAGCTGTGCGTCCATGTGCGCAGTGCCTGGGAATTGACGGACCTCTGAAAATCTAATTCCAAGTCGACAGAGTCGTGCTGATGGATCCTGAAGCTTTGGTCGAGGCCCTTCGGGGCACCATGGACCCGAACCTACGGGAGGCCGCTGAGAGGCAGCTGAACGAGGTAAAGTCTGTAGTGAGCATCTATGGCAGTAGTGGCGCGGTCTTAGCGCGGGCCTCTCTCCACAACATCAAGATGGAGCGATCTCCATTACTCTGTGCAGCCCTGCGAGTGTCCCTCCTCACGACACCGACAGTGCGAATGTCTAATTACAGATTCTGTCATATGTGGAGCCCGTGTGGAAGACCAGTGCCGTTTCTCTTCACGGGAGCTGTAGTGTCAGGAATCGGCGCAAGTGTTCAGAGTTAGCCCAAACGGAGCCAGCTGTGCGCTAAACCCGCTAGCTCTTGTGGATGTAGTTAATTGCCTTGGAATTGCGCACTTACTTCCCCTTTTCGACTATATTTCGCACCACTAGTAGTCGATAGTGCGTGTGTGTTTGGCTGAAGCCGAGGCTTGTCGTCGGAGGGTTTAAAGGGTGGAGACACATTTTAAAGCCGAGCTAAACGTGTCAGTGGCTAAACGAAGCGAGCTAACCTTGTGGATGAGCTGCTCACGTGTCACTGACTTTATCCAAGTAAACATGTTTTGTTTTGGCATGAACCTATGGATATCACCGGAGGGTTTGTTAGGTATTTCACTTGTCATAAGTAAATTGTATGACTTTAGTTAACTTAGCAACGAAAACACGTTTTAATCACTTTACTTCCATGAGGACACGCAACACTTTTAGTTCATTTTTTCAGTTTTTCCACCACTTGACATGTGTCATTTCCTTTTTCATCCCTAAAGCCCCCTGTCCTGGCCCACTTTAATTTTTGCTTTTGCACCCACAGTCATGCTGTGCTCGCATGAATGACATCCCGTAGATCGGAATGATTTCACGTCCAGCTTGCACCAATTGTGCCATCGTCCAATAAAGTGTGGACTCGGACATTCTTTTATTTAAATGCGTGGTATCTAGTAAAGTTCAATTGTATGTGGGTTTATACAGACTTGAAATTCTTCTATATCAGTCAATACATGTGACGTAAATGGATTTCTCCTGGATTTTTATATGCATCTGACAACTGTTTGGTTCACAGGGTCACGCCCAGGTTAACTTTGTGTCCACTCTGCTGCAAGTCACAATGTCAGATCAGCTGGATTTGCCTGTCAGACAAGCAGGTAATCTACATTTTTACTTTTTGCTATCATGACTGAACCCAGTAAATTGCTTATGCGTTTTGGATCAACGTCTTTCCCAGTGCTGTATAGTGGTGGTTACAATGTGTTATTCCTATAAAGGGAACCCCCACTTATTAAATCTGAACGCTTCAGACAACTTTATTAATGTTGTTTTCTAATCTGTGTGATTCGGGATGATTTGTGAGTCGGGATCTGTTTTGTATTCATAGGTGTAATTTACCTTAAGAACATGATCACTCAACATTGGAGTGATGGTGATGACTCGGGCACAGAGACGCCAGCTAATAACATCCCTGAAGCGGACAGAGAGTTTATCCGAGGAAACATAGTAGAAGCAATCATCCACTCTCCTGAGCGCATCAGGTACTGTTAGAAAGATCACGCACTGTTTATTCTGTGTAAGCAATGGTTCAAGGGTTTTATTGTTTTATTTTTTGAATGTTTCCAGAGTTCAGCTGACTACTTGCATTCACCATATGATAAAAAATGATTATCCTGTCAAGTGGAGGGCTTTTGTGGACAAAATTGCATTCTATCTGCAATCCGACAACAGTGCAGCCTGGCTTGGAATCTTGCTTTGTCTTTACCAGCTTGTCAAAAATTATGAGTATGTATTGGTCTCTCCAATGTTACAGTTGTTGTCCATTGCGACATAAGTCTGACAAACTCTATGAACAGATACAAAAAACCAGAGGAGCGCCAGCCGTTGATTGCTGCCATGGATGTCTTCATGCCCATGCTCAAAGACCGCTTCATACAACTTCTTCCAGACCCCTCCAGTGAGTCGGTCCTTATCCAGAAACAGATCCTCAAAATCCTCTATGCACTCTTCCAGGTAATACTGCACTGCATGTTTCCTTTAAGACTATGTTGTTGTTGTTTTATTTAATCATGTGTTGTTGTCTTTCCAGTACAACCTCCCCCTAGAGCTCATCAACCGACATAATCTAACGGAATGGATGGGAATTTTCAGAACAATTGTGGACAGAGATGTACCTCCCGTAAGTCCCTATTTTTAATAAACGCACTGAACATTTGGAGGATGTTGTTGTTGATCCTTTTGTAATCTGTGCTCTAGGAGACCATGCAGGTGGATGAGGATGAACGTCCGGAGCTGCCATGGTGGAAGTGTAAGAAGTGGGCTCTTCACATCTTGGCTCGACTGTTTGAAAGGTGGAACTTCGAACGTTTATTGTTATGAAACATCCCTATCTTTAAAACTGGGAAAAAAACGTTATTGTACCTTCTTTTTTTGTCTTTTAGATATGGAAGTCCAGGCAACACGACCAAAGAGTACACAGAATTTGCAGAATTTTTCCTCAAAGAGTATGCCGTTGCAGCGCAGCAGGTATGTGGGAGGAGTATGATACTGTTTTAGGATTTAAAAAAGTAAAAGCCTATTTACATTTTTAATTATTGCATTTATTGAATTTGTCCATAAAGTCAGTACTATTGTTTTTTTATTTTACTTATCTTTAGGTCCTCCTTAAAGTCTTATACCAGTACAAGACATCACAGTATGTGGCTCCTCGAGTCCTTCAGCAGACACTCAACTTTATCAACCAGGGCATTGCTCATGCGCTGACGTGGAAGAATCTCAAACCCCACATTCAGGTACAAACTAGATTAGACAGTAGAGCATGAGTAATCTCTCCACATCGTGAGGTGACTCACTGATCATTGACTCATTGTCAATTATTTTGCAGGTCATTATTCAGGATGTGGTATTCCCCCTCATGTGTTACACAGACAGTGATGAGGAGCTATGGCAAGAAGATCCATATGAGTACATCCGTATGAAATTTGGTGAGCAGAAATCTTTGACAGTACTTAATCAAGTGACTAATAATTAATGAGTGTTCTTTTTTTGCCCGCAGATGTTTTTGAGGATTTCATTTCCCCCACGACGGCAGCACAAACTTTACTGTTCACTGCTTGTATGAAGAGAAAAGAGGTGTGACTTGAATCTGACAAGCCTGGCTATTGTTGTCACTATAGTCTAAGAGTGTTGTGGTGTTCTGCTCAGGTGCTACAGAAAACAATGGGCTTCTGCTACCAGATCCTGACAGATCCGGCATCAGACCCTCGTAAGAAGGATGGTGCCCTCCACATGATTGGATCATTAGCTGAGATCCTTCTTAAGGTAAGTTTTTAATACATTTCTACTTAAATGTATGTAGAAACTATATAACCAATGATCCCTTTTTGTCATAACAGAAAAAGATTTACAAAGACCAGATGGAGTTTATGCTGCAGAATCATGTCTTCCCCCTTTTCCGCAGTGAACTAGGATACATGAGAGCGAGGGTAAGTGTGATGGGCTTAAAGTAAACTTTAACTTCTGTGATTATCAAAATCATTGTGCTTATTTATTCTCAGGCTTGTTGGGTACTGCATTACTTTTGTGAGGTCAAGTTCAAAAGTGACCAGAACCTGCAGACGGCTCTCGAGCTCACCCGACTGTGTCTGATCAATGACAACGAGATGCCTGTGAAAGTGGAGGCTGCTATTGCTTTACAGGTTCTCATCAGCAACCAGGAAAAAGGTAACAACTCTACTCTGTCCACAAATTCCAGTCTTTTACGTGATCTACATGAATAGGATACGGGAGGTTCCTGTTGTCTCTGAGCAGATTCTGCCAAGTTTATCTAAGGAGCCCCTCTCATGTACACAGCATTGATAAATGGTTGTGGAATAGAAAACTGAAAGTGGTGAGGGAAAGGTGAAAAGCTGCATGTGCTTTTGCTAAATGAGGGGTGCGGCGGAGGGTCCTTGACACAGGTGATTCATTTTTATAAAGTGATTGAAACGTTATTCCTTCAGGATCAGTGACTGATTGAGTAAAAAGTCTTATACAATTTCAGTATTAAATATGAATGTCTTTAGTTTTAAACTAATCTTTTAGACTTTTTAGTCTGTAATATAACCGTTAAATAAAAGGACCATGGTCCTTGTGGAACTCCGTTATATGACACTTGCACTGTCCTCACTTGTGGCAAATCTTTCCTGGAAATGTGAAGTGTTGCTGTCTTTATGAGTTTGTGGCAAGGAATTGTGTGCTTTCCATATGACTCTGAGCCCCATTTTCATGTATTCTATCTGTATATGCTTTTGATTAATTCAAGGTAATTTAAAACCGCACATGCTTCTTATATAATTCAGGGACAAAATGTTTGAACAAGCAATTGAGTATTTTTACATTTTATACAAGCCTTTTAGAACAGATTTGGAATCCGGCAGCAACAAGTCAAGTTGATTCTGTGCCCTGGATGTACTTCAGATTTCTCACATTTTTCAGTGGTTAAATAGATATCCTATTATTTGATGCTAATTTTGTTTCAATGGAAAAGTTTCAGGCCTAATGCCATTTTTATAATCTTGTTTTAGCCAAAGAATATATTACTCCGTTCATCAGACCTGTGATGCAGGCACTCCTGCAAATTGTCAGAGAGACTGAGAATGATGATCTCACCAACGTCATACAGAAGATGATCTGTGAATATAGTGAAGAAGTTACACCCATAGCAGTTGAAATGACACAGCATCTGGTTAGTACTGTTTTGCATACATAGTTATTGTGATATTTGTTTCCACTACTTACCCCATGAAATGTATTTAATTTGCTTGCTGTGCTGACTTCTTATTCAGTTTTTGCATAATTGTTTGCTTTTACAGGCAATGACGTTCAATCAGGTGATTCAGACGGGCCCTGATGAGGAGGGAGGCGATGATAAAGCCGTGACGGCCATGGGCATCCTCAACACCATAGACACATTGTTAAGTGTCGTGGAGGACCACAAAGAGGTGAGCTCCTGTTGCCCACTCTCTCATCAGCTGCTGAGACTTCTGCCAACACACTTCTACCTCCCACCAACTCTTGGGACACGTTCTGTTCTCACTGTGTTCTAAATGACTCAGAGGCTACCACTAAAAATAGTGTTCAGGCTTACTGCCATTTCTGACCAAACAGAGCAGTTTCATATCCTTCTAATCCAGCGTGGGAAGACATGTATTTCAAGTTTTGCATTTGAGATGGTAAACAAATGTTGATGTGAGTCTTTGCCCTTTCAGATCACTCAGCAGTTGGAAGGCATTTGTCTGCAGGTTATTGGAACTGTGCTGCAACAGCATGTTCTGGGTAAGCTCACTGGCCATGCCTGTGGAATTGCATTCCACCTTGTGTGTTTAGAGTGCCAATGAAATTATGCCAACTTTAGCCTGCAGTTTGTTACTTGTGTGTCTTTCCTTTTCAGAGTTTTATGAGGAGATCTTGTCACTCGCTCATAGCCTGACATGTCAGCAGGTGTCCCCACAGATGTGGCAGCTGCTTCCACTAGTTTATGAAGTCTTTCAGCAGGATGGCTTTGATTATTTCACAGGTACACACTTGTTCGAGAGAGTTTCAGTTTTTTAGGTAAAATAATACATATGTATAAATTGTTGTTTGCAGATATGATGCCCCTCCTTCACAACTATGTCACAGTTGATACGGACACACTGCTATCTGATACCAAATACCTGGAAATTATTTTTAGCATGTGTAAGAAGGTAATGAATACATTAGCTGACTATGCATTATTGCCAATGGATGTTATTTACTAATCTTTTCACGTTCCAGATCCTTACAGGAGACCCTGGAGAGGACCCTGAATGCCATGCTGCTAAACTATTGGAAGTTATAATTCTACAATGCAAGGGTCGTGGCATTGACCAGGTATGCAAAAGTGAACGTGTTTTTTAAGTGACTGTTGCATGTGCAAAAGTTACTTGACAATTGAATAAAAATGAATTGCAGGTGGTTCCCTTGTTTGTGGCTCTTGCTCTGGAGCGTTTGACAAGGGAAGTGAAGACCAGTGAGTTGAGGACCATGTGCCTGCAGGTCGCCATCGCTGCACTCTACTACAGTCCTCCTCTTCTGCTCAACACACTGGAGAATCTCCGCTTCCCCAACAACACTGAGCCCATCACCAACCACTTTATATCACAGTGGCTCAAAGACATCGACTGCTTTCTTGGGTGAGTGGTGATACATTTGAGTAAGGCGCCAATTAGGACTGTCGTTAAAGTTGAATATTGTCTTTCCCCTGCAGACTACATGACAGAAAAATGGCAATTCTGGGTCTCTGCGCCTTGATGGACCTGGAGCACAGGCCACAGGCTGTCAACCAAGTGGCTGGCCAGCTCTTGCCAGCAGCCATTATGCTCTTCAGTGGCCTCAAGAGGGCGTACGCGTGTCGGGCTGAGCAAGAGAATGAAGATGACGATGATGAAGATGGAGAGGGAGACGATGAAACTGGTAAGAGTTGATCAGTTTAATGACTTAAAAAACCACTTTGTGCTTCTGGCCATTTGAGGTTCCCTTTTCTCAGCCTGTCTGGCCATGGAACTATACAAAATTGTGTTGATTCCATTGGCCTGTTTTAGTTTCAGTGTATTTTTCAGAACAAAACTGTTACAAAGCATGTTTAGTAAAGAAAAAAACAATACATTTATTCTGTGTAAGTTTAGACAGTGGGTTCTGCTGTATGTAGATCATGTGCCTTGTTTTATTTACAAAAGGAAGAATAAAGCAATTGCGTAAATGGATTATTAATCATTGTCAAAAATAAAAAAAACTTTGCTCTACAGTTGCGTTAACATTTTTTCATGACATGGAATTGTTTGTGCATCTCGTCTGCTGGACCTCACACAAAAGCACATTTTTGTGCGGAGGTCACTTTTACCAAATGCCATCATTAAGACTGTTTTTTGTGGAAAGTTAAATAATTAGATTACTACATGATTCAAATGAATTTCTCATTGTTAAACAATCCCCTTAAACCTTGCTCATTGTGCTAAATTTGAGCCAAATAAATGCAATACTTAATGAGCATTTAATGTGTATCTTTTTGTGTCATAGCTGAACTTAACAGTGATGAGGATGACATTGATGAAGAGGGCCAGGAGTATCTAGAGATGTTGGCAAAACAGGCGGGAGAGGACGGAGATGATGAAGACTGGGAGGAAGATGACGCAGAGGAGACGGCACTCGAGGGATACACTACAGCAGTAGACGACGAGGATAATTTCGTAGACGAGTATCAAATCTTCAAAGCCATATTACAAAGTAAGAAAAGCACTGACCGACCACATACTGTTTTATTCATGAAGAAATACAATGGCAATTGTCTCTTTCAGCCATCGAGCTCCGCGACCCGTCATGGTACCAGGCGCTGATCCAGGCGCTGGATGAGGAGCAGGGGAAGCAGCTTCAGGATATCGGCACACTCGCAGACCAGAGACGAGCAGCACATGGTAATTACTGGACTTTGCAATCAATCTTCTTCATAACCTGATAATTAATTTTACCTGTGTATTTATTCTAGAATCAAAAATGATTGAGAAACACGGAGGATACAAGTTCACAGCCCCTGTAGTACCACCAACATTCAACTTTGGGGGTGCTGCTCCCGGGATGAATTGAGTCTCCGTTCTACTTTTTATTACTCTGTGACTGATTGTAGTGAAGTGAAAACGCTTGTGTTGTTCCCTTAAGTAGTGGTTCCAGAACAGGTTCTTCTCAGTCATTCTCCAAACTGTTACTGGAAATCCACCAGAAGACTTGGGAAAGCAACCATAATGTAACCAGTTGCTGAGGTGAACAAACCAACTTAAACTTGAGCACGATGCAAGAGAAGCTCTGAACAACGTTGTCCTTCGGAGTCCAGTGGAAAGGCAGCCATGATGGAAAATCTTCACCACTGAAACTAAATTGGGGGAAAATAGCGACACATTAGAACATGGGACAAAATCCATCATCACTGAGGCCATGTTATACCTCTGGTGATGACATTTCCCTCCTGCGTAAACAAACAGGTTTATGTACATATAAGCCAAGGTTATTGATTTATTTTTCATGTAGCCTTGAGATTGACCTGAGGCATTTGTAAGGTGTCAACAGCTGTATTCATATGTAGCATATCGGATACGTCATAGCACTATGTGATGCCTGATTTCTGTAAATTAATAACTAGCACTTTCATATTGTTCAGGTCTCCTAGCCTTCTGTATTGGACTGCAAATTTTTTAATTGAGGACTATTTAAACTGAACCGCTGTAACTTTGTTACTTGGAAGTGACTTCAATGATGGCTGTTTGTCATTGTTAGAGGAGATAATGAAATGTGTATAAGACAAATTCAGGTAAAAGAGAAAGCTCCTCATGTTGGCTCTAGGAAATGGCACTGGAAGTACAATTGATTACATTTACGCATGTACAATTGGACTTATCGTGAAGGTCTCAAGCTTTTGGTTGGTGTATGGATAAATCATCTATATATACGACATATTAAAAAGCTAAGGGAATGTCTTGAGTGTTTTCTTGTCAATTTACATTGTCTGGTCTCAAGAATTTTATTTGGTTGGGACCTAAAGTGAGGTTATACTGGAAAACAACAGGTGGCAAACTTTAGTCATTTACATTTAACACTCATCATTCATACATTTTACAAAAACATTCTACCAAATGTGGAACATCGGACATTTTGAAATGTGTTTGGCACATGTTCACAGCCAGACCTGGAGCAATACAGGATCCTTGTTACAGTTAAAGGAGTAACTGTAAAGTGGTTCTGTAAAGTTCATTTCATGGTCTGAATAATTAAGCGGACATGGCATCTCAAATGCCAGTCCAGTTGTCATTTGAAGGTTCTGTCTTTAAATCTGTTCTGTGATGTAGATCTCCTTTGGTCCTTGTGAATTGGACACAAAGTTAAAAATGCAAAGCATTCACATAAGATATGTACTCCTGGTTGAATAGTGAACAGCTGCATTCTCAAGGTGGATGGAACATACATTTGTAATAAGAAACTGGCAGGTCTCAATGTCACTTGAGTTGACTTTGACTTTTGCATTTCTACAAAGGAGTTTTACAGTGACCCTATTGTACACAATTAAGCACAGGACAATATATACCTTTTTGATTGTTCTGCTGGATGCTGTGTTACAAGAATAATCTGTCATGAAGATGCCTTTAAAGTCTGGTGCCTCTTCATGTTTTCTGAAAATCAAATATCACCTTTATATTTTAGGGGGTGAGCTGTCAGAGCAAAGCACCATGGATTTAATATGAACATGCCATCTATGAATGTAATGTTTGTGTAGGTTGAAGAATTGGAACAAGGCAATGGGGGGGACTCTGATCTTGAATTGAATGTACTATCATATAAAACAAACTAACACTGTGGACACTTGTTGGAATCCATTTATCCAAGGAGTCCCTAAACTTATCTTCAACCATAGATGACGTGTTTGAAGATGTCAAGCTGGCCATCAGTAAGCAGGTAGCCATCCTGCATTATATGATTACTTAACCTATAACCTCTAATAAAAGTGCATTTTGCGAGTTTTAACCTATTGGGTGAAATTACATTCTATTAGAAATATATTTTGAGATGTATCACATTCCATCAGATTAAGCAGTTTTGGTCTCAGCCATGTATTTCTAATGCATAATCTTAACTACATAAAACGAAGGCATGATTGAGAAATGCCACATGAGGTACGTCTGATCACTCGAGTTGCACATCAGGTCACTCCATGCTCTGGTCATGGTGGTACAGTGTCTCAGTTTCCGTACAGTACAGACTCGTTGGCACTGTGTATGGTTAGTCACATTTATTCTCTAATCTTGGTTTCCACTATGGTTCTAGTTTTAATTTTCTTCTCTAATTTGTGTTATCAGATCTAATCCTAATCAATTTAATTACATCACACGAATACTATTCTATTTAATATTTCTCAAAAAAAAAATTAATTCAAATGAAAATGTCTGGTCTCAATAATACGGATTCAAATAATGATTCAAGTGTTAGACAATTACAAATGTTTGTTTACATTTCAGTACACTTTTCAATGCTTTTTTCCAGGTTATGCTTTTTTCATGCGTCTATACGTATACAGTCTATGGTCTATGTAAATATGTAGGCGTCCTTGGGTTTCTTGAAAGGCGCCATGAAATAAAAAATAGAAGACAAAAAATATATATATATATTTATAAAAAACAAAACACATGAAATATATAAAAAAAATAAACAAAAAAAACACAAGGGGTTAGCGGTAGAGCCTTCACGTGGCAGCCCTGTTTTGACTAATTTTACAGTACCACACAGTTCTAATTAATTCTTTATTGGAATCAAAATAATGGTTGTGAACCACAAAAACCACCAACACTAGGAAAAACGATATAAAAGAGAAATATGGGATTGTACTTTTTTGCATACGCCAATTGCTTTAATATATAATTGTACATGTAATCACTTATTTTTCATGCAAATATACTTTTTAGAATACTATATGGCCAAAACAGGTATCAGACACCAGTATTCCTGGTCTAGGAGAAATACAAAGGAGTAATGGTCATTTTAAGGACCTGATGGCCGCCATTTTGAAAATGGGGCCTTTCTTGGAGTCAAACTTCGGATGTTTTTAAGTACATCTGACACTACAGTAAACCACTGAGAAACCTTTTGTTAGAATTATTTTGGGGTCAAGCCATATTTGCAGCTGACTAACAGCCCTGCGTTCATGGGAGCCTCTTTATGTGGGCCTGCCAGAGGTTTCTTTTTATTTCTTTTCCAGTGATAATCCAGAACATTTCTGGACCGTGGTCGTCCTGCTCCCTATGGACCAATGGCTCCAATGTGCTTGTTATTACATTTCTGTTCTTTGATCCGTTGTTGGTGAATCAACAATTATGTAAAGTCCAACAACGACTGTTGTTGTGAATTGGTGCTATACAAAACTAAATTAAATTCTTACACTGCACATAAAACTTGCGTCACACAAAATCCAGCAGCCTCTGTGGGCATTGAGCGTAAGTTAAGACACAGCAGTCACACAAGCTCTAGTGTAAGGACAAACTTTACATAAGTCAAACCAATAAAAGAGATGAATCCTTAAGTGTAAAAATTCACACTAGATTCACAAAAATGAGTCAAAGTACATCTAGAAAAGTGCACTGTAATTAACAAGTTATGAAAGCTGATTTTGTTTAATTGTAATCACATTATTACCATTTTCTTTCCTGCATGTAATTAAACGTTAGTCATGTCATGAGTTGAAAATTAGTCATGGCACTACACCTGTTCTGAGAAAGCACCTCCTCCACCTACAGTATTCACCTGTTTGGACTGACTGTATATATTGTATTGTAGTTTCTCTTTTATATTTGTATTCTTCCAAAATATGGACCAATTAAATTTGAGTCTGAAAAATAGATTTGTAAAAGGACCCCAAAGCAGAAACTGCAAGCAGGTTAGGAAAAAGGCAAAACCTTTATAAAGATAAGAAAGGCATAGATAGAATTACTCAGGGTGCCTTAGTCTTCCACTGAAAGAGCTCCTCTAAAGTCCCATGATGTGGGTGGAGGTTGTGACTATGATGGAGGTGACTTTGGCTAGCACCCTCCAGTCCCTCACCTCCTCCACAGAGTATAGTGGACAGTCCAGAACTATCCTCCTGACCAGCTTGTTCAGTCAGTTCCTGTCCCGCTCTGTATTGCCCGGGGCGCAGCACACTGCAGAGTAGTGGATAGCAGAGTCTACCAGAGTCATGGAAAGTCCTGTGCAGAGGCCCGCTCACAGCCTCCTCAGAAGGGGGCAGCGACTTTGGCCCTTCTTGGACAGGGCGTTGGTGTTATGGGACCAGTCCAGTTCATCGTTCATGTGAACACCCAGGTTCTGCCCACCAGGCATCGGAGAACTTCTGCAGGTTGACTCTGTGTGCTGTACGTGCGGCTGCGCAGCCGGACCATGCAGTGAGGTCCATCTTCCCCCGCAGCAGTGCCGGACTGATGGTGTTGAAAGAATATGACCCTGACAGCGCTCCCGGCGGGCTTCAGGTGGGCTCCAGGTGGGCTCCAGGTGGGAGGGCGTCCATTGCAGCAAATAGATGACAGCATCCTCTACTCAGATGTTGGGCCTGTAGGCGCACTGCAGCGGGCCCAGAGTCGGGCTGACCACAGGGCGGAGAAGGGCGAGGATGCGCTTGACTTGGCTGGTGGCTCAGTGGAGCAGACAGGTCGTCTGGGAAAAAAGAACATTTGAATGACCAAGGTAAAGTTTGAAGTTTCACTAGATTCTTGCTAATGATAGGTCTGTACCATTGAGAAGACGGAACAGTCTGGCAGCGAGACCTTGATCGTAGGAGTCAGGTGTAACTGCACAGAGATCCCATCAGCAAAACACCAATCCTGCAAGACACAAGCGGGGGACTAAGAGACCAGAATAGAACATTTATTTTCAACACTATACAAATTAACTGATTCAGTTGAAGTTGAAATAAGAAGTGGTGGGACAACTGTCAGAAACTGACAAATATGTTTTGCCCCACTTTATATATACAAATACTGTATATACATCCATAGACCACCCTTACCTGCATTGCTGCTCCAGTAACGTCTTATTTTGGTCAGGTCCTGAGTGCTGTCCCTGGTCCTGGATGTCCAGTGAGCTCTGCACTCAAATAAAATGTGTCGAGAGAACAGATTTTTAAAGAACATGTGATGTCTGTCCTCCCAAGTTCACCTGAATCTGTGCTGGATGAGAGAAGGCACGCTCTTTTTGTGGCACCGTCAGCTGCAGCCACAATTTCTGTCACTGGCATTTTTAGGGGCAGCTAGAAGTTTTTGTTGCATTTCCAATGGCAGCCAGAAGCTTAAAGGCATTTTTGCATGAATGTCCCCAAGGGCAGGTGGTGGTGCCCTGACTGTCAAGATGCCCTCTGCTGAGTTTACAAAGTAAGTAGTCTCTGCTCTAAAGTTTCACTATATTCAAGCTAAAGATAGGGCTGTACCACTGTTAAGACGGAACAATCTGTCTGTGAGACCTGTGAGTCAGGTGTAACTGCTCAGATTTATCCCACCAGCAAAACACCAATCCTGCAAGACACAAGAGGGAGACTAAGAGACCAGGGCAGACAACAGATACATGGGGAACAGAAGATTTATTTTATGCACCGAATTAATTGATTCAGTTGAACTAAGAACAACTCTCAGTGGTGGGACAATTGTCAGTAACTAACAAATATGTTTTTGCCTCACTTTATACACATATCTATACATAGACCACCCTTACATGCAGTGCTGCTCCAGTCACCTCCTCTCATCTTCTCAGGTCAGGTCATGAGTGCTGTCCCCACTGAATGTCCAGTGAGCTCTGACACGTGTGATCCAGCATCTGTTGCTCTGAGACACACTTCTCTGCACTCAATGCGCTTCAGCAGGCACCTCTCTGCATCTGCATAAATGTAATTTAGTGTTGAGTGTTGAGGCGCCAGTGGCTCAGTTGGTAGAGTTTGGCCTTCGAGCCTGAAGGTCACCGGGTTCGAGCCCACCATAAGACCTACTTCACGACTCCCACTGATGACTGCTGTCGTTGTGTCCTTGGGCAAGACACTTAACCCCACTTTGCCTGAAGCCCCTACTGAAAGATCTCAGCTCCTGTGGACTCACCACCTGCAGGAGGATCAGTGAGGGGCTGGTGCTATGTGTACTGGGTGCAGCTCTGACTGATGGATGGATGGATGGAAAACAGATTATTAAAGAACATGCGACGTCTGACCTCCGGAGTTCACCTGAGTCTGCTCTGCACATTGATGTCTGTCCTCCATATCTCACCTGAGTCTGCTCTGGAAACTGATGTCTGTCCTCCATATCTCACCTGAGTCTGCTCTGGAAACTGATGTCTGTCCTCCATATCTCACCTGAGTCTGCTCTGGAAACTGATGTCTGTCCTCCATATCTCACCTGAGTCTGCTCTGGAAACTGATGTCTGTCCTCCATATCTCACCTGAGTCTGCTCTGGAAACTGATGTCTGTCCTCCATATCTCACCTGAGTCTGCTCTCGACACTGTTGTCTGTCCTCCATAGCTCACTTGAGTCTGCTCTCGACAATGATGTCCGTCCTCCAGAGTACACCTGGGTCTGCTCTGTCTGTTCCTTCTGTGGGAGCTGGATAAAAGGCTGCCACAATTTCTGCCACTGGCATTTTCAGTGGCAGCTCGAAGTTTAGTGGCATTTTCACTAGCAGCTATACATTTTGGAGATATAAGCTGTTCCCCAGGGCAGGTAGTGGTGCCCTGATTGTTGTTCTCTATGCAGCTGGAAAATGCTCTCTGCTAAAGATGTCTCTGATCAATGCCAATTAAATACTATCTGCAACTAAAAATGCCACTAAACTTCTAGCTGCCACGGAAAAGGCCACTCAAGTTTGCCAGCGGCAGAGATTGTGGCAGATTCCAGTATCACTGCTCTAGACATTGATGTCTGTCGGGACAAGGAAATCTCTTTTTGTGGCACCTGTAGCTCCCACTGAAAATGCCAGTGGCAGTAATTATGGCAGCTGCCACAGGTCAGGCAGACTCCTATACTGCTCTGGACACTGATGTTAGTCTTTCCAGAGTCTGGGTCTTCTCTTGCTGTTGAAATTCCTGAGAGGGAGAAGCAGGAAGAGGAGGAGGGAGAGGGAGGACAGTAAAAAGTGGGTCCTCTGGAACTGGATCTGATTAGGAAGTGTGGAAGAAGGATCAGGGGGAAAGAGACAGGGAGGGAGGAGAAGGGGAGGGAGAGGAGAAGGGGAGGGAAGAGTGGGGAAGGTTGTGGACAGGGGTAGGGTGGAGAGGTGGGAAGGGAGGGTCACGAGGAAGGAGCGCGGGAGGGAGAAGAGGAAGCAGGAGACGAGCGGCGCCGCCTCTTGGAGCTGTTCTCATGAGAGCACTCGGACCTGCTACGTTTGTGGGAAGAAGAGGGAGTGGGAGAATGTGAAGAGCAACCTGGGTCAGGTAAATCTGAAACAGGAGAGGGACCTAAAATAAACTCCTCTGAACCTGGAGAGGAAGAGGCAAGAAGGGGAGAAGAAGGAGCACTACCAGGAGGAGAGGGGACAGCTGCACCAACGATTGGAGGGACCTGAATAGGAGCAACAGTGGGCGAGGCAGGAGCTGGATCCAGAGTCTGCACAAAAAAGTCCAGGAACTCCTCCAGGCTCTGGAAATCAGAGGCAGAAAAAGAAGACGTAGAGGGAGAAAAGGGAGAAGCAGGACGTGAGGGGGAGGAAAGAAAAGGAGAAGGAGGGGCAGAAACAGGAGGGGAAGGGGCAGCTGCACCATAAGTAGGAGGAACCTGAAGAGGAGAAGTAGTGGGGGAAACAGGAGCTGAATCCAGAGTCTGCACAAAAAAGTCCAGGAACTCCTCAACGCTCTGGAAATCTGAATCGGAAAAATCAGAAGAACAGGAAGCAAAGGGTGAGGGAGATGTGGGAGATGGAACAGGAGAGGGAGGCTCAACATCAGGATCCACAAGGTCCACCTGCGGAGGGAGAACCGCCTGCGGAGGGAGAACCGCCTGCGGAGGGAGAACCGCCTGCGGAGGGAGAACCGCCTGCGGAGGGAGAACCGCCTGCGGAGGGAGAACCGCCTGCGGAGGGAGAACCGCCTGCGGAGGGAGAACCGCCTGCGGAGGGAGAACCACCTGCAGAGGGAGAACCACCTGCAGGGGATAGAAACCCTGGGGAGGGTAGCCCACCTGCTGGGGATGGAAACCCTGGGGAGGGTAGTCCACCTGCGGGGGATGGAAACCCTGGGGAGGGTAGTCCACCTGCGGGGGATAGAAACCCTGGGGAGGGTAGTCCACCTGCGGAGGATAGAAACCCTGGGGAGGGTAGTCCACCTGAGGGGGATGGAAACCCTGGGGAGGGTAGTCCACCTGCGGGGGATAGAAACCCAGGGGAGGGTAGTCCACCTGCGGGGGATGGAAACCCTGGGGAAGGTAGGCCACCTGCGGGGGATGGAAACCCTGGGGAAGGTAGGCCACCCGCGGGGGATGGAAACCCTGGGGAAGGTAGGCCACCTGCGGGGGAAAGAAACCCTGGGGAGGGTAGACCACCTGCGGGGGATGGAAACCCTGGGGAAGGTAGGGCCACCTGTGGGGGAAAGAAACCCTGGGGAGGGTAGACCACCTGCGGGAGATAGAAACCCTGCGGAGGGAGGTGGAGATGTTCCCAATCTTCAAGGTGACCTAGAAAAGAACAACATTTAAGTCAACTATTTGTCGTTTTTAGCATCATTCATACATGTTTGAAATATTTAAATCCTAATATGCAAGACACCGTTGTTTCGCTGAGCCCTCTGTCCATGTGTAGGACAGTCACAAGAACACATTTTCCAATAAACGCCAATAATGTGATTCATTTTAAAATTGTCATTTTGAGGCTTTTTCCACTGCCAAATGGCATAAAAACTGCAAATTGATCATTTGAAATTCTTAAAACATTTAACACTGTTCTGGAACTGGAAGAAATTATAACAAATTCAGTCTCAGTTAACCATAAATACTCCTATAAAACAAAATAAATAAAAAGCAACCATTGAGTCTTTGATCTCCCTGATTATTTTGTCTTTGATGCTATTGTACAGCTCTAGGACTACCTTTTGGGACAAAAGATTTCTCCCAGGCAAATACCGAGGGTCAAATGTGAGGAACATTTTTCGAAATGCGGATGCTCAGCTGTCTTGTTTAAACGTTGTTAGACGTAATGGGATTTTTTTTAAAAAATACACGCAAAGTATGGCATTTTTGACAAAACAGGAAAATAATTACCTTTGGAAGCTTGAAATATTCAACCATTTCTTAATAATTCTCCCAAACGTCTGAAATATTGGCCAACAATTGTATTCTTTATGGAACAGCATTTATTTCAAATAAAAATCCTTTATTTTGGTGCTTTAAAGTGCACATCGGAATTTGAATGATTTTCTATAAATATACAAAAAAAATTGTAAAAAGGGGAAGTAACTTTGCTAACAAAGATAGTTTTCAGTGTGTCTGGAATATGGGATAAGAGTCTGAATTAAAGCTAAGTGAGAAGCTTGTGTGTAGATTTTTTTTTAAACTTTTGGGCACAAGCTACGTGTCATATATAAATGATATATAGTTATACTGTTATACTGTTTACGGCACCTGCTTTACGGCAAGAGCGCCTGAGTTATATAGAGACGTTAGCCTGGAAACGTTATTAGCTTAAAGGGGACATATCATGAAAAATCCACTTTTTGTGTCTTAAATGCCTGATGTTGTGTAGTTGGAGCCTCTAGAAGTGCAAAAAAGTTGAAATCAGTCTCTTCATGGGTTGCAGAGAACACTTCATATTCTGTTTAGGTAAGATTTTTCAACCCGTTCTGATTTTGCCATTCTCTATTACGTGTTTAGAATTATTACGTCACAGTATTTGCAGCGAGACTGCTATATAAGGGCATGGGCGTCTAACAAAACACTTCGGCCCAGCCCTCCTCTACTGTGCATCACTTCGAATTTGTAGTCCAAGCTCAAGGATGCCAGCGCACAGGGCTGGACTGGCCATCGGGCGTACCAGGCAATGCCCAAAGGGCGATGCCCATATTTGGGCCGGTCTGTCTGCCTCATACAAAACACATTGTATGAGATTTTATGAGAAGTGTAAATCCGTTGAGAATTGTTCGAGCAGGCGCATATCCGCGGGGCACCTGCTGTATGTACTCGAACGGAATTCCGCCACCTCAGCGGCCGCAGTGTTCCGGGGCATCTGCGGCCGCTTTATAATGAGCAGCTTCCGCGTCCAGCGGCTGCAAGAGGCTGTGAGCGTCCAGCCGCTCGCAGCCGCTCGCAGCCGGTAGCCCCCCGGTCGCTGAGAATGCGCTCTGGACATCCGAAAAGATGGATCCAATGTGTGTATAACGCACGTGCTGTGGTCTCTGCTCCCTGGTCTCTAGTGGGGACAGCAACAGCAAATTTTGAAAATAAATCAGTCATAACAAGAATGTATGTGTACGGGTCCCCCTCTCGTCCCAATGATAGATAATCTATACCCATAATCTCAAATGGGTATGAGGTGACGATTGGTAGTAGGGCATAGTGAACTGTGCAGTGATGGAATTAGATCCAGTCCTAGAACTTGTACCTGCTTGTGCCTGCATGTTTAACAGTGGTACGGATCCTGTCAGCAACGCCAAAATTGTCACACAGGGTGTGAGGTTCTTTTTAGATCCGTTTAAAGAAACACCACTGTTAAATAACAAGCCCAAGTAAAGCAGGTTCACAAGCTTTAATATAACATGATATAAAAAGTCTTAAAGTATACGACTAAAAGCTGGTATTAAAATACATAAAAGTCAGTATAAAAAAGATTGAAATCTGGAGCTCCAAAGACCGCAGTCTGTCTCTAAGACTGCGCGCGTGTCCCCGCCTCACGCCGGTATGGGCCCTCGGTTGGTGTCTGCGGAGGAAACACAATTCCGCTGTCAGTTTCTCTCAAAGCTATAGTTCATATTATGCGCCTTGTAGAGCTTATGGGGCCGTCCCTTTAGTCTGCGCCTAGAGAGCGTTGTATAAATCAGCGGTGGTCCCCAGGTCGCGTCCTCTTCACGCCGCCTCAGACTCACACGCTCCCGGTTCCTCCAGAGCACTGGGCACAGTGAAGCCTCAAGGTAGGAGGGGGAAATGGGGCAGAGAGCCAGACCACAGTACCAGTACGGAGTAAGTATATTACACGTCCCTTTACTTAGCTCGTGTGGGCGTTTCTGGGTCTCCTGCCCCTGCGGCCTGGTCCCGCGGAACTGCTGCGGCCTGGTCCCGCGGATCTGCTCCCGGCCTGGTCCCGCTGATCTGCTCCCGGCCTGGACCCGCTGATCTGCTCCCGGCCTGGTCCCGCTGATCTGCTCCCGGCCTGGTCCCGCTGATCTGCTCCCGGCCTGGTCCCGCTGATCTGCTCCCGGCCTGGTCCCGCTGATCTGCTCCTTGCCTGGTCCCGCTGATCTGCTCCCGGCCTGGTCCCGCTGATCTGTTCCCGGCCTGGTCCCGCTGATCTGCTCCCGGCCTGGTCCCGCTGATCTGCTCTCTCTTCTTCCGTGTGGAATGTCTCTTGTCAAAGTTTTGTTTCCGCACCACCAGACTCCTCCCCCATTCATTCATAATTCCCTTTTTTATAGTGGGAAAGAGCAGCGTCAACCAATTGCTGTCTGGGGGTGTGGGCTGCTCCACAGCCTCTGCCGTAGTCCAATCTACTCAGTCCCATGCAGGCAAAACACAGCAAACTACACTAAAATACACACTTGGATGCAAAAGATAACAACCGAAAGAGGACTACAGCTAGATTAGATGGGTGCCACTGACAATCATTTTTGTATTACAATGTTTGTAGCAGAGGCTATTTCCCCAAAATAAAATAACCAGAAGAGCCTATTCTTAATGTTGTCTTCTTGGTTATTATTTTGGGGGGCCACGCAGACCCGTCAGATTTTTAAGGGGGCCTCGGTGTTACTGAGTTTGGGAATGGCTGCTCTACAGTATTTGCTTCCACATACTGTATAAACTAGGAGTCGGCCACCTGCGGCTCCGGAGGCGCATGCGTCTTTTTCTCTGTTCTTAACGTTTTTAAATGCTGTAAAATTGTGCATAAGTAATATTCAATTTAAACATTTCTGTGCGTCTTATCCTGCGACGTAGGCCCGCGCCAGGCGGCCGCTGTTGTAAACAAACCGGCATGTGAGCTGAGCTCTGCTTGTGTACAAGTCTCTCCATGGCCTCGCTCCAAAATATATTAGTGACACTCTGAGGACTCTGAGGAGCACAGGGACTGGACTCCTGCTGGGACTCTGAGGAGCACAGGGACTGGACTCCTGCTGGGACTCTGAGGAGCACAGGGACTGGACTCCTGCTGGGACTCTGAGGAGCACAGGGACTGGACTCCTGCTGGGACTCTGAGGAGCACAGGGACTGGACTCCTGCTGGGACTCTGAGGAGCACAGGGACTGGACTCCTGCTGGGACTCTGAGGAGCACAGGGACTGGACTCCTGCTGGGACTCTGAGGAGCACAGGGACTGGACTCCTGCTGGGACTCTGAGGAGTACAGGGACTGGACTCCTGCTGGGACTCTGAGGAGCATAGGGACTGGACTCCTGTTAGTGCCCAGACTCAGAACTAAACATGGGGAGGCTGCTTTTCAGATTCATGCTGCTAAAATCTGGAACAGTCTTCCTGAAGATGTGAGACAGGCCTCCTCTCTGACAATGTTTAAAGGAATAGTTCACCGTTTTTACATACTGACATATGTTCTTACCTTACCTTAGACTAGTTAATACATACCTGTCTGGTCTTAGTCCGTGCGCTCTGTCATGCAAACGGAGCAAAAACGGGAGCACAAATGCAGCCTCCTCTGTATATTTTGTAGCACCAAAAGGTAGCTCCCGCTAGAAGCTACCAAACTCTTCCAAGTGTTCCCTATTAAATGTATAGTTACGTGACGTGTTACACTGCAAAGTATAGTAACACAGAAATGTAACAGTCGATTTTCTCAGCGGATAAAACGGGTACTATATTGTGAGGCGTAGTAATCTGAGGAGCGCTACGGCCGCGCACTGACTTCTCTCCGTACTACAAGTCACGCTGCTTCTATTGACGGAAGTGAGCGAGAGAGAAGTCTCCGGAGAGAAGTTAGTGCGCGGACATAGCGCTACGCATCGCAAATGACCTGATGTGCTTCAAGTGAAAAGACTGTATCTGGAGATCTGATGTGCATCTGGAGAGACCAAAACCATGGCTTGGACCCTACTGATGTCCAAGATGACATCTCTCGAAATATGACCTGACCTGATGACGACTGAGACCTAACCTCACCCTCAGGGGACCCTGAGGACCTGAGGATCTGAGAGAGAAAAACCTGGGGAGTGATGTTTATATTTTTGAAATCATGCCACTGATGAGTGCTAAATGAGAGAGATACTCATGATTCTTCTTTTGTTTTTGTTTGTCCCTAGCTTCTGGACATCTGATGATCTATTGGACACAGCCATTTGCAGAACAAGAACCAGCCAATGAAAAATCGTCTATTGCCGATGCTATTGCTACAACCAGAACCACAACTGTGACAAATGCAATATACATGTTAAGTATTCAGACATCTGACAGACAAAAACTTTGAAAATGATAAAGTATGAGTATTGTAGCGTTTTAGTAGATGTTAAATAGTAGTAAAAAAAGTAGAATTTGACTTCCTTTGTTGTTAATAAACACATTTCCACATAAGAGTTAAAATAGTACCATACAATGTTATCCTTCTGATAGAGCAGCTAGAATATTAGAATCAGAATAATGTTACAGCTATTAAAAGTGACAGAAGTCACAAACTAGAAATATGCCTTGACTCAAGCTGCAGCCAAGCTTTGGAGTCACAATAGTGTAGAAATAGAATTAGATAAATGCATCAACCATAGATGCTTTCAAAAATAGAGATTATTTGTAGCCAGTGCTAATATCAAATGGTAAAGGGACCATTTCACAAACTTTACTTCAGAAGATTGTGTAAGCTCTCAGTCGTACAGGGATTAGTCAAAGCAAAGGAAGGTTTCTCACCCATCATCTGTACTTCTTAGCAAGTTTTCCCGACGTTTCGTCCTCAACCTAGCGGACTTCTTCAGGGAATGAATTCTCGGACCGCGCGTTGGAGATTTATAACCTATGGGTGTGGTTAGCCACACCCTAATCCTGATACTAACTCATAAACAATCTACGGTCTGCTTGATGTAGAAGGGAGCAGGTCTAACGACCCTGCTGAGGCGAGGAGTTAGGGTCGTTAGCCTCAGCAGGGTCGTTAGACCTGCTCCGCGCGCGGTCCGAGAATTCATTCCCTGAAGAAGTCCGCTAGGTTGAAGACGAAACGTCGGGAAAACTTGCTAAGAAGTACAGATGATGGGTGAGAAACCTTCCTTTGCTTTTACTTCAGAAGTAAATAAAGTTACTTACAGTTTTATGTACAGTTTTATTAGATACCTTCCAAATTCACTTGTGTTCACACATGAGTGAATGTTGGCAATGCAAAAAGTTCATGAGTGTAGCCTAGATTAATGCCTAGATCAATGAGATAGATTACAACCAACAGAGATTCAAAAGCATTTTGATGTATTTGTGTATAGCACAAAAACAAAATAGTAGATATTTGGATATCTTTGAGAAGTTTAAAAAGCTGTAGATTCATCAGCACAGATTAAACTTTACACTAATGATTTACCTTATGTACTAAACAAAACTGAAGTTGTCATGTATGCTGACGACTCGACCATGTATTATTCCAATTCAAATGTGAATGAAATATCAAATGTATTAAAAGATGATTTGGCCGAGGTCCTCAAGTGGGTTAAAAGCAACAACATGATTTAAAATATTTCTAAAACAAGATCTATGCTTGTTGGAAGTAAACCACGTCTACATGAAAGGTGACAATTAAAGTTGACTATGGAGGGAGCCGAGTTAGAACAGGTTGAGCAAATTAAACTTTTAGGTGTTATAGTGGATCACCATCTCTCATGGTCACCGCACATTGACCATGTGATTAGTAAGATGGGTAGCGCTATTGGTGTGGTGAGAAGGTGTTCTTATTTTGTACCTACAACAATTTTGAAGCAGGTGGTCCAATCCCTCGTTTTATCTAATCTTGAATACTGCTCCATTATATGGTCTGCTGCATGCAACACAGATATATCTAGATTGCAAGTTGTACAGAACAAGGCTGCAAGACTGGTTTTAAATTGTTCTTATTTTACCAGTATAAACAAAATGCATAAAATTTTATCCTGGCCTTTGGTTCACAATAAGCTACAGTATAGCCTATTAATATTCTGAAAAAAGCAATACTTACTGGTGAACCAATTTCAATGTTTGAAAAAATCACATGTGTACATCAGATTCACTCCCATTCTACTAGGCAGGCTCAAAATGCTGACTTGGTCGTCAATCGGCCCAGAACAAAATCATTGAAAAAGACTGTTATTTTCAGAGCGACTCAACTTTGGAATAAGCTTCCTAGGGAGATGAGAGATCAAACTTCTCTACATATTTTTAAAAGAAAACTCAAATATCAAATGTGCAATGCATCATTTTAATGCATGGCTTCATGCCTTGATGCCTTGTGTTGTTTACGGAGGCTGACTTGGCAATTGATTTAATTGATCTATTTGATCTATGCTTTTAACATTATGGTAGTGAATTCATGTATTGTATTGAATAATGTACTGTATTTATTTTTTTGTATTTTTATTTTCTTTTCTTTTTTGTAATACAGTCGTCTTAACTGGGACCCCAGGAAGATTAGCAACCACTTTGGTGGAAGCTAATGGGGATCCCCAATAAACAAATAAACCAATAAACAAATCTTGCAGAGGACACTCAATCGCAAACTGAGTTTGAGACTACAGGTTCATCTCATCATACTGTAGATAAACAGGTTACTCGGTCTGTAAGTGATAAATCTGATGTGGTCTCTTACACCAGGTCTGGGAGAGCAGTAAAGCTTCCTGCTCGATACCAAGAGTAATATGAATGTCTCTGTGTCAAGATAAATGATATTGCGTATACAATATTTTGAGTTTAGAGCAATGCATGTGAGTTTTGCAACATGTTTTATTTGTTGTAATGTTTGGGTCACAATTGATGTCAACTTGAAACAAAAGTTCTGATTGCATGTTTTGTACTTAAGATACATCGTTATAATGTAATGCTAAAACTTGTTAAGAAGGGGGATGTGATGTAAGTTAGTACAAACAGGCACCCGTAGCCAATGGTGACTTACGCACTTAAGTCAGGAAGGCGGGAGTGTTGTTATGTTATGTGGCACAGAGTAAATGCCATCCATCCATTTTCTTCCGCTTCATCCGTTGCCGGGTCGCGGGGGCAGCAGTCTAAGCAGAGACGCCCAGACTTTTCCTATCCACACACACCTCCTCCAGCTCGTCCGGGGGGACCCCAAGGCGTTCCCAGGCCAGCTGAGAGACATAGTCCCTCCAGCGTGTCCTGGGTCTTCCCGGGGCCTCTGTGGAGATGAATAAATTACCTCCAACGATCTGGCTTCATCTTTCTTGTACTCCCATACCCTCGGTTACATTGGTGGCAGCGGTGGGATTCCTCCAGTGCAGGAGTCCATTGTCCTAAGGTGAAAAGTATACCTCCGTGAGGCTGACTTGCACGAGGGCAGCTAGTGTTAGCCACTGCTAACTAGCGTTTTTTTTCTTCTTCTCTTTTTGCGGCGTTATAACAAGAGGCTGCTAACATGTGGACAAGGGATCTTCCACCGCTATTTTCTGGCTCAGACAATGAGAGCTTCTCGTGTTGGTCCCGCCAGTATGAGGTGGCTGTGAGGGCGCTAGTTTCAGGCACTGGTGGTGACTTTGACTATGAACTGGCCAGGATACTTCCTACAAGGCTCTCCAAGGCTGCTTTTCTTCTGTGGGACAGTCTTCCAGCAGCCGTCCAGGCAGATTACCGTGCAGTGAAAGAAAGGCTGCAGGATGCTTTCAGACAAAGACATTTCCTGGACTGTTTTAAAGCAAATCTCTCGGCCCGAAAGCGCTCCCCTGGTGAAAGCCTAGATGTTTATGCCGCTGACATTGGAAAGCTCGTACAAGAGGCTTTCCCAAATTATGGTTCAGCAGCTCAAAGGGAAGAAAAGTTTCGTAGATTTTTAGCTGGACTTGACTCATGTCTGCGAGCAAAATGTCAGGAACAGGGAGCCACAGATTTGGATGAGGCCCTTGTGATTGCAGCGCGCTGTGATATGGCCCGGGAAACACTCAGGAATGACTATATGTACCCCATAGACAGTGGAAACATTAAACCAACCACTGCTCTGGTACAGTCCATCTCAGAGGGGACTAGTTGGCAACGCACGATCGACAGATTGGCCGAAGATATGAAAGAAATGAGAACGGATGTTCGAAAGCTCTCGGAGGAAAATGAGAGACTCAGACAGGGTGCTCGAGATGGCTCCTCTACCACGCATCAACGTTGTCAATGTCGGTGTGGGGCTAGAGGCTGCCAGTCCCTGCGTTCCTGGAGTGAGCCAAGAGGGCGGTCACCTGAGGCCGGTTGGCAGCAGCGGCGTGGGGAGAAGTATTCCGGTCCAGAGCGGCGCTCGCCGTCACCCTACAATCGCCGTTCATCATCGCCGTACAATTCCCGCTCTGACTCTCCAGGGAGGCAGAACCTGAAGCCCACCGGGGACGTCGTCTTCAACGCCCCGGAGCAACGTCGTGGAGTGCGGTTCCTTTCCCCAGACAACCACCAACAGGGAAACGGGATGTAGCTGTCGTCGCGGGCCAGACCCCAGCTACATCACCTGTGCGGCCCCAGTTGAATGATTCATTTCAGCCCTTTGCCAGTCATGTCACAGCACGGTTCCCTAATACGGTACAACTCTCCTCATATGTAAGGGGGGTTATTGAAGGTACAGAGCTGGATATCTTAATTGACTCTGGTTCTACTGTATCCTTCATAAGTGCAGATTTTCGTCAATCAATTCCGGCTCTTCGCAAGCGGCCTTTAGGCACAGATCTTATTGCCGCTTGTGCTGTGAATGGGGAGCTATTGGACACATTAGGTACAGTGACCGTTACCTTACGCTTAGGCAGTCAGTCGATGCAGCATGTTTTCCATGTGCTCCGGAAATCTACTCAAACAGCACTTCTCGGCCTGGACTTCCTTATCTCACAGCATGCACTGTTAGACTTCCCTCGTGCTAAGTTGCAGCTGTGGGGCACAGAGATTTCCTTGCTGAGTAGTGCGGATTTGATCCCAGGGTGTTGTAATGTGTCTCTCCTTACTAGTCTGACATTGCCCCCACTTTGTGAGATGCAGGTGCCCGTCCGCGTGTCCTCCTCTAGGCCCACAGACCGTCTCCCTGACTTTGTTGGTTACCTTGAGCCTAACCCCCAGAGTAGTAGTGAGTGTGTTGTTGCGCACACCGTCTCCTCAGTTAACAAGGGTTTGACTGTGTGGCCGAGTAGCATATAAAAGGAAAAGCAACGCCACCTAGTTTTAAAAATGAGACTAGGACTCAATAAAGGAAGGTTCTTAAAAACAAGGTGAGCAGTGTAAAAACCAGAGTTTTAAAAGGGATAAAACTATTTATTACAAATAAAATTACAGAATAAAATACTAAAAATATAAAAGCAAAGTCCAGTTAAAAGTCCAGCAAGGGCAGGGGCAACTCCGCAGACCTAAAACCAGAGGAGCAGGAGGCAGTAAAACGTTCTTTTTAAAAATAGAAATCTGTAGGTTAAAAGTGGGATGAATCCCGGCCAGAGCACTAAAGGTCACTTACGTGCACGGGCAGAGAAACTCTGCCCGCTGCGGTGATGTCACGTCGTGCTCTGGCTCCACACGAGGGAATGGCTGGCCAGGCCCCTCCCTGAAACAAAAACGGGTCTCCCACAGTAAAACTCCTTAAAGACAGATTTCTATCGGCCAGCAGCAGCCGTATGCCCGACCAGAGCACTACAATGTTACTTACAGGCACGGGCAGAGAGACTCTGCCCGCTGCGTGTAGTCCGCGTCGCGCTCTGGCTTTCCGTGGGTCCTGTGCAGGTACTGCTGACTGCTGCTGCCGTTCTCCATTGCCTCCTCTCCTCGGTCGCCCAAGACGCCCTGTCGTCCACCTGTCTCCTCTCTGCCCGGGACGGGGCCGCAGTCTCGCCAGCCACAGGTTGCCACTGGGCACACGCAGGGGAGAGCGGGCACATTCCCTTGATGATGTTGGGCCTAGCCCGGTGCACACACGCCTCTCTGCGCTTTCAATGCGCGCCCATCACCGGTGCCGCTCTCCCCGCTGGCCTCAGTCCCCCGTCGTCTCTGGCTGGCGGTGCCCCTCCTTTGGCCCAGTCTGGTGTCCTCCTCCTTCTTCCTCCCCCATAGTCTGTTTAAAAAACCCTTTTCTCATTGGCTCCAGCCCCCAGTGTCTATGTCCATTCGTTAAAATCAGTGGAAGCTGCCACAGGTGTGAGGATAAAAAACAGGAAGTAAAAACACACAGTGCGGCACACAAAACACATTTCAAAATAAAAGCATGCATAAAAACAAAGTGCGCTGTGCGTCTACCCTGTGACATCTGTAGCCCGACTTTTAAACCCCACCAAGGAGAACCTAGTGATACGAGGGGGTACACATTTGGGGGAATTTTTCTCTGTGGGGGATGGTGACCTGGTGCTGCCTCCTACACGAGGTAGTGGCACTGTAGCTGCTGTAGGGTCTGATGCAGTGCCCCCGGTGTCTTTGGATGGGTCGCCTGCCAGTTCAGACCAGGTCACGCAGTTGAAAGCGCTACTGGCAGAGTACATAGACATATTTAGTACTAGTAAGGCGGTAACTGGTAAATGTACTCTGGTCAAGCACCACATTAACACTGGTGACCACCCACCTCAGAGACAACGTGCTTATCGCACTTCCCCTGAGAAGAGGGAGGTGATTGACCGCCAGGTGAAAGCCCTGTTGGTTGATGGGGTAATAGAGGAGAGCTGCAGCCCCTGGGCCTCGCCTGTTGTCCTTGTAAAAAAAAAGAATGGTGAATGGCGATTTTGTATTGATTACAGACGACTGAACAGTGTTACAGTGAAGGACTGTCATCCTCTGCCCCGGATAGATGATACTCTGGATGCCCTCTCTGGCTCGTGCTGGTTCAGTACACTTGATTTTTCAAACGGCTATTGGCAGATCGAGGTGGCTGAGGAAGACAGACAAAAGACAGCTTTTACCACAGGGAGAGGCCTGTACCAGTGGAGGTCTATGCCCATGGGCCTGACCAACTCCCCTGCTACATTCCAACGTGTAATGGAGCTGGTTCTGCGCGGACTCCCGTGGCAGGTCTGTATGGTGTACTTGGACGATGTGTTAATATTCAGTCCTACGTTTGAGGAGCACCTGTCCAACCTGCGGGAGGTGTTTTCTCGTATCCAGGCAGCGGGTCTCAAGCTCAATCCCCAGAAGTGTCACCTGGCTCGGGATCATGTGGTGTTCCTTGGCCACGTTGTTTCCAGTCGGGGCCTGCAGCCGGACCCCAGGAACACTAACAAGGTCAAGTCATGGCCCACACCGCGTTCGCCCACAGAGGTGAGAGCCTTCCTGGGACTCTGTTCATATTACAGGCGCTTTGTGAAAGATTTTGCTCGCCTTGCGGCCCCATTGCATCATCTCACATGTAAGGATGTCCCTTTTGCTTGGACTGAGGGCTGTGATGCTGCATTTGGGCATTTTAAATCGGTGCTCTCATCTGCCCCCATAGTGACCATGCCTGACTTTAATGTTCCATTTAAGGTGTACACTGATGCGTCTATGGAAGCTGTTGGGGCGGTGTTAGCTCAGGATAAAGATGGGCTGGAGAGAGTCGTCGTATATGCTAGTCAATCGCTTACTAATACTCAAAAGCGTTGGGCTACATTTGATAAGGAGCTATGGGCTGTGGTGTGGGCTGTGCGTCAGTTTAGACATTACATCGGATCATCCCCTTTTACTATCATAACTGACCATAAGCCTCTTTTAGGACTCCGGGGCATGTCAATTGATAAGGACCCATCCGGAAAGAGGGCCCGGTGGATCCTTGAACTGGACCCGTATAACTGGAGTATGCAGCACAAGGAGGGGCGCCGTCATACTAATGCGGATGCCCTCTCACGGCGCCCCGAAGAGGTCCTGGGCCCTGCCCCCCTGGTCAATGTGATAAGCTCCTCTCCAGCGCCACACTCCGCTCCTATTGATGCCCAGGTCAGGGTGCACTTTCCTCCGGTGCCCTCTCTGCCGGTGCCCTCTCCGCCTGTGCCCTCTCCGCCTGTGCCCTCTCCGCCTGCGCCCTCTCCACCTGCGCCCTCTCCACCTGCGCCCTCTCCACCTGCGCCCTCTCCACCCGGGGCTCCTCCTGTGGGTGGAGAACGCTGGCATTCACTGATGGGTGACAGTGATTATATTGCCAGGCTTCAGAGGGAAGATCCGGACATTGGTACTGTATTGGACTGGATCAGGGCTGGGGGTTCTCGTCCACCAAGGGGGCAGTTGCGTGGCTCGCGGTGGCTGCGGAAATTGTGGGCGGAGTTCCCCAGGCTTTCCCTGGTGGGGGAGCTTCTTTGCCGGACAGTTTATCCCTCTCCTGTGGGGGAACCCCAGCATCAAGTTGTGGTGCCGGCATCGCTGGTTCCAGAGTTGTTAAGCCAGTTGCACGGCGGCCCTGTTTCTGCACATTTTTCAGCGGAGAGAGTGTGGACGCAGGCCAGGACGGTCTGTTATTGGCCCTCCATGCTCAAAGACATTAGGCAGTGGTGTGAACAGTGTGTACCATGTCAGACTCGCAAAGCCCCTGTACCTAAACACAGGGCTCCGATGGGAGGGTTGCAGACTGTGCGTCCGTTTCAGCGTGTGGCTATGGACATTTTGGAACTTCCGGTAACTTCCAAGGGCAATCGCTATGTGTTGGTGGTGAACGATTATTTTTCAAAGTTTGTCAATCTGTATGCATTACCTAACCAGACTGCTCTGACTGTGGCTCAATGTCTGTTTGATGATTATGTGCTTCTGCATGGTGTTCCAGAGACTGTACATAGCGATCAGGGCAGACAGTTTGAGGCGGAGATTGTGCAGAGTTTATGTTCGCTCTTGGGCATTAAGAAAACACGCACAGCTCCATACAATCCAAAGTCGGATGGTATGGTCGAGCGGTTTAATCGTACCCTCATTGACCAGCTCGCAAAATCATTGCTGTCATGTGGTGGTGAATGGGATGACTACCTCAAACATGTGGCTTTTGCTTATAATACCTCTGTTCATGCATGTACGGGTTACACCCCCTTTTACCTATTACATGGACGTGAAGCCCGGGTCCCGGTGAATATGATGTCGACACCCACTGCTCTTCGCTTGCCTATTTCTCATGAGGATTTTGCCTCCTCTCTCGCAGAGAAGTTGGGAGTGGCCTTTGCTAACACTAGGCAAAATGCTACAGTTGCCCATGAGAGTCAGAAATTGTATCATGATGTAGGGGCTCGACACAAACCGTACAATGTGGGTGATTTGGTGTGGCTTCACAACCCCAGGGAGGATAGGATGAAGCTAGCTGCGCACTGGAAAGGCCCCTTTAGGGTTGCTGATACTGTGAACTCTGGGGAGGTAACAGGGCTCTCGTATCGTATTTGTGATCCTTTAGTTGATGGGCCTGGACTTGTCGTCCATTTTGATAGGTTAAAGCCCTATACCCTGGGTTCTCTGCCCAGTCGCCCATCTGGTGCCCGCCCTGGTCTGACCTGTGGGTCTCCTGATGGGTCTGGTGTGGGTTTGTTGTTTGATATGCAACCTGATGAGCCGGAGTTTACTCGGCCACTGACTGAGTCACGGGTGGGTAGGGCTTTGAAAGTGCCTGCCCGCTTTAAGGATTTTGTTACTTACAGTTGATGTAACACACGGCCCCCTAAGACACGAAAACCCAGGAGCAGAGATGCCAGGAGAACGAAAAATACTTCCAAGCCTTTATTTGGCAAAAACAAAGTAGCAAACTTAGGTAGCACTCCAGAGCTCAGAACATGAGGGAAACAGAGACAATCTGGCAAAGACCAAAGGAACAGGTGGGGTGATATACAGAGTAATCAAACACAGGTGCAACACATTAGGGCGGGGCAAACAAATCACAGGCAGGAAACAGGGAGTGATGTAAATCTAAAGCATAGCGAACAGGTAAGTATTTCAAAATAAAATGTCCAATAAACCAGGGGTATGACAGTTGAGGATTTTGTTTACTTTTGTTTGTTCTTTTGTTACTGCTCTTGACATGCAGTGTGGCATTGGTCTATTTATCACTGTGTTTTTTTTCCCGATGTGGTTAAACGGGGACGTTTTTTTCTCTGTTGGGGGGGAAGTATGTAAATTACTTTTCTGTATTCACAGCATTATTCTATGCTTTTATTTTGAAAGGGAAAAGACCGAAAATGAGTCGACCTGTTGTTTCCGTGCTGAGTTGCATTTTTTTGAGACGGAGCTGTGGAGATGAATAAATTACCTCCAACGATCTGGCTTCATCTTTCTTGTACTCCCATACCCTCGGTTACATCAGGTTTTCATCCATATTGCAATGGTGATTCAACATTTAATTAGAGTTGAGATTTCAATGTCAACCATTCTGATAGTTTTGATGGAAAATCAATATATTTTCAATGTCACCTGCTCCTATACACCCTGCTCCTGCTCTGTACAGAATTGTGCAGCCCTAGTTCTGAAAATATGTAACAACAGTACAGCAGCCCTGTCATTTACACTTAGCCACCAGGGGGCCTCATAAGGACGGCTCAGGGCAACGGCTCCTGACTGCTTCGAGTGCATGCACTACACCAGCACTTGTTTCATTCTTCTCATTTCTTTTTTTAATGTTTGATCACCTTGAAAAAGAATGTCTAGAATAAAAAACGACTTGGGCATTTCAATAGAAAATAGTGACATCTAATCCTGCAAATGTGGTCCTGGCAGCGATGGCAGCCTATGTATCTGTCTTCCAAGTTGGAATGGAGATTCCAACTTCGAAGATTCAGACATGTTTTCATCCCAAAAGGGAAGACATGTTTTCCAAAAATAATATATCATGTACCCATCAATGTCCATGACAATTACACAGATCTCAGTCAAGTTTATTCACAGCCAAAGGAATCTGAAGCGGGAACATTGTTCAGAGTGTAAAAATATGGCTGAAAACTTCCCACGGTGAGGGGCTGTCTGCTTCCCAATGTGTTTCAGCTCATTCAATGGTTTTAATTTTATTCACAAATAAGTCAAATATACATTTATTCTCACAATGTTTGAATACTTAAATTTGCATTGATTATTAAATGCATAAACTTTACTCATGAAGAGCTTTAAAGTTGTACTCCACTTTTGTTGCAGCAGGTTGTAATATGTATTATAATGTTTTTAACTGTTTTTATTTTGTATTAACTGTATATATATGTACATTTTAACCTGTACTATTCTACCTACTGCTGTATGTATCGACTATATCTGATTATTGCATACACAAATGATGTAAATGTTTTCTGAGTGTTGTGTTTTTTGTAGGGTGTGGAGCGGGATCAGAGTCTGTGTGTGTTAAATGTGTGTATTGTATTACATGTATTGTGTTTGTTTTTTGTTCATGGGACCCTCTCGAAAATGAGATGCTGCATCTCAGGGGCCTTTCCCTAAATACAATCAAATACAATCACACAATAATATTTAAAGTATTTCTTTCAATTGACACAACACAATAACATCACACTTGATCTGAGTGTGCCACAAGTGAGACTTGTCTTCTGTGAATGTGAAATGTGTCAATGAAAAGAGTTATAATACCTTTTTCATCATCATCAAATTAGTGTTCAGGGTGCGATGGTTACAATAATGGTATTCTTCAAAAGTATTGATCTCTCACAATGTTCCTCCAATGTCCATTATTACAAAGGAAAGAAAATAGAGGATGCACTTCTAAAACTGAACTGGATCATGATGTAAATGAGTCTGAGTGTGGAAGGGACTCGACTCTCACTTGTCTCGAGCGTTTTATGGATTTGCAGTATGTCTGGCATGTTTTAATTGTTATTTTATTACAGTTTTGAACACATATGCATATGTCTATAAATAAATGTATTTTTTTACAGTGTTTCGAATATTTTGTGAGGCCTTTTGAGTTGTGCAGTGGAGCAGGTGGACCTCAGACAGGGCCCCCAGCAGCTCTGCTCAAAGGAGGGGCCCAACGGAAACGGACCAATAAAATAAATCACTATCATCTGTCACTCGAGCATTTTTCAGGCCGTCGTAAAGCAATTGTTTCATGCACGAAGCATTTTGGTGCAGATGTGAAGGTTCATGACCAAAGTGCAAAACGCCGCCTTAAATGTGTCTTATTCAACAAAATCATTTTCAAATCCAAAAATGTAACCTCTATCCACTCACATAAGAAAACTATTATACATTTGTTCTTGTTTCATAAGTTATCACAAATCATTATGTAGTTTAGACTGGAAGACAACAAAGGCACAGCTTATGTAACATGGGATATATACTTACATTTACAAGAAATGCAGCTTCGGAGTTGATGGAACAGCTTTCAGAGGAGCTCAGGGCCACAGAGAATGTCCATTTTTAAGAACAGACTCAAGAAACACCTTTTTAAAGCCCAGGCACCTTTCTCTTTGTCTCAACAGAAAGTATGCTGAGAACAAATCTGACCAGAACATACTGGCAACAACTTTGTATTTTGTGGTCAAGAGAAAAAGAAAAAACATTATCTGATGAAGGCATAAAACCGAAACGTCATGAATATGAATAAATAAGATTTTGGAAATCTGAGAGTGCAGTACTTCCCTGTTTTCTTAAATTTTATTCTCGCGTCTGCACCTCATTAATTACTTTGTTGGTGTGTGCTACCTGCTCTTTCTACACTGTTTGCATACTTGTCAGACTGTACAATAAGTCACTTTAATTGTTTTGCTCTAGGACTGAAAAACCTCGCACTGTCACTTGTTTGATTTGACCTAGTATTTCTTGCACAAAAGAGACTATATTTGAACCTTTTTAACATGTTTGCAGACTTCCTGTCTTTTGGCTTCTATCTATGCCAAATGTGACATGTAAATCTTTCTGTTGTGAGATCAATAACGTTTATTTTTTTATTTGAGAAAGGAGGAAAAATACATATTGATGAACATTTACACAAATGTAAATAGGTCAGATTATAGCCTTAGGCTTATTTCCCCCTGGTGTTACAACACAAGTTAGTCAAAAACATACAGAGACACTATTTACAGACAACATACAGAGAGACAAGGACAAGAACAGTTATTGCATCAAGCAGCAAGCATGCAAGAGCGGACAACAAAGCACAATGTAGAAAACAGAAACACAATCTGTATTGCACATGCCCTGACTATCCTAATATTCCACTGACCCGTATTGCACCACTCTATATTACACTGACCCGTATTGCACCACTCTATATTACACTGACCCGTATTGCACCACTCTATATTACACTGACCCGTATTGCACTGCTCTATATTGCACTGACCCGCATTACACTGACCCGTATTGCACTGCTCTATAGTGCACTGACCCAATATTGGACCACTCTTTATTGCACTGACCTGTATTGCACAGCCCACATTACAATGATAATTGAAAGGCACCAACTCCGTTCCACGTCTGTTTTATCATCATGTATATGATTCCAGAAGCTCACTCCCTGACAGGGCTGGACTGGGACAAAAAAACGGCCCGGGCATTTTTTCCTTCTTAGCGGCCCAGGCAACTCAAAAGGTTCAAGGAGCCATATTTGACAAAAAAACTAAAAACATCTGTCTGGAGCCGGAAAAAAAACAAAACAGCGTTGTATAAGGCTTATATGAAGGTAACAGGGACTGAAGCTGTATTAGCTACAATAGCTACATTAGCTACATTAGCCTAATATCTAAATGACAAAGTAAAGACTACAAACACATAAAAACCATTCACGATTATCAAATGTGTATTTTCACTGCAGCGTGTCCTGGAGAGAATGACGCACCACGTGACGACTCTGCTTTAAGTTTAACCTTCATTCAATTGTAAATACAGTAAATAAATCTGCTTTTTGTCTCCGAGTTCACCTGCATCACTGTCTGTTCATATCCATCACAGGCTGAAGTTTGCTGGAGCTGAATGTCCTTAATGGCCTTTTCTTTCACCGTCTTTGCGGAGGTATTTGAAGTCTGAAAATAGGTGCTCTGACTTTATGATGAATGAATCTTTCAGTGAACAATGTTTAAAGCTTCATTGTTCCTCGTGTTGCAACAAAACTTTTCATTACATCGCAAACATGAAGCAGTCCTTCCTCATTGACTGAAAGAAAATGTTCATTCTCATTCTTAGTCCAGTCTTATTATCGACGCTCTCTCTTTATCTTTGGGATCCATATGCACACAGTTAAAATTGAATATTACTTATACACGTTTTTGCAGCATTGAAAAACGTCAAGAATGTTTTTCCTTCTACAGAAACCACATTCAAACTAGGAATAAAATATAGCCCTCACACTCCATTTTCAGACATTTTTGAAAAGGCTCCAGGAGCCACTTTAGGGGCACTAAAGGTTGACCCCTGGTTTATACAGTATGTGGAAGCAAATACTGTAGAGGACCAGGATGTCTGCAGTTTCAACAATAAAATAAAGTACAATAGTCTACATTAAACAGAGTAATAAACATGTCTCAGAGTGAGGGAGGTGGACACAGACAATACTATTGTTTGTTACAGGGATGAGAATTGGTCTAAAATGTCTGAAATGCATATTGTCAGCCATTAGCTGGCTCTAAATCTGTTTAATCTGTTCACAACATTTTACTTTTGGGCTCAAACATGAACTTTTAATGCAATGGAAAATTTAGGTACCCGAGCTTTAATTTAGAGGAGAGGGGAGACGCGGACTGTTTCCTGCAGCGGTGTATTTATTGGGTGCACAAATTACGAGAAGACATGCATGGTCCTGTGCGCGTTTATGGTCTTGGGTACATGGTCACGTTGCGGCTACGCGCTCACCGTGTTGTGTTGTGAGCGGCTCCCGGTGAGCGGCTCCCGCGTCCAGCTCAGAGCCGCTGGATGCGGGAACACTGCGGCCGCTGAGGTGGTGGAATCCCGTTCGAGTACATACAGCAGGTGCCCCGCGGACACGCGCGCTCCCCTCAAACATTTCTCAACGGATTTGCACTTTTCACAAACATGTGTTTTGTATGAGGCAGACAGACCGGCCCAAATATGGGCATCGGCCCTTCGGGCATTGCCCGGTACGCCCGATGGCCAGTCCAGCCCTGCTCCCTGATATGACAGGACGTTCTGTGATAAAGCGGTCCGTCTAAAAGTTTATCTTGTGGTGCTTTGGGTTGAGATCATTGGCTGAGAGGGGGTGGTCCTCTCTCCTTTCACTTGTCTGTCAGAAAAAGTTGATCTACAGATGTGACAAAGGCTGAAAATGAGTGATAAACTAAACCGTTATATTTATTTGTAATATAATTTTTCATCAACTGAGTTGCAATTGCAATCAATTAACGTGATACTTATACGCCCTAAAGCAGAGGTCGGGAATCATTTTAGCTGAGTGAGCCAATTAAGTCTCCTACACCCAAACACACACATACACAAATGCTCTCTGACCTCGGATTATTATGTGTGTGTTTGTGTTGTGAGGTGATCCAGTCATATTGTTGACCTATCAAGAGTTTTTCACACGTTCTGTTTGTAGTCTAGTTAAGTCCAGTTCCAGCTTTGCTTTAGTTCTGGATTTAGTCTCATGGTGCAAATGGTGATGTGGAGTTGGATTCCTCAGTGGGCGACTTCCGGAGCACGTCCTTTGCTTAATCCTTGTACCACAGATGCTCCTGCTGCGGCTCTGCACCTGCTGCCAGGCTGAACATCCACACTCCACAAAAGTGAAAGAACTGCGTATCACAATCACACATGGACGATATGCTGCCAGAACATTTATGTTTTAAATCCTGGAAAAACATAACGCCAAGTATGGATCAATTCTGGTTCACTTTGATAAAAAAAACGCTGCAATTGTGGAGATTTGAAGCAAGAAAACAACTGCACGGTGTTCACTGCAGGCGAACTCTGTGTGGAGTTTGCCTGTTCATGTTGTCTGCGTAGGTTTCCTTCAGGTGCTCCGGTTTCCACTACTGCAACAAACATGTACAATAGTTCATCAACATGCACTTTCCGCAATCTAATCATAAACAAATAACTATAAATTTCAGCTTCCTTTTTCACGCTTTAATACTCCATTTCCAATTCATGAAAATTACCTGGAGGTTTTAAATCACTAAATTAAAGTAACTATACAGGCCTTTTTTTTCATCATTAAACCCATTGTTAATAAAAGTTCAGGGGGCGACAGTGGCTCAGTTGGTAGAGCCTTTGAGCCTGAAGGTCGTGGGTTCAAGCCCACCACGAGACCTTCTCCTCCGACTCCCATTGATGTCTGCTTTCGTTGTGTCCTTGGGCAAGACACGTTACCCCACTTTGCCTGAAACCCCCATTGAAAGATCAAGGCTGTGTCGTCACTGACAGAGCAGCCATCTTCCTGTGGACTCACCACCTGCAGGAGGATGAGTGAGGGGCTGGTGCTCGGTGAATAGCAGCTCTGACTGCCACTGCCCCAACCCAGAAATGGACTATGAGGAAGAAAATGGATGAACAGGTGATCTTAATAAGGAACTTAAACCACACTCATCTGTGAGAGCTGGGACTGAGCAGCTCACCTGACCGGGAGGGGGTCTGCCTGCACTACAGTCTAAAGAAACAAGGGATTTTTCTGTGATGTGCTCATGGAACACAACCACCATATAAATACGTTATATGGAAATGAACCGGTATAAAAGAAAAATATATAGATCAAAACAATACAAATCAATGCGGTCACTTAATGCCTTCCTCAGGCTCAGGAAAATCCCCTTTTAAATAAAAGAAAAAGCTGTAAAAGGATAGATGTCTAAAAACTTTATAGAAATACTGATTTAATGAATTAATTAACATTGTCATTTAAAAGTGTGCCAGTTCTCATCAGATGAAAACAGTGCATTTATTATTAAAATGATGTCCTGCATTTGTGCAAAAATGTGCAATAACGGGCCAAATGTGTCCACTGTCACTTTCAGCCCAAAGTCTCATGCTGCAAACATTTACAGTATTATTCATCACTGTGAATATTCAAACACATGTAGCTCAACATTCTTCCATGTATCTACAGTTGTAAACACCATGAGGGCAGGTCCCGGCTCAAAACGGTCCATGGGGTGTACCCGGAAAATAATTAATGTAATTTTTGTAAATTTTGTGTGCCGTCTTCTTTCCTCTCCAAGACAGCTTTACAGGATGGTCCAAAAGTTGGCCCTTGGCACAACGCTATGTTCCTCATGTGTGCCAATGCTGAGGGGAGTATTTTTTTTTTTTTTTGGACCAGTCTTGTTTAGCCACTGTGGACTTTTGAATGCTCTTGTTAAATGAATGGAGCTCCTGCCGGCTAACACATGCACGAATGAATGAGCCATTTTGGAAAAGTCCACGGAGGGCAAAAGCGATGGCCATGGATCTATAGGTGATGGCCCAGTAGTTTCAACAGCGGAGATAGGCGTGACTACGTCCACTAATATTCAGTCTATGGTATACACATAAGCATATTTTTCTTGGACTAGTGTTTTATGCTTTGTTTCTTTTATCAAGCTAATGATAGAAATGTTAGTATTATTGTAAGTATAGAAATATGCTACACTTAATATTCTCTTGTCTTGCGTCGTGTGCTTCTCATCCCTACTGTTTTCGAACTCAGGATGAACTTGGGACAAATAAAAGTCACACATCCATCGGCACATGATTAAAGTTCATGCCCCAAACCTGAATTCTGTGAGTCTCTTGACCCAGCGCTGGCAGAGGTGAGCACAGCCTCATCAGGAGCTTGTGGGAAAAAGCTATTCCTCAATAATCTCATACAAATGTAGTAAAAGTCATGAAACAGCAAATCAAGACATTCAAATATTTCAAATCCAGTGACACACAAACTATCAATAAACAACAATAAAAGGCAAGTGGTGGTTTCAAGTATGTTTGATTTATTTTCAAAGATTAGTGTCACCACAACACAATGGTATATTCATACAGTAACAAACCCTCTTAAGTAGTTTTAGTGTGCTTCTTCATAGAGTTCTTGGACGAAGGTATTGGCCCACTTGTTTCTGAAAGCCCTTATTAACTACAGAGCATGTATTTAGATTTTTAATGTAACCAAATGTGAACGGGCACTGCAGACATATTTAAAAAGACTAGTTTGTCACGTTAGAATTACAGTTAGAAAAGTTTAGTAAATACAGTATATAAAATGAAATGTCACACATATGTACACAAGCAGACATAAGCACAGACAATAAAACTGTTGACAATTAATAATAAAAAAAATAATTTACATTACATTGTATGGACATGTTACACATTCAACCAAAGAAAACATCACAAACCGCTTTTTTAAATAGAAAATGGTAACTCTTTTGAACACTCTGTGCAAAACTTGTTTTCTGTACATTGTAAAGTGAAGCCTATTGTCTGCATCTGTTCAAAAATCTCTGAGGAGTGCATACTTTTGAGAGAAGTGCAAACAAATTCCTTTTTGTGCATTCAAATCTCACGAGTTTTTGGCGGTTCATAGTTGTATTTTATCTTTTTAAAGCAGCAATATTTAGTCGTTGTAAAAATATCTGATAGAAACGATTTAATAGGCTATTTAGTGTAACTTTAAAATCTTTCTCCACAGTTTGAATGGCCAGTGGTATTGCTTGGGTTTCTGTACAGCATTTAGCAGGGTATTTGATAGTGCAGTCTCCTATACGAGGTCAGCTTATCTTGTCTTAGTTCTGGTCTAAGGCCTGGAGGTAACTACCATCTACTCACACGCTGCTGACCAATGGAGTAGCGGCATTAGCCAAGTCTGAGGAGGTTAGTGTACGCAAACACTACCAGGCACTTTGTTCTTGTGGTCCCAAAGACGACACATATTTCAATGGATTTCAATTGGATGTCTCCCCCGCACTCCTCTGATCTGCAGTGATGGGGCCCCATGGTGCCTCATGCGTCTGAAATGCAGCTCTGGATCTTGTCCATCCACACCTGGGCACTGGGAGCGTCAGAGGCACAGAAGTTGTAGACTCTCCTACAGGTTTTCAGCTAAAAAGAGTAAACAGTGTTCACAGTTAGTCCCCAGAAGAGCTGTAACAATTAACCAATCAATGAACCACAACCAATAGTTTTTTACCCAATTGTCAACAACTATTTTAGTAATTGCCCTATTTACAGACTCCAGTAAATGTACGTGGACTGTGCCTGTTTGCCCCGTGTAGGTAGGTTTCCTCTGGGTGCTCCAGTTTCCCCTACCACTAAAACATGTACAATAACTCCACTTTCTCTGGGGCCAGAACTCCCCTGAAAAAGAGATTCCGAAATCTCAGTGGGACTTTCCTGGTTGAATAAAGGTCAATAAACGATAAGTGCTGGTAGATGTGAAAGACTAAAGAAAAACAAAGCATAAATGTTTCACTTCACTGATGAAATAGTTTTGTCTAGAATTCCGTCCTCCAATGGCTTACATTTTCTGCATTTATTTATAGATTAATGAATTACCAGAAATGATCTTTAGCTGCATCCCTAGTTTCCAGGGAACCAGAGTTCACTTTCACTGGATCCATTCTGGTTCACTTTGATCAAAAATGCTAAGTTTGTGAAGATTTGAAGCAACAAAGCAACTGCACAGTGTTCACTGGCACAGAAGTCAATTCTGGGACTTTATGGAACCGTTTCTTGGTCTATTTGAAGGGACTCTGGTTCACTTGAGACGCGGCTGTAGAGCACAATAATTGTTATTATTTCATATTGGAGTTTGACTTAGAAATCCCAATGCTTCTCATACAGTACGGTATTTTGTGAAAGTAATCTATGTCAAATATTGATGATGGAATGATTTTCTGATTTTAACAGAGGACATTGGCTCTTTTCTTGGTCTTCCCTTTCTGACATACTGCTTTGGCCTTGATATTTTTAACTCTTCATCCAGGCTTTGTGTAGCAAAAAAAAGAATTGTCTGGTATAAATCTTAAAGCAGCGGTATCTAACGTTGTTATTATAAAAAGTAAAATGTTCTTCTGTAAAATTAAAATGGGGATTTCTATCTTTTTCACTTTTCTGTCTGAAAAAGGGGATCTAAAGACAGAGGGCAAAAATACATGCATGTGAAAATAATCCATTTCAAAGCCAGTAGTCAGTTTGATGGATTTTACTACATAGTTGCATTCCAAAACATCGTTGGATTCATTCTACTGATTTGAGATGAGTAGTTTCCCCCATAATGTGATTCGAGGTCCTTACGTCAAAAAAAGCCTTTTCGCTGATGTGTTTGGGAGCTCCGATCGTCGGCGCGGTGATCACAACAGACTCCACCTCGGCCAGGTCGATGTGGCCTCTGCAGTTAGTGTCTTCCCCAGTGTCATAGTACCTCATCTGGAACAAAGCACATGAAACAAAGACATTTTTACAGAATGTGTTGTATTTGTAGATTTTGGCTTCACCACAAATGAATGTTTTAGTTTATTTGAATATGCTTATTATTTTCCTTACAACCTACTAGCCTAATTCTGCAGAGAAAAACATTGTTATAATATTCACTACTATTTCATTGAACTTAAATATCAAAATTGTCAATATCCAACATGTTTTTAGATTATTATTAAATTAAAAAAAACATTTCTCCCCCCCAGACACTAGGTCCGTAGGCGTTTAACCCCGTTCCAGGTTGTCTTCTGTCTGTAAAAGACCATTTCTTTCTTGCATGATTATGAGACTGTAAATATTTCACAAAACATTTTTTGAAACAACATCTGAGTCAGAAATCAGAAGTGAGGGGATAGAATTATAGGCTTCAATAAACGATGTGTCTGCTATGATCTAATTTTATTTTTAAATTATTATTGTCAAATAGGATTCTTACTTGGAACTACAAAACAAAAACTCAAACCCAATCCAACCCAAAGGCTGACTGTGCTTTCATGGAAGGATCTTAAAAGCTGGAGTAACTTTTAAATACTTGTCGTTTGTCCCACCAGAAATAGTATAGAAATATTTTAATTTTTAGTAAGGAACTAATTACATGGATTTTTAGATTTTCATTGGTAGATTTAAAGACCTTGACGGGTTTAAAAAAAAAAAATAGTGGATATCAAAATTGCATGGCAATGTCAATTTGAAAGAGATTCCGGCAAAAAAAATCCTATATTTTATAAAAAGAACGTGTTTTTCATGAATTTAAGTTGTCTATGCTCTAACCTGTGTGTGACGTCATAGCGGGTTACGCCCATGCATTGAAAACCATGGATCTATGCCACAGGACTGCCTTTTCTCTCTTCTCTCGACTGATGCCCAACACAATACTGCCCTCTACAGGTGACAATTGCTCACTACACATAAATTGCCGTTTTGAGTGTGAAAAAGTGTCCGAGGTGGGATTTGAACCCAAGTATTTGAATTGGCAGTCCATCAACACAACCACTGGACTATCTCAGTGACAACGAAATGATACATTCTAGTAGTTATCTTAGACTCGCTGTACACGGCCTTGTCATCTTGAATATCCGCGAAAAAAGAACGAATACCAAATTGTAAACAACTTACAGCGTTGAAACGTACCCGTTCTGACGTCACCAAGGGCTGTGAAGTTTTTTCGTTTCTAAGGGCGTTGCTATGGGGTTATTTCGATTTGGGGGGATCAGACAAAAAAAACAACAACTGATTTTGAAACCTTTAGTAGTTCTCTTCTAATATAAAATGGTATTAAAACTGTATTTCTAAATAAATCAAACCCGTCATAAGGTCTTTAAGGTTAGGTTCTCCAGCTCTGATATTTTGGATTTCGCCCGTCCCTGTGGTTTTGCATCACTCTTTACAAACCTGGTGCTTGGTGATGTCCAACACAAACCAGCGAGGTTTCCAGCTTTTCAAAAGTGCTCCACGCTTGTACAGAATCCCCTCATATGATCTGAAAGACAAGAAGAGATTTAGAATTCTTTCAAGTAGAAACGCAGATGATTCACACCACCAGCAGAGCGTCGCGGAGATGGAAAACTTTTGCACATTTTCCAGCCCAAAGCAACGGATCAATATTTATTTAGGAATGCGAGAGACAATCATTTCACCAACATGGGAGTGACCAGCCCTAAAGAAATAAAGCTGTAATGAAATCAATGCTACTTATTCACAGTCTATTCTTTGGCTGAAACCGGTTAGTTTAATTTAATTTGTATTTGTTTGTCAATGTTGTTGTAATTTGAGTAAATATCAAGGATTGTGCCTTTATTGAGGCACTAGCAAAACCCTAACAAAATCTCCAACAACAAAATGCCTTCTTGTACATTGTGTTCTTGAGCGGAATTGCCAAAAACACAAGAGCAATGATGAAACGGGGAAGTTTCTGATGATATAAGTAATCGATTGTTTATTTAGATCATTCGTTGGTTGTTAGTAAGCACCTTCCTTTGGGCAAGTTTGAATCTTGTAGAAACATTCATATTGAGCCAAGAATTCCAAAGTAATTTTACACATATTTGAACGAACAAGTATTTCTCAAGAGCGTGACATGCCGCATACCAGAACGCTGAATCATCTTCCAAAAGCGGACTGGTCCCTGGACGGCAGTAGTAAGTGAATCAAATGTGGACTTTTTATTGCAGTGCGTTAGTTCTGGGGATCTGCACCCACCTGTTCTCCTCGCTCTTGGGGGTGAACTGGTTGTAGAGTGTTGCAGCGCGTCTGTTGAGGCCGTTGGCGGTGTTGGTGCCGCGGTCCTCGCTCAGGCCGCTCTCTGGCAGGTGCAGCATCGAGCGCCGCTGAATGGCCTGAAGACTAGACGTGGGAATCAGCCCCGACACAGACTCCGCCTGTTTAGAAATCTGAAAGAAACGCAGGAGATAAGTACTGGGCTTGAAAAATGTTGATGTACTTAAAATACGCAAATGCAACTTCTCCAAGGCACTGGAACGTTTAAAAGGTAAAAAGCCTTTATATGAACATTTAAAGGCTCTCCTTGAGGTGCACCCTTCTTGCTACACTCGACCTGGAAGCACTAGCTTAAAACTGTTTTCAGGCTGAAATTGAATTGAATTGTTTCAAATTCAATTCCCAAATCTAATTTAAATACAAGATTACATTGCTGCTTTACATTACATTGTTATTACATTGTTGATTACATTGTTACATTTTTTGCATTCAAACTCTTCCTCCAATAAGAATACTTACTTATTAAGGGACTGGTTAGCTACTTAATAACTCCAGGTCTGATTGTCATCAGGCAGCACTGTAGTAACATGGCTAACAACACAAAAAGACGTACATTTCCTTCTTGCTTGAGGTCCTCTTGAATGCTGATCTTGACTTTATCCAGTGTAGCTTGCCACCGCTCTGGGCTTTGGTGAAGTTCAGTCTCCAACTTCTCAATGTCCTGTGAACATTAAAAACGTAACTTTTCTCTCTGATAAAACTCCTTGGGACACGGACCATAAAGTAAAGTGCAGCCTTCTCATTTCCAATCAACCATTATATTTGGGGATATTTGTTTCTCTAAAAATATATATATTTTAAGTCAAAAATCCTTCTAATGTCACCAAATCCACATCATCTTCTGTGTTTATTACCACTTATAGAGTAACTCAGGCAGGCACCAAAAGTGTCTGCTTCATAAACAAAATAAGCTCAACTAAATAATAATAAAAAATAAAAGCCATCTAAATAAAAAGTAAAAGACAATATTGATACTTTTGGGGAAATCTTAGTCTGGTGTTTCAGGGGAAATCAACTAATTCTACGCTGCTAAACTTTGGAGATGACCCCAAAACTGGTCTGGAAATGAAAATCACACCCTTTTTCATTCAATTCAAAATTAGAATCTGTCTGTTACAGAATAAGGCAAATTTCTAATTCCTTACCGACAGTAGTTTGGTGATGGCGTCCGGCTGTGCACGACTCACGCTGCTGTAGCACGGCCACACGATCCTCCGCTGGCTGCTGGAGATGGTGTCCGTCTCCTCTGTGCTCTCTGACCTCACGGCCATCGTCCTCCAGTCGTAACATGGACCAGTGGAAAGAGTCTCATCTGTGAAATAGTCCCACTTCTTTAAACTGGGGATGCCGATGGAGGGCTTTACGATGACCTAAGGACAAACGCAGTTCAATTGTTTAATGTGAGTCGATAAAACAAATATGATTGGACTTGGTATTGCAACAAAAAAAAAAACCACTAGAAAATTCTCACCTCACTCTCTGAAGGATTGTAAAGGTAGTTGAAGAAGATAGGGCTCCTCTTGTGCATTCTGTTCATACAGTCCCAGATACAAATACCTCTGCGAGCCTGTTTGTCACCTTTGTCTTCAAACAGCAAGCCTGTTACAAAGTTACAGATAACATTCATTTGTCACAAAAAGAATATTGTGCGCTCGTTATTAGCAAGGTCCCTAGATTTACATAAACCTCTACCTCAAGATTCACATTTTAGGGGCCGACCTAATTCTTTTTTGTGCTCACAATGAGCAAATCGCAAATACTGCCGCTATCTAAGTTCTTATCCAATAAAAAAAGAGGGAATAAAGATGAGAAATAATCATTTGAATTTGGGAATCTGTTTCTTGATTTTAATATGTGTCAATTCAACAAGTGTCTTTAAGAATCATTATAAATAAGACATTTCAAAATGTCAACACATCCTCTGACTATAAAAATGGTTAAAAATCAAGCATTTATAAACAGTGCTTGCTGGTCTATAAAATTGAACACAGCTCTATCCAGAGCCTATGATGTAGCACACATTCCTGATTCCACTGTGTTTATGTGAACAGCAGAGAGCAGATGCATGAAAAAGCACGGAAATAAACAGGACTTGTTAATAATAGCTCATTTAAAAAAATTCCAGCTGATCTTAGGGTTGTAGGTTAGAACTCTATACATATTTTCTAAAATGTTTGAATTGTGTATTAATTGCTTCATATGTAGGCTTTTTTCAATTGTAACTTTCTTGAAGTTGTCATCTTTACCCTGAACAAAATTTGACTTCTTAAACAGGATATTGAAAATTGCATTGGTCAGAAACAATTGAGATGATCTATTTTACCAAGAGGGAGCCAGTGCAGCCAGACTGTACATGCAGTTCCTTCACATGGTTGGTGCTGGTAAACATCAGTAAAGACATTCGATTGAGAAACACTGACCATGTTCAAAACGCTCAAAATCTGAATCCAATAAGAAGTTTTTGAAGCGGTTGGAGATGTGATGATAAGCCAGGAACTTGAGATAATACTGATTGAATTCAAACTCCGCAGGATGTTGATCGAGAACCTGCCAACACAAATATGATTTAATATTATTTCTAGACATACTCCATAGAGAATACAAGGTGGTGAATTATAACAGCACTCATTGTTCTCGCCCAGACTATGTGTCAAAGTGAAAGATCAAGTGCTGAATGTCTGCAGCCACCTGGGCCTATGGCAAAAACAACAGCTGTTTCGGTGATGAGATATTTCTATTTTCAACTCTTGCCCGAAATCCTCATTGCTGCTCCTTACGGGTCCCAAGAGCCCATGACCCGGGCCAAAGTGAGTCAGCTGCTAATTCCACTTTCCGCTTAAAGTGAAGGCCCGGTATAAGGGAGTAGGGGTCAATATGGTCTAAATTTAGTTGGACTGATGATTATTTTTGAGGCGTCATTCTAAACATCCTCACTCCCACCCATCTAAAGCATCCTTGGGCTCCATGAGACTGCAACTCGCCAGCTCTGACTCTTTCCACATGCTTCGTGAAACAAGCACTCAAATATAAATGGGATGCTGAAGCTTGCACGTACGAAGAAGTCCGCCCTGATCACCGAGTTTACAGACCATCTGGGGAGCAGTCTTTTCTCTGGTGTAATACCCCACATTAGAATCTTAGCAAGGAACGGAAAGTGCAAAGTCAAACCAAATGTACAGGTACATTCAATTCAATTCAATGTATTCTTGTATAGCTTTAAATCACAACAGTATTTATCTCAAAGGACTTAACAAAACTGTTGAATTTGCCAACACAGATTTGAAAATCATCAGTTCAACACAAGAAATCTCCTTATGATGGCGTAGAGATGGGATGTTTATAGGAATAGCTTCCTTGAAGAAGATAGACCTTAAACGCATTGAGAACATAGTTGAATTCACCTGGTGCACACAGTCCAGAAACTGAAGGAAGATTGGTGTAAATCCGCTGCCCTGGCTGCTGGGGTTAAGGTTGCTCCTTTGGCTGAATTTATGACCAAAAGACAGCCACTCTTTCTGAAGCAACACCTGAAAACCCTCCAGAGTGCGGTAAAACGGGTCACTCAGCAGCTGCACCAAGGACACCACCTGCGAAGACAAGACGTGCACTGATTAGGTTTGAACAAAATCACGATGACACACCGAAGACAGGCATCCGAGCTGATCATCTGCTATCAATAATGTTTATATAACTTTGTGCGTGAAGATTTTTCAACACTCCACTACCAAACACCATTCGAGCCTCACACACGCAATACGCTTGGCCTGCTTCCCTGCCCGCGTCTCCTCCAACACAACTAATGAGGCTTGACGCTTGAGGAATGAGCGGGAAACGCAGTCCACGGCCTCCCTCGGGTATTTCAACAACACTCATGTCTGAGAGAAGGGATTCGACAGCATCCCAAGTTTATAACAGGTAGACTAGGGGGAACATGCGGTAGGGGCGTGAATGTGCAGTTAAAACAAGCAAAGGCGGTGCTTCCTGTCTGCTGGGTGTCCATGGTCCATGTTCAGGGGGTAAGCCAAAGCATATGGAGCCCATTTGCTTGTGTGGGCTTGATCAGGACCTGGCGTGATGGAGGCTGTGGCCCATGGACGCAGACGCCCCGAGCCGAACACGTGGCTGGCATGAGGGATCCACAAATTATGCTTTACAACAACAGCCTGGGGCACCGCAAATCCAGTAAACATATTTGAAGGACACACTTGCGAGGCAAACATGTGCAATTTAACAGGTCAACATGGAAAATATGAGCTCAGAGAGTAACTATGCAGAAAAATGCTGAGTGAAGCAACCAAATGGATAGTGATCAGGATACAAATCATTCAAACACGCCCTGAATGAAAGAACAATTCACTGACATTACAGAAACCAGCACTCAACAATGACCTAAGGCTTTGCTCATTTTGTTTTTCCTTGGAGTTTACATCAAAAGCAGGGTCAACGATGACACAAGTGATTATTGTGGTGCCGCTGATCCTCTTCCATAACAAGGTTTGTGCTAATGAACATGACCAACCAAATGCCATTCGTGTCTGCGGATAATCCTCAGAAATACAACAAGAACATCTCTTTCCATGGAACCTTCTCTTACACTAATTGGGGTACACCCAAACCTGATTATCACAGACATCAAAGCAAGTACTTCACTATTTGTCCTAGTTTGTTATGTATACAGCTTAAACACACACAAAGAGAGGTACTAGTACAATACAAAAAGTGTTTACTTCAATGGAAGAATGTAAATTTGATCCTTCTACATTCTTCTGTTAACGATTAATAGAACCCTATGTTTTGTAAAAAGTTATTTAACCCTAATCCCGCAAACTGGTGTCTGTTCGCATGTATGTTTTTCTTACTTGAGTGGTGATGTCCCAGCCTTCCTCTAAGCTCAGGAGAACAGACGACCCGCTGTTTAGAAGGTCCACCAGAAACAGTGCCAGCTGCAAAATCTTGTGAAGCTGTGAGAGATTAACACAAACCAATGGATTTATCATTAGTGTCCATCCACTGGACCTGGTCAAATCACTCACCAATTTAAATAGTTTCCCACAAAATTCTTACTTGCCTGTATGGAATGACCTATATAAAAGACTAAGGCCTTTGGGCATTCAGATAAACCAGCGGCAGTTCCTATCATTATGTGAACATTTTGCAATTAATATTTAAGAAGGTCCTTTATTTGTCGCACAGTGGGGAAATTTCAGTTTGATGAATGCGCTTACACATATACAAATTACTTCCAAACTCCATATGGGCAAAGTGGTTTAAGTCTCTTGCCCAAATTTGTGAGAGTCAGTGGGGAAGGTCTCGCGGTGGATTTGAATCCACGACCTTCAGGCTCAAAGGTCAAGGCTCTACCAACTGAGCCACCGTCGCACACGTATTTAGAGGGGAATAAACTGTAAAGATGCAATAACTGCTCGTGCTTACCTGTTGGATCCACTCAGAGTCTTCAAGGGCTTTGAAAAATGAGTCCTGTGGATCAGTAGAGGTGGCGCTGGGAGCACAAGCTCTGAGGAGCTTCTTGAAACTGCCTTTGACCTGCCGCGTGTCAGCAAAGTCCACTGGCACCAGCTCACAGTTTAGAGAAGCATCCACTCTCAGGCCCTGAGAACGAACAAACGTCAGCCTCACTGACAAACATGGGACAGTGCAGAACACTAAACACAAATTACCACAAAAAAATTGCCTTCAACAGAAAATACCTATTATTTTTATTGTAATAATACTAATGGTAATATTAAAATGCAAACACATTCAACCATACCTTTAAATGAGATTTTTCTCCAAATATGTAAAGTGCAGCTTGATGTTTGAGCAGCTGTGCCTGGAGACTGGTGCTGCCTGCAGGGGGCGCCAGATCCTTCCCAGCCAACCGGGCCCCCACCTCCATCCCTGTGTGGTGCTGATTCAGCCGCGTGCTGCCTCTGAGGCTGGCCCACACACCTGTGGAGAGAGAAGACTCAGACACAAGTGTCGCTGTTGTTTGAGAGCGTGAAGACATGCACTTCATGCACTACGTGTGCGTAAAGGAATGAATCTATCAGGCCTAAAACAACACTTTAATGAAGAGGAAACATCTGATATCAAAGTTTACATTTCCAATACAGCCTTCTCTGAAAACCAGCATGCAATGTTTTCTTTTTAGTAGCATTAATCATTATACACATGATTTTTCACTTTCAGCCTTTCATGAGACCAAAACTCCTTGATCCAAACTAGTCATAGTTTACTGATGAAGAAATATAAACCAGAATTAACCATCAAAAAACTGACTCAGTGCTTGTTAGAAAAATCTCTGACAGTGACAACATAATAGAACAATACAGATGTTTATGTTCTCTTTTGAGTATCCGAGAGGTTTACAATGCGAGTCAGTGAAGACAGGTCAGATTCCTTTCTGTTCTGTCATGAAAAACTGCCTCCGTTCTGAGCCCAGCGCTCTTTGGGAGCTAGCGCATTAACAATAATGGCCACATTACAGCAGCCACATCGGTCTGTGAAAAACCACGGCTCCCAAAGGAGCGCCCACAAAGTCAGGAAAGATTAGTGCAGTTCTATGAGTGTTTGTAGAAGGTGGTTTGCAGCACAGTGCAGAGGAGCGCATGACCATTAGTGACGACATGTGGAGGTTAGACAAAGGAAAATGAAGCTCGACGTTAGAGTACTGGGTCGATGTAGTTCACTGTACCTTGACTCTGGCCACGCTCCTTACTTGAATGTTTTTGGTGTGAGTGAGTGAAAAGCTTATCTCTGTACTCAAGGACTGGATGGTTTACATGAGGTTCAGAAACAGATGAGGGCAGAGAGAAGGGTAAAACAAACAATCAAACATGTTACACCACATCCAATCCAGACAACCTGTATACAGTATATATACGGTATTATAGATAGATACAGATATAGAAATGTATTGTGACGTTAATGTATGGACAGAAAGGATGATGTTGGATTATCGTCTCAATTACTGCGAAACATGAGGAATGAGAGATGCAATTGGAAACTTGCAAAGTACACAACCCTCAAAAGATTTATATCCCAACAAGTTTTCTACAACAAACGAACAATTGTTTTTGTACATTGTGCTTCCTTTATATGAGCAAAGGCTAAATGCCAAATCCTTGAGATTAGGGAGTTTTGGCTGAATTACGTGTAAACTGAAGCAATATTCAAATCACATTACACTATTCCAAACTAGTCTGTAATGTCACATGTCAAACTTGCAGTGAATTGAATCTGGATGTTTTGGATTGAAACTCTCTCACCTCCTCTTGTAAAGCTGCTTGTGAAAGGAATATCCAAATGGACAGGGGTCATCTTTGTTAACCTGGACGTCCTCCTTTCAGTAGCTGTCAAAAAAAGCAACGTTCTATTGAATTAAGTCGGAAATGTTAAGATTTATGAGTTGGGCCTTGACCCAAGGTTCCCCACTATTTTGTATATAACCTTTTTATTGTACAGTTCCTTCCACAACTTACAAAACATTAACAAAAATGAGATAAGTGTCTGCACCAAGTCTCACATATTCAATAAGGGGCATATAGAGTGAAGTCTATCATTGTCTGAAGTCATAACAATGGACAAAAATAACTTTGGTTGAGTTGGCAGTTTTCTCAACTATAGTGAGAAGTGCACTCTTTGTGGTCTCCTGCCCCCAGCAAACAAACATAACCGTGTTCCCACAGTACAGTTAAAGTAGCTTATTAAAAGGTCAAAGAGTTCCATGCAGTCCAGCAAATCCAGGGTGATCAGAGGCACTCTACCTGGAGAAAGTCCAACAAGAGAGCGGTTAGATAGCGTGTTATTGCCATTCATCTTGAAGTAGATTGGGATAGAGTCGAGGATTGCTTGCAGATATTTTTCTTGTTCGAGGCTACTAGACGACTCTGAGGATGAAGTCGGAGCTGCCAAAAAAATAAGTACAAGATAATTACAATCTACATCTAAGTTTTGCTGCAGAAAGTACTAACCATAAAAGTAACACAAGATCTGAAAATTGTTTAAGCAAAAACTTCAATCTAATGTTACAAATGTTCAGTAAGTATTTTCTCAGACCAGGGTCACAAAGCGCTTTACATTGTACACTAAAAGTAAGGACTCAACAAACATGTTCAGTTGGATAGTTTCCTATTTAACTGATATAAGCTTTATATCCAAATATATGAATCAAATGCACTTCAATGGCACACAGTTTGAGAACCACTGAACTAAGTCATAATCACAAAAATCTGCTCACTTGAGGAAGGATTTTGTGATTTGAATAGTCCCACAACACTTTTGCCGTGGAAGCCTCCGGATCGCAGCAGGACAGCTTTGGTGCGTGGATGTTTCCAACATACGACCGGAAGGCGATTGTGTCTGTAGCAGCGAGCCACTTTGTGTAAACTGCTGTCCTGTACCGCCTGGGGGACCACCAACAGCCCGGGGTAACTACCCGACAGAAAAAGAATGAAATTACAAGACGAGAACAATTACAAAGCATAAGAATATCCAATACTTTGTGAGGTCCTGTCTAAATGAGCAACTAAAAGCACCAAACACAATGAAATATGTGCAGAAGGACTGTCACAATGAAGAAAATAAGTAAGTGCATTGAAATGCAAAAATTTCTAATGAAAGCAAAGCTTTTCCCTGAGCTCTTAAATGCCTCTGCTGGCCGTGTCTCAATTGGCGTTCTCAGGTTTATTTGGTCGCCATAATTCTGATGCTTTGTAAATACAATGTAAAAGTCATTGGTAAGCCTGATATCAAAGACGTGCTTTAGAAATCTAGAAGTTGTATATTCACAAAGCTTAGTTATCTTGATGGTAGTAAGGAAAGGAATAACACAAGAGCCAAAAAATGCAGAGAATTCTTTTGATCTCAAGAGTGTACAGAGTACAGAATATTTCTGTTTCTGTGATGAATTTACTTTTACATTGTAAAGTCTTTATCTCGCGACCTTTATGTTGAGCATTACCTTCGACATAAAGAGTAGAGTCTGTTCGCGGCTGTTATCTTAAACTGTTCTCCAGATTTGCTGCGGGACGAGCTGGCAGTGATTGTGCCCAACCCGAGCCGCTGGTAGTCGCGGAAGCAGGACTGCTCCACCAGCTGCTCCATCGTGGACTTTTCTGACGCTCGCAAAGTGCTACTCGGAGGTGGCTCTCCATCATCAGATACTGAAGCAGAACAAAAGCTTTAATACTTCCTGTGGTACGATAATGTTTAGGCTACAGTCATGTGTAATAAGACATACTTGAAATGTCATCATCTTCATTCCAGGTCATTCTACTGCTTCGATCACTTTTCTTCAGAGTTGCCTGGCTACCACGCCCCATGGTAATTTTCCCAGCTCTTTTGGCACCCTTAACAATAGTTTTGGATAGTGTTCTGTGAAAATAGTCAATTTTATAACGACTGAAAAATGTAGTACTTAATTGTATCATAAAGGTACTTAAGTCAATACCGAAAGCCGGTGTTCCTCTCTTTTTGTTTGGGAAGGATTATCTGTGGCACAGTCTGTCCAGCAGCAAAAGCAAATGAGGTAAAAATAGATTGAGGGTAACGAATCCTCTGAAGGTGCTTCCTGAAGAGTTCAACCATCTCTGAGGTCACCTCTTCATCAAACGCAACTTTTATCAACTGCAAAAAAAAGAAGGAAAAATATTGTTGTGAAAGAATGAAGGGAAGCAGGCATGAGTGCTTCTTGACTGTGTCCTTTAGGTGCTCTTAAATGCAAGGATCTGAATCAATGCCCACATGGTTAAAACTCAACAGAGGCCCTGTTGATTTTGCCCTGATGGAGGCCTTGTGCCGAAATACATTTGAACCCTATTTACCACGTGGTTATACATCTTTGGTTATAATAATACATATTTTTGAGTGCCTCACGTCTAGATTTCTTTGCAAAAAATGTGTAATGTATAAGAAAACAAATGGTAATCGGTCACATTTAAATACACTTTTTTGTTTTACTTGCCAAGATGCTCACAAGCATTTCACATGAAGGAACCAATCACCCATTCACACGCACACATTCATACACCAGTGTACGCAGGCACTGAAACACCAGAAATGTAATCCACAGCACCAGGGTAAGTATAAAACCTGTATAATCATTACCATCTTAGCAGTCTTGTGATGGCCTCCTTATAAAAAAAAAAACAGGTAATCTCTTCTACCCCTGTTCTACCCCACTGAAATGCCCAAGGGTTTTTAATAAATATTTCTGACCATGGGAAACTGTTCTTATACATACAATATTTTTCAACAAAAATATATTTTTAAAAACAGTCCCTCCTCTTAAGATACAAAAAAAAGATCTTAATCCATCCCTCAGTGGGGAGGAGCGACATAACTATGACCAGTAAGATTTTCTGCAGGAGAATAGTAAACCATTGACGAGGGGCCTCAAAAATTCAAATTCATTTTGACCATTCAGGAAGCTGCAGGGGTGAGCATGGGTGACCTTGAGTCTAACCAGTGCTCATGTTCAAAAACATCAACTCTCTATATACAAATTGAAAGCTAACTATCATTTATTTCAAGTTGTAAAGAGCAGTAACTGTGAAATAGCTACAGTTAAATATTTGTACATTTGCTTTGCAACTCTTAATTACTAACATTTTTTTGGAATGATGGGAAGTACTGATCAAATGCAGTAGAGAAATGTGAGGCAATCTATAAATACATAAAAAAAAAAAAAAAAAAAAAATTCAATGAAGAGTTCATTTCCTCCAATTTTAAATAGCTTTGTTTATGTGACAAACAACACGGGAAATAACATGATAAAGGCCTCAGAGCCAGGATGTTTTGGGTCAGTGCAGATCTGGCCACAGGGACAAGGGATGTGCAAACAACTGCATCTATTATTCACTTCACCTGAAAGGATGCAGAGCGGAGCTGAAGACCCTCATGCATGTTTGGCTGCAGCTGATTTTGGATGCTTATCTTCTTCTCTTTGGTCATTGTTGACACCGGGAAAGCTCGGATCACCGCCTGCTCTCCAACTAGAAACACAAAAATAAAACAAATAAGCAGAGTTTGTCACTATTGTGTTTGTATGGTTGATCATTATATATATATATATATATATATATATATATGAATAATAATCAGATATTTCCAGATACATCAGCATTAATAAACGTTGCATGAACTTAATTCATATTGTATCGCAAATACTGGCACAATAATCTAAGCCAAAACGGGATCAACTACCTTTTTCAACCTTCTATAGAAAAGCCCATATGCCAGACAACAATTTTGCATTACAAGTTTATGACAGCTAATAAAACAAATTTAATTTAATACTTTAGAACAATGATCCAAAGGACCTGTGCCAGTACCGAGTGGGTCGTGAGGAATGCCTTTGAAGAGGATGCGGTAGGTGGTGAGGAAGAGAGCGCCCTCCGCTGGTAGGATGTGGGGACCTCCCAGCAGACCCCCTGTGGCCTCCTCCCGGCCGTCAGGGTCCAACAGCACCCGCAGCCCTTCGGACACCAGCTCCTCTCCAGGAAGCAGCGCAGGACGCAGGATCTTAGGCTGACAGGAAGGAACAAAGATAATGTGTCATGAAGACCACTGCATATGGAGACACTGTACCTGGAAGTCTTTTGGGAAAATATGGGAATTGAACATGTGTGAAAGAATTTACTGGGTTAATGGTATGAAACAGAGACGAAGAGGAAGATTAATATTTATCAAAAAAGGACTTTCAAAAACACTGCTACGCAAGCGCGCGCACACACACACACATGCACAAACACTTTAATGCAGTGCAAATTACACATAATTGTTTATAAGATTTAATTATTTATTTTAGGATATGAAGAAAACGTCCAAAAACGTTTGATATATAAATATTTCAGTTTGACAAGTAAAAAAAAGAATAATAAAATAACTGATGGTATTTTTGGAGAATAATCAAAGAAGTCTGTTTCTGACACAAATGCTGTTAATTTAACCACATTTAACAGTGTAGTGGAGTTCACAGAATTAGGACTCAGGATGCTACTTGCAACGAGCAGTTCAGGTGATGTTCTGTTCAACACATTAATACGGGGAGCCACAAACACCAGCCCCGGCTGCTCACCGAGGCCTCCACGTCGCTCCCAAGACAATGCTGGCATGTTATTTGTCTGTGTGCGTGTGTGCGAGGGGATTACCTAAAACTGGCAAACAGTAACAAGGCTTTTCAAAGGCCAACTGGAAAAGTGCAATAGTGATGGAAAGTTCAGACAGAAGCTTGAGAGGACTTTCAGAGACCAATAATTCATAAATGAAAAACGTTAAGCGGTCTTTCTGTTCAGTTTAAAATGGTGCCCACTATCAAACATGGTTAAAAAAACACACATAAAACCAGATTTTAACCTTTTTGTTTTGTCTCTTTTTTGTGTAAAGGTTTACATTATCCTGTACTTTTACTGCCAAATATCTGAGCTCACACTGAGTGTAAAGAACACTTACCTTCTGTATGGGCGGTAGTCTTCTGCTCTCTCTATGAACTGCTTCAAGAGCTTCCATCTGCATAGCTACAATGCCTATGGGTCACAAGTAGAGGTCAATTACCACATGTACACACAGTCCAAGTAAAACAGTGTGCATCGGCCGTACACATAAAAAATATATCTTTGCTATAGAGTGAATTTTTAACAGTTGATTGTGTTCTGTGTGTAAAAGCACCTGGGATCATGCTGTGTAGGCTCTTGATGTGGTCTTGGGTCACTCCACTTTCCGTGCACACCTTGTCAATGAATCGCGCTATAAACCTGACCACAGAGTTTGCCACATCACTGCTCTCAGAGTCCTCAAAACCACTTTCTGTGTCAAAACTCTCGGCCACACTGCCAGCAATGCTGTAAACAAACGCATAAATGAAGAATAAAAAATATGAAGAGGCTAAACCAGTGTTAAGAGAAGACAGATCAGCGCGTTGAGACTTGTGTGTTGACTTAAAAGAACTTTGGGACGGTCTGAGAGTAAAGAGCAGTAAAACGCAGAGTGATTTGCAGCCCAATAGAGCGAGGCTCTGAGGCCTGTATCAATCATGGAATTTGTTAGCCAATAACAATGTTTTACATGAGGCGGTGATAGTGATGCAAGTTCCTGGCGGAATCCACAAATAGAAAATGATCAGATCCAAATGTGCTTTTAAACAAACAAGTCTGGGGCAAAAATAGAACATTAAAGAACATGCAAAAGGAAACAGCTATTTGGAAACAACATTTTGAATATTTCTCAATAGCGTTCACTAAGAATCAGTCATATCTTAAGCCATTATAGACACCACACTGCATACTTCTGAGATTAACCAGAGTATTCCCTCTTTCTACACAAAACGACAAAAAGAACACCCGCACTTTATATAACTGCTATCTAAGTCCACCAGATGGACTTTTACTGGACATGGAGAATATTTCATTTGGCTTAAAGGAAAGGATTTTGCAGCTTGCTCCATGTCCTCCCACATACTTATCATCACCTTATTTTTTAGGAACAAATCCCAAAACAGGAAACTTTAACAAAAGACATTGCCAGATGAGTCAAATTGATCTACATTAAATCTGTTTTAAACTTGGTAAATGACTAGCTACTAGACTGTAATACATATTGCTGTCTTCGCCTTTTGTACAACACTGAGCTAGTTGATTTATGAGTGAATAACACACATTATGAATGAATGAATTTCCATTAGAGAAGACAATATTAATATTAATTAATATAACATAGTGACCTGTTAGTAACAATGCTGTTGCTGCCGCTCTCCCAGTCTGCAGCTGGGGGGTTTCGTAGTAGTTTGTTTTTGCTGGTGTCCAGAGGGACCAGCAGGTAGACCATGAGGCTGGCGTAGTGGATGGCCTGACTGAACACTGTGCTCTCTTCATTCTTCACCAACTCATGTTGCTTTTCTTTACTCAGGCTGGGCCAACACCTGAGCTGCTCCGCGGCCAAATCCATGGCTGTCTGATTCTCCTCATCTTTCTCCATGGAAGACACTGGCACAGCTTCCTGCAGAGATGAGTTATAGCATTATGGGCCAGGTCTACAAATGCTCCATGAAGGATTTTCATTATCATATTGTTCATTTTCTTCTCACTTTGAGCTTTGCAATGATGCTACCCTTCTCCGGTGTGTTGAGGTACAAAGCTCGGATTTGGCTCTGAACTTCGCTGTAAAAAGTGGCTTCCCAGAACTGCTGGTTGGTCCAAATAGGATGGTCCTGTATGCAAGTGTAAGCAAACTGGCTCACCGCAGGAGCAAGCTTCTGCAAAACAGAACACATATATTCAATTAACCAAAAAAAAAAAAAACCTAAAAACTGCTTAAATTATTGGGAAATATCTTAACTTTAGTGTAATGACTCAAACTCATGTTTGTTCTTATACTCATTCTAAGCACAGTTGCTTGTATGTCTCAGTAGGAAGATGCTGCGCTTTGGTTGTTTCACACATTTGCAGATCTATGTTATCACAATACAATACTGCACTACTTTATTCAGACATTTCTTAATTTTGCCAATGTATTCTTAGTAACAAAAAAAAGTCGTACAACAGTTAAGACATTCAGAAAAAAGTATAAATGGACAGTTTTTCAAAAATGTATTCATGTTTACTTTTAAAATATGTAACACAAACATAATGCAGAAAAATCGCAATTAGATGTTTTGCCAAAATCATTCATCCCTAATGATTATGTAATTCCATAAATTACTTTCAAACAGACCACCCATAATGCAACAATAGAACATTAAAGGGTTGTATTTATTATCTTTGATTCGAGGGGAACGTTACATGATTTGCGAGCTGAAGTAAAATGGCCTAAATTCCAGAACAGGAAACAAAAACAAGTGGGATGTCCAAGCAGAGGTATTTATCATTCGTGTTGTGTATCCACTTAATGGGGTGACAGACCACCCTACGTCCACTCAAAATATAAAGCCGTTGTTTTGATTTCTTTGTGTTAAAGAGTTAAGCACCTGCTGCCTGAAAAACAACTCCTAGAGGGAACAAGCAGTTTTCTCAGCCAAACGCATTATTGTCCAAACTGTATACACAAAATCACAGAGCTGCACATGGAAAATTACCCCATGGTTCTTTTGGTGTAAGAACTGGAGTCAGATGGTTGCAATAAATTACTGCAACAAACATAGGCCCAACCTCCTTCAGCCCCAGAGCCAGAGAGACAACTGTACAACTGTTTTCAACTTAATTTGATCTGAAATATTAATTATTTCACATGACAGGTGGCGCCGCCGTGTGATGATTTGTTCCCGTAGCCATAGAAGAATGTTTGTCAAATTGTAATGAATATGTATGTATATGTAATATGTATGAATATGTAATGACTTTGTTTGTACAAACGGGAGCAAATTTTATGTCAAAAACGGCCAAAAAAGGTCACATTTTTCCGCTCCCCTGTTCGAACAACATTTCACTGATGAAAAATCGCCAAAGTCATTTTCAAGGTACATGTGTTGAGATGATATGGAGCAATTTTGAGGCAAATCGGTGAAACGGCCGAGGAGGAGAAGATTTCTTTTTTGCAGTGAAATTCATGGGCTTCCTGTTTGTCAGAGGGTGGGGCCATAATAACCTTTTTTTCTTGTCCTGACTTGAGAAACATGTGTTCCGAATTTCATGGCTCTACGACAAACTTGATCTCCAAAACTCCCATAGCGGTATTATTTTGGCTGTTGTAGGTGGCGCTGTTCTGGCATTTTTTGAGTCCCATAAAAATAAACACCAAAATATCAATTTTTTGGGCAAAATTTTTACAACTTTTCAGGCATGTTCAGGGGGAATTTGACATCTCTCGAGCAAAAACAATGGACTCCTGTTAGTGCCCAGAGTCAGGACTAAACATGGGAAGGGCTGCATTTCAGATTCATGCAGCTAAAACCTTTAAGCTATAAGTACAAGGAGAATATCCCATACTTATCATCCAGTGCAGACAAATAACCAACCACCAGTAAATAACCACATCTTGACAGGCAAAAATGAAGTATCATTCAACTGGGATGTTATGACGCAGCAGTTGCAAGTCAAAGCAGGAGCTATTCATCTACTGTCCATTCTCCGTCTGGATGTTTTGGTTAACACTTCAGATATGCACGGGGCATGCCGACCCAGGTCATCTCATATGTACGATCATTTGTGCACACACAAAATGTACAGATGAAGAGAGGAGGGGGAGGCAGAGGGACTGAAGTATTGATGGAATGTGTAATCATGTAAAAATCTTCATTATGTTGCTGAATATAATAGGGCTGGGTAAGACTCTCTGAGACTTAGAGTTTGTTGAAGGAATGCAAAAAGCTTAAAACGTCTAAATATAATTACATATCATATTTAAAACTTTTGAATTTTTCAGTTAATGGTAAAGCAGCTACACATTTTTATGCTTTTCTGAGCCATCTCACCCAATCTATCAAAGCTAAGGGGCAGATCGGCTCAGCACATTTAGTTATTCTTTAAACAGTCAGTGTTAAGACTTAATATGTCACAAGCTAGGGGGCAGCAACATTATTTACAATTGTTTAGAAGCATTCACGACATTCCTAAGTTGTGGATACCAAAACAGTCATTATTTTTGTCCTCTGTGGGAATGCAAACTTGACCTGTACGTAATCCATCTCATCACTTTCGTCAGTGCGCCAGGGTAATGTGTGGAAAACTACCAGGGATTGAACACCAGACCATTCAAACCTTAAAGTCAAGCAAAACAAACTATATGAAAATTTTTAGCTAGATCCAATAAACGAACCCATTCACAAGTTCCATAGGCAATCACCATGGAGAAAAACACTATGTGCAAGAAAAATAAATGTTCCTTAACTGAATAAACATGAAGAAATACACATTGAGAGCTGGACATCTCTATGGGTCATCCAATTACATCACATCCACAATAAAACATGCCAATCTGGCAGATCTAAACCCCCAATCCAAACCAATGCATAAACAATGGTGTAAAGAATGCAAACAATAAAGTTTGGTGTTGTGTAAATCTCAATCATGTTTGGGTTAGTACAAAAACAGTTACCGGTACCCTGAAGGGGTTTCTTCAAATTAAAAGTAAATACATTGTAACAAAGGGCAAAATCACAATGACTATGTCAGAAAACCTGTTAATCTCCTTATGTAAATGTAATTACTATTAATGATAATAAAGACACAAGGTATTGTCTAAACGAGACAGTCTGGTTTAGACGTAAGTGTAAAACTTGTAAATTAATTAAAGTCGAGGGGAAAATCCCTTCACCATGGCAGAATCAGTTTCCTCTTCATACAGTGGGACAAAAAAGTATTTAGTCAGTCACCGATTGTGCAAGTTCTCCCACTTAAAATAATGACAGAAGTCTGTAATTTTCATCATAGGTACACTTCAACTGTGTGAGACAGAATGTGAAAAAAATACAGGAATTCACATTGTAAGATTTTTAAAGAATTTATTTATAAATCATGGTGGAAAATAAGTATTTGGTCACTTCAAACAAGGAAGATCTCTGGCTCTCACAGACCTGTAACTTCTTCGTTAAGAAGTTCTTCTGTCCTCCACTCGTTACCTGTATTAATGCCACCTGTTTGAACTCGTTATCTGTATAAAAGACACCTAGTGTCCACAGCCTCAAACAGTCAGACTCTAAACTCCACTATGGCCAAGACCAAAGAGCTGTCAAAGGACACCAGGAAAAGAATTGTAGCCCTGCACCAGACTGGGAAGAGTCTACAATAGGTAAGCAGCTTGGTGTGAACAAATCAACTGTGGGAGCAATTATCAGACAATGGAAGACATACAAGACCACTGATAATCTCCTTCGATCTGGGGCTCCACGCAAGATCTCAGCCCGTGGGGTCAAAATGATCATGAGAACGGTGATCAAAAATCCCAGAACCACACGGGGGGACCTGGTGAATGACCTGCAGAGAGCTGGGACCAAAGTAACAAAGGTTACCATCAGTAACACACTACAACGACAGGAAATCAAATCCTGCAGTGCCAGACGTGTCCCCCTGCTGAAGCCAGTGCATGTCCAGGCCCGTCTGAAGTTTGCCAGAGAGCACATGGATGATACAGCAGAGGATTGGGAGAATGTCATATGGTCAGATGAAACCAAAGTAGAACTGTTTGGTATAAACTCAACTCGTCGTGTTTGGAGGAAGAAGAATACTGAGTTGCATCCCAAGAACACCATACCTACTGTGAAGCATGGGGGTGGAAACATCATGCTTTGGGGCTGTTTTTCTGCTAAGGGGACAGGACGACTGATCCGTGTTAAGGAAAGAATGAATGGGGCCATGTATCGTGAGATTTTGAGCCAAAACCTCCTTCCATCAGTGAGAGCTTTGAAGATGAAAAGTGGCTGGGTCTTCCAGCATGACAATGATCCCAAACACACCGCCCGGGCAACGAAGGAGTGGCTCCGTAAGAAGCATTTGAAAGTCCTGGAGTGGCCTAGCCAGTCTCCAGACCTCAACCCCATTGAAAATCTGTGGAGGGAGTTGAAAGTCTGTGTTGCTCGGCGACAGCTCCAAAACATCACTGCTCTCGAGAACATCTGCTTGGAGGAATGGGCCAAAATACCAGCTACTGTTTGTGCAAACCTGGTAAAGACCTATAGTAATGGTTTGACCTCTGTTATTGCCAATAAAGGTTATGTTACAAAGTATTGAGTTGAATTTTTGTTATTGACCAAATACTTATTTTCCGCCATAATTTACAAATACAATCTTTAAAAATCCTACAATATGAATCCCTGGATTTTTTTTTCACATTCTGTCTCTCACAGTTGAAGTGTACCAATGATTATTTTAAGTGGGAGAACTTGCACAATTGGTGGCTGACTAAATACTTGTTTGCCCCACTGTATGTTTTTCACAAGTTTAAATACACTAGCATGTACTTTGGGGTCAAAGCCATTAAGATTCCTCTTACAAGAAGCAATAAAACTCATGTTGTCACTTCAAAAGAAGGGAATCATAGATGTTCCCATGTTCCCTGACCTAAAGACCAAAGCACTTTTGGTTGCTATGCAAACAGTATTAACAGTCTGTTTCTATGTGATCTGAACATATCACACACACAGGAGTTATTCTTATGAAGAACAGAAATCCAAACAGGTCAGCCTGTGTTTAAAAATATGCATAAACAGGTCAAACATTGACCTGTTTTTACAATGAAGTACTGCACTGCATTAATGGTAATGTAAAGCATGGTGAGGTAAAAGCACCTTCATTGTAGTTTTAATTATTCTCCTCCACCAATGTGGGGAATGTGATATTCACAATCCAAGAGACAAAGAGCTGTGCTGCCCAGAAGAGACACGTTTCCAGGTGAAACATGAGTGCACTGTCTGCTCACATTCATGGTTGATCATTTGTCAAAGCGGCATGAATGTTTGCAAAGCTCCAGCTCAGTGGTAATAGTTACCATTGCCACTGTCTGAGCGGTAGTTACATAGGATTTCTATAGTAACGATGGGAGGTAGCAGAGGATAAGAGGTGAATATGCCACATTGGGATATAGTGAGCTACCTGGTATTTGCACTCAATTATTGTACATACTGTCCCTGCACATACTGTTCTTAAAACATGACATAAGAGTCGTACTTGGAGCCTTGTTTAATTTAACATGATTCTGCAGAGTATGCAAAGGTACAGCTGTTTACCCAAACAAACTCATTAGGGCACCTGCTGTGATGTGTTCCCCTCTAAACCTAAGCCATGTGACCAGTGATTTTGAAAATTGAAAGCATGCAAACAATAAAAAAAAAAGATAAGTAGTCATAAATATTACATTTCTTATTGTTCTTATCTAGCATCGAGAAGCAATGACATGACATAAACGAATATGCTCAGACATACGACAGATGAAACTGTCGCCAAACTTACCCTATAAAACGCAGTCGACAGGGGAAGCAGTGCAGCAGCCACTGTGAACTCTTCTGATGTGGAGCAATCCTGAAAAAACAAAAACAAAGAGTGGAATATTAAGATCTCTTTCTAAAATATTATAAACCTGGAAAAAATATACATTTTAAGCACCATGGATCTAGAGCACCTACTATAAAGTTACTGGTAAAAAAGTTACTAATATATGTTACCCAATCTGTGTGCTTCCAATCTGCTTATATAATCTTCTCCTTGACACAACTGTTGAAGCACTTCTGTCACCAATTTATTGGTAATCTTCTCTTTGGCTTTCTTGAATTAAATGAGAGAGTCTGTTTTCATGACCAAACCATCCGTCCTTCTGGCTAGACAAAGGATTTAATAGTCACAGCAGCCATAATGATTCAATTGAAAAATGCCAATATTATTTCTTATAAAAACCAATTGTATTTTAATATAATTGGTTCACAAATCAAACTCAAACTACTTTTTTTTCTGGGTCAGTAAGAGGTGGTGTTTAAAAGTGCTTTCTAGAGAAAATAGTTGCATTAAAGGCTTTAAGAAAAGTTTTGTTAGAGCCCCTAAAACGAAACTAAAAGACTAAAAGAATAAAACACCACAATTTGACCTCATCCACAGGATATTAGTACTTTTGGGAGGAAAGCTTTGAGATTTTTTTGCTGAACCTTTGAGTTGCCAGAGGATATTTTTCTTAAATTTGAAAAAAAAAAAAAGGTGAAATAAATAACCAAGTTATTTACATGGTATCACAGTCATTGGGAGGATCACAAAGGAATGTATTTCAAATGTATTAATCAAGAAAGGGAAAACAATGTACAGACAGAAAAATGCAAAACACGAGATTGGCTGCGGCAACAGATGAAAGCAGCCTCCCTCTTCCTGCCCCCCATGGACTGAGCCACGTGGGATATGCAATGTTTTTCCTAGCGTTTGCACTGGGGTAAAAATTTCCAGCTTGGAGCAACACCAATTCATTGTTTACAAGCATCCTTAAAAATGTGGAAAGTCGTAGGGTCACAAGAGATAAAGGTCACGAGCAAGTGGAGCCATTAAAACTACTAACTTCTAAACTATTTTTAATGATTACACTGACAGAAATGTGTTAAACTCTTGAAAAAAAAAAAAAACACAGAGCTGCTTAGCCGTTTCTAGCAATGTGAGGATCCTGTGCGAGAAATGTCCCTTTGTTTTGCCTCAAAATTAACATCAATGCTTTTATATCACTTTCATATGCAAGTACAATAAAATACAAGCTCAAATAACAAAGCCAAAACAGACACAAATACATTTCTCTATAGGACAATATGCTTTTTGATCAAGAGAATTATACTCATTCATTGTATCAACTAAATACGTCTAGAACCTAAAACATTTTTTCTTCATTTTCAGTTCGATCTAATTGGTTGAGTTTAGGTGAAACTGCAAGCGGCTGCGTTTTCACTGCGTGACTGTAAATAAGACTGAGTAATTTCCTCCTACATTTTAACGGTGCTTCTTTCCTGTTCCTTTCGTGGAAAACACTAACTTGTTCATTGTCACAGATTTGAACATTAATATTTCTTGAAAAAGTAATAAAAGAAATTATTCTTTAGCAATCGGTCACATGCAGCAGAACCGGTTGTGCTCTCAGAGGCTCCACTGTTTCCCATTAGGGGAGGAACACTACAGCCGCCCCTCATCGTCTCATTTTACGCCAATATCCTCAAACATGTTGAGCTGTAAATTCATACAACACAATAATAACGTGTATTGAATCAGTAGAATTTTTTTTATTGAATACGACAAGCACCTTAAAGAAGATATACTATGCATTATTTTTGTCAATTTAAAATGAGACCATTTATTTAATTTCATATGTTAGAAAATATATGGTGAAGCAAGCATGAAGGGTAAATAAATTAAAATGATGAATTATGAGGTGCGAATACAGCCATGTGATTGTAAATAATGTAATTCCACCTTCCACCCAACAGTAAAAACACTTTTGTATTAAAACTCTGAAAAACTACTTTGAGTGTGATGTCTTTGAGTTACATATATGTGCTAGAAGTTCCTGATATTTGCGTGGATGGACCTTAAACAACCCCAGATCTGTTCTTGACAAGAGGAAGAATGTTGTAACATGGTTAACAGTTGAATAAGTTGATTTTGCATATAATTAATTTTGTGTCCATTAAGTTGTATTCATACTGGACTCATAATTGCATAAAACATGTGTTTGGGAAACAGCGATCAAAGTAATTCACACACACAGACATCTACTGTGGTCATGTGAGTAGTGGCGTCCTGTTGCATGCTTTTCCTCCCATTATCTCTACAGTTTGTCTTGGAATGATATGCTCTATTTGCAGATCTCTAGGAACTGCTATAGTGACTAATGTAGTGCTGTGACTTTTAACACGTAGTAAAGCTTGAAGTGGATATGAGTTTTCTGTCATGTCAACTCCCAGTCTGCCTGATAATTGTTTTTATAGCATGCATTGAAAACAGACTATACCAAGAATCGAGTTGTTTTATGGACAAATACACATTGTACTACCATACATTGAAATGGATGTCGCTTTTTACCTGCTAAAACTGGTGCTAATATGGAGAAACTAATTGGGGAAAGGACATGGGAATCATTGTCCGGCCGAATTCCCAGTAGACAAGTTGATCCATTAAACTGACTCAAAAGGCAATGTTCTCTCAGCAAGATACTTATTTATGGGTTTAATTTGGTAGAGAAGTAATGAAATAAATCATTATGTATTGTGAAGAGAAATTAAAAATAATGAAGACAGAAGGAATTTCAACTAGACGCTTTATATAAAAATACATTTAAAAAAAGATTTTTATAACCACATTGTCCCAGCTCATTTACCCATGTAAAGTTGCATTCAGAATGTTTAATACACTTACGTCATCATTTCCAAACATCACTTCTATTGCTCTCAAAAATCTGCTTTTAATCTGACCTAAAAGTTGTGTAAATGGGTAGCCAGACCAGCCAGAAACACACAATTCAGATGCTAAAGTCTGGATCTCTGAGCTGCACTTTGCATGGGCACTTTGAAAAAAAAAAAAAAAAGTATGCACATGCATTCAGCTCTTTCATCCTGTGAGTGTAAATCTACTCCTATTATCTGTGTTGGAATTTCATCAAAATGAGGCCCTGTTTATACTGAGACGCTGCGCAGACGTTTCCAGGCTATTAACAGAAACGACCTGGCTCCTAATGCAAATTTCTCAGCGTTCGAATGAGGTTGAAAAAAGATGTAGTTCTAGCGCCCGGCCAGTAGTGGGCAGAGAAACTTTACAACACTCACACGACCCCCAGCCCCCCTCCCGGCAGTATACTCACTTCCTGTGCCAGACCCTCAGAACGCACCAACATCATTCTACCTTATAACAGCAGATGTAAAAATGGAAAGTGAACCAAGAGCTTTGCGTGGTCTCGTTTGGACGAACGAAGGAGTAGAATTATCCTCTGTGCTGTGCTTGAAGGCCACGAAGCTAGTTAGTTTACCGGCCGCCATTGTTGTTTGTGTTTGTTCTCCGCTACTGCGCATGTCCGAATTTACGTGCGGGGAGCAGCGCTGAGGTGGGGGTCAGAGCAGAGGGGGATTTCACACCTTTTTCCCTCTCGCGGGTGTGAAAGAGCTCCCCGCTGTGCAGCGTATCTGAGCTGTCCCACTTTGCAGGCTGGATCTGAACACTTACGTTTTGACCCCCCTGGAACACAGTCTTCATGTGAATGGCAACCGACATTCAACTATACCGTTTGACTGCCACATTGTCTCAGTGTAAACTCAGCCTTAGAGGCTGCTTTGGATTTGGTACTTCCTTGTCCTTCCTTGAGCTTCAAAAGTGACATTAAGACTCGTTTGGTCCAGTCAAATTTAACACAATTTAAAAATATATTCACACTGACACTTTGGTCAAATTTATGCCACAAAGGTCAATTTAAATAAAGTATCAAATTGAATGCGTGGATGCAAGGTTTTGTGATCTGTTATTGGTTCGCCAGATTTTCTGCTTGAGATTCTGGGAACAAATGAGGCTGATCTCAGACCCTTCTGCTTTCACATGTGTCAGAAAGTAGAGGGTCTGGCCTGTCAAGAGAAATCTAACCCTAACCACAGAAAATAATTTTCTTGTAATATTGTAATATTTAATTTTTTTCATTGTATTCAATAATTTTGTACTCGTTTATAATAATATATATTGCTCATTTGTGTCCTATTCCTATGTCCTATTGGGTAAATGGCCGCTCGGAGCATGCACCATGAGGCCTGAGACCACGAGTACAGAAGACTCATAATCCTATCGGACAGGAAATGGTTGAGATGCCAGGACACATCTACACAGCAGGACGCATTCCCCCACATGGCTTGCGCAAGTCGACTTCCCAAAATAAAAATGGGAGGGAAAAAAAGCATGTGTGCACACGCCAGCACTAATCAGCAATTAGATTAACAAACATAATGAATAGGTCATTATTTCACCTAAAGTTTGACAGATGCATATTTCAATAGTACATGAAGAAACTGCCATTGAAATCCTGGTATTGCAAAACTGTTACACAAAACTAATTTTTAGGTTTTTTTATGCAACAAAAATGTAAAAGAAAAAGCTGTACCTTAGACAAGGTACAGAGAATCACCCCGTTAACCTCTGGCCTTTTCTACATTTCTCAACTGCAGACGTCTCTCCACACGCTAGTGGTCTGGTTCATCACACTGAGCTGTCATTTAGCCCCGAGCAAATCGTTAAACTATAAACTGTGTATCAGTCAAGATAATGATATGGTTATTGTGCTGGAACGTGTCATATGTGCCAGCGATACTAATGAGGCATCATGTTGTCACTGTTCTGAATGTGAAGGCAACATTTTTGGAGGAAAAGGTCATTTTGGCCCCATCAGGCACTGAGATGTCTCACATGAAGCCAATCGCATGCAGCTGTTAGCACAAAGACACACACACATACGCACAGACGCACAAACACACACACAGGTTCTTATCTGACCCCACACTGAAAGAAAGGGGAGAGTGCACAATATGAAAGTAATTATAGCCAAGCTATTTACTAATATTGTTACTTTACAGTTCCTTTAGTTTATTGAGACAATGTTTGAGCAATAAAAAGCAGTCATTTAATAAATGCAAGAAAAAGGATGCCACAATTTGGATAATTCCAGGAAAAACTATATAAACCCTTTCCATAACATGTGGATTGGTTCATTCAGTTACAGTTGCGTTTGATGTTTTTTGTCTGTTCTTATTGTTTTTGTCCTTGTCCTGGACCTGTGTATGTATTTGCATTTGTTTTCTGTTGTTTAAAAAAATTATTGAATACTTTTCTAAATGTCGATTGTTTTTTTAAGCATTGTGCCCTAAATAAAAAATTTCACGCTGTAGTTGGTGGTTGGCTCCTGTTTCATAATGATGGAACAAATGACACCTTAAATGTCCAGCTATCGGGTAGGTTGAGAGATTAATTGGCTTTTATCAGTTTGAGGACAGAGACAGATGAGGAATGGCAGGAATCTCAAGTCACTCTATAAAAGTTGCACTTTGTAGAGACTTTGTAAAAGTATTAAAATACCCAGGAACACGCTGATGCCATGTAATAAAACCCAAGGAACCACCAATAAAGACTGGTTTGTGCCGGTCCAGTACAGCCTCTGTGAGTCTTTATGAGCTATGCAAAAACATACTGACACAGTTTGACGTGGCACCAACAATTATTTTTGTCAAAGCAGAGAAAAACAAGAGATTGTGTATTACATTGTATATCAACATGCTATGAAGACTCACCTGGAGAGCACAGTTCATCATTCGAATTATGTAGTCGAATTGTTGATGGTCGAGAATTGCACGATTCTGCTGGACGTGAAGGCGCAACTCTTCAGTTAGACAATGTCGGGCCATTTTTCCTTTGAGAGCCCGCAACGCAGCAGGTAGGGTCTGCAGAGGGAATATTTGGTTAGTTATTTCAAAGAATAATATGTTTATAATAGGCTCCTACCATTGATCATTAATATGGTTAAATAAATCCAAACATATGTTAGCAGAAATGTTAATATAGAGGAATGCCGGAGTGTGTAAAACCCTGCTTTAGGTAATGCTATTTGCCCCAACCATTTGCCTGTAAAAGATTTATAGCCTCATGGGGGGCTGAGAGGATGTATGGGATATGCATTCTTACATTAACACTGTAATGTAGGAATGGGTTATATACTGTAAGTGCTAAATAAAGCACATGGGAAGTGTTTAATAAATTGTTCGAATCCCATTTGAGATATATGAACAAGAACTGGTGTTCATTGGACAGCAAATAAGCACCGGTTTAAGAATACTTTACATTTCAAAGCAAAATACGTCAACAATAAATTATTGTTCAAGCTTTTCTTTTATAATCCAATAGACTTTGTGCTGCTTTGGCGCCTAAAAGGACCATTACAGAATGTTTAATGATTGTAAAGAGTAATAATCCAACATATGGTCAGTATAATCAATAAAATCAAGTTGTCCATCTTGCACAGTAAATCAATCAACTGAATATTTGAAAAACAATTATTCACTTATTGGCTTTACTCTAGGTGTGCCAGCTGGGAGACATTAGACTAAAACAAACAAGGACATATGCGTGAGGCCACACAGCACGACTGCCCAGTGCGTTGCATAAACTTTGCCTTCAGCTAATAAGAACCTCTCCAAAAGGTTGATTAGCTGCAATTTAACACATGTTTTTGCATTACCTTCTCTGTCTCGAGGGTCTTGTTCTCGAAGATTAAGGAAATGCAGTTCCTCACCACCTCAAGTCTTCGTGCGCTGTTGAACACCGAGCCACACTTTCCCATAAAAGACACTGCAATTTAAAAGTACATTTATCAATGCTGTCATAGACTCTTGATAGACCATAACAATACTTTGATCAGTTTCGTACCAACGGCCGGCCCAGCGGGAACCACACACTTCTTCTCTGGTCGCGAATAAGCCGGTGTGCTGTTGTGCTTTGCCACGGCTTCCTGAAGCTGCGTCTCAATCTTTTCATCGTCCAACAATGGGAAAGGGACCAGATGAACCCGAAGGTGAGAGCCCTCTGACGGCCGAGGCACTTTCTGAAAAGCCATGTGTGGATTTGGGTTTTCCTGCAGAGGAAATTAACAATGCCATTGAATCCAGCACTGCAGAATGAGTGAATAAATGGTTAGACCTTACATTTTTAAAGAACTGCTCAGATAAGTCCCTGATTCGTTTTTGCAGCTTGATAGGACTGATTACCTCTTCTTTAAAGTTTTCAATATCTAAGGCCACCAGCTGAAAAAAAAGAGCAATAATTATTAACGATTCAACACAAATCATTTGTATAAATACAATAGTGAGATAATTAAGGGTTGTATATTTTAACAGTTTAAAATGGTCCCATCACGGTGCAATACCTCATCAAAGAGATCACAAACTCTGTAAGGCGGCCCTCTCTCAGAGACAAAGCCAGCGAAGGCCATGCCATCCAAAACCTTGGCCAGAAAATCACTCTCGATGAGGCCCCTCTGGCCCAGGAAGGCAGTCTGTGTAATGTCAGAACAACTTTAGAAACAATCTCACACAGATGGAAGCAATATAAGGAAGATCTATGGACATATTGTCAATTGAATGCAAACGCAGAGATGTTTGCATCAGTTAAAATAAAAAATAACTTTGCGGGGGTCTTGAGGTCAACATGTTTTTTGTATTGAAAGCATAAACATGTCTACAGCCCAGTTAAAAGGGCAATACATCTAACCATAATAACTGGCAATATCTAAATATAAATCTATTTATCTTAAGTTTTAGCATTCATCCTTTCGGTGAGAATAGATTAAAGACTTCAACCCTTCACCCTCTCAGAATTTGGAGGCAAACAAGCATTTGTTTATAATCTGATCCATGTGGGGTCCACAGAGGACGATCTTCTAAAGGCTTACCACGGAGACAACACAGACACAAACAAACTAAAACCCAGCACCAAACAAAAATGTTAACCTAATATGTTTCATATGGCTCCAAGCCGGGTTTTGCCCAAGGTTACAGGAGTGTAGTCTGAGCCGTGCGTAAACAAAAGGATAGCCTCAGTCACGGACGTGCGACAGCGCATCTACTTTATTCAGCACTGACAGGTTTAGCTAGACATCCATGACCAAAAATATGAATTATTTAGTGTGAACTCAAAACATTAGAGAAAATTTAAACTTTATTTGATTAAACTGTTTTGCAGTTGCTTTACCTTGTGAAAGTGAATAACTGGTTCAGAGTGGATGCGAATTAGTTGCAGACAGGACCTGTATCCCTGAAAGAGCTGCGCAAACAGCCGGAGAAAGACGGCACGCACCTCCTTATCCTGAAACACACACCGCACTCATCAAACAGCTGCGTCGCAGAATCATTACTCAATTAAACAAAGAAGCAACCATTTTGAATACGTACACAGCTAAGCGTAAACACAACTTACCAACAGTTTAATGTTAGAAGGTGAAGTGCGGGACGGAGGGAATGCATTGTCTGCTATCTCCAAATCAGGGTGCAAAACCTTATGAAAAAAACAAAACACATTACAACACTCATTAGAAAACAAAATGCAATATACTTTAAACAATACATAACAGAAGTCTCAATCATATGTGCAAAAAAGAAAAAGACCAAGCCAGGGTGCTTACCAGGGACAGAGCAGTCTGTGTCTGGTGTAACAGTGGTTCAGGCAGAAGAGACAAGTGGATACACTCAGGAATCTTTATGGTCCCTCCATCCAGGTCAGCAATAATGACATCCAACTGCAAGATTTAGGGACAGGTGGAATGTAATTTAACTAACATTTACAGCAGAGAACAGCCAAACTCTACTGAAACAAGCTAAATAAACATTTCACACCAAGGGGGCTTACAAGAATGTTTTAACAGTGTTAAACATTGCATTTACCAGATCCTGAATTTCAGTTTGAAACATGGAGTGGACGCCAATGATAAAAGGAGTGGGTGAACTCAACACTTCCAGGAGCCGGGAGGGCAGAATGGGGATGTAAGGATAGCTGTATCAGACACAGAAAGTTCCATATGAGCAACTATCACATTTCAAAAAAACACATGCATGATAAATTATATAAGAACGTATACTAAGTGGTCGTCTAAGTTCCACATCAAAATCCCATCCTTTAAGCTGGAATACCTAAATGTTTTGTTCCATAAATACGTTCTGGTTATCCCAACAGAAAGAGTCTTGTTTGAAACAAGTAAATTTAACACATTAGATCACAACATGCCGTCTTTATCTTATTAGAAAATTAGACCTGGTTCCTACCACAACTTAACACACTTTAGATGTGTTTATGAGTTAGCCTCAGGATTAGCCACACCCTAATCCTGAGGCTAATAGGTTATAATTCTCAAAAGCGCGGTCTGAGATTTCATTCCCTTGAAAACGTTCTTTGGATTAAGGACGAAACGTCGGGAAACCCTGCTAAGAAGTACAGATGATGGGAGAGAAACCTTCCTTTGCTTATTAGAAAACATATCTTTTACATGCTGAGAGCTGATTGGCTGAGTGAGGCTGGTACACTCTTTATCACTGAAGAAGAGGATCTATAGAGACCAAAGATACATGAATGTGAAAACTAGTGATAGAACCAAATAGTCAGAGAGCGTATTATTGTGATTTCAAAGTTGGGTACTCGAGCTTTAAAACAGAGCATTATTTAACTAGATTAATGTCCAAAAGGAAGAAATAAACAGGAACAACAATGATTCATGATTTACAATAAGATTCAAAGGGAAATTTCTTTAGACACTTCAGGTCAGACGAGGGTATATTTGCTAAGCAGATAAGTATTTGTAAAACAAAAAAAACAAAAAGAGTGAAATAGGTTAATCAGACACGCGCCATAAAAATCAGGGAGCCGAGGTGGTAGTGGAAATTCACATGAGATGCCATCTGCAGCCTGTGTGGAGAAAGGGGCACTTGCCTGTATTTGAGAGGGAACATGAGGGCTTCCAGGGCTCGGCACGCCTCGCCGAGCCGCTGGTAACTAGTGGAGTGAAACAAGACCTTGTGCTCAGTCAGAACCGCACAGAACAGGCTTAAGACGTTAAGGATTCCTAGAACGGAAAACAAAACACAGGAAACAATAAACCAAGCGATTCAAAGATTGAGAAGAGCATCAAATCCACACTCTTAATGAACGAGTATAGAACCAACTTTAGTAAGTACTAGTAGTAGTAGTAATCTTTATATACATACTGCCTTTCACAGACCAGAGTCACAAACATTTTAATATTAGCATTGTACATTATATTCAAGTAAATGATTTGGGTTATTTCAGAAAATTAAGAAATACCTAGAAACAATACCATGTGTTTGGAAACTTATTTATGAAATACTTGAATCATGTAAAAACCACCCTGTCTTATACATACTGTGTGTTTATCAAAATGTATTCCTGTTTTTGTTTTCTACTAAGTATCATCAGAGTGGTTTATCACACATAATGTAGATAAAGAGGAAACTCCACAGACAGAGCGCCATGGGATGTTTTGCCACATTTTGGCGATAAACAGGAAGACAATCTGAAGCGTGAATAAAAACTGAAGTGAACATGTCAGTCTGAACGAGCAAAGCTTGTTGGTCTAATTTGGTGCAGCTGCTCCAGATGCTGCTGAGAAACTATTTTTGGAAACATTTCTGGGAGGTAACCTGCGTTTCTCATTAGACCGCCTAGGCTCCTGTTCACAGTAACACCTAGTGTACAGGTGTATGCTCATCTCGTCACATTTCCGAGCCCACAAAAGTGCAGCAGGGTTGACTCGTGGTGGCCGGTTTTATCTTGCCGCCGGTAGATGAACTTCCTGTTTAGTGCGACATGTTAGACACACATTCCACAGCAGTGACTGAGTGACCTGTGCACAAAGTGTTGACCTGTCTATGTTCTGCCCTCTGTGCGCCCATATAAGGAAGTGTGGGTGAGCTCATGAACACCCCTCTCCGAGTGTATACGTGCAGCTAATCAGCTGACATGACATTATGTCCTTTAAGCTTTCTCACACAATTCAGTTTGAACTCTGAATGAGTCTGTTGAGATTTTGGGAAATGAAGACATGGACCTTTGACTCATAACTCAAAAGGTTTTCGTCCAAGAGGAGTTATCCTTTTTTATTTACTTATAGGTTTATTTACTGTAAATGACAACGACATGGCCATACCATTTTTAGACATTTTGAATGTTTAATAAAAAATTTGATATTGTAGTATTTATTATCCAAAGCCTTGAGGAAACTGATAATAGAGGATAATATAATATATGAAACAAAATTATGTGGGGATGTGATAATACATACATAGCCTGCCAACAAGATGGATCATCCTAAAATTTGAATGGGCTCTTTCTACCATCACATCCCATTTACTCATCAAATTTCAACTCAAACCGTCAAATGGTTTGGCGCAATACTACCTAAAGACACACACATACAAATACAATACCTGGCAAAGTGACAAACACTGATTTTTCCAAGTTACTCGGGCAAACTGTACAGTGCACAAACTGGTGACTATCCAAACTACATTATCAATATATCGCTCACACCTTGCTCACAGGTGTAAGTTTATCCATACTTACATTAGAAAAACAAACACACATTAGAAAAACAAACACACATAAATAGATTTTTCATGACAGAATATGGAAGTGGAAACTTAATGTACAAACTTTAGCATAATCCACCAACTATGCAAAGAAAGTTAACAGACTGCATCAAATCTTCATCATGTGCTCGTTCTCAGAGTAACCAGCACTGATGGGACAACGTCTAAACCACATAATCAGCCTGAGGCCAAGAAAAGAAGTAAACTTTGGATCATTGCGAAAGTCATATTAGATGCCATGTGATTTCTACAGTACACAACAAAGGCCATTTGAGTGTGACCTAAACATACCTAAGAGCTTCAGGAATGGTAAGTACATGTCAGAAACTAACATGCTTTAAAAAAACGAAAAATATAATTATGAATGTAAAGTGAACACACCCAACTGCTGGAAAAGCATAGCAACACTTTTGCCTGTAACAGGCAGAGTGTCATTGAGAGGCGTCTGGATGAGCTGCCTGTCTCCTGCTCCGAGGCTGAACAACTTCTGTGAAGACACACAGAGAAACACACAGAGGTTGTGGAAAACCTTCATCTATCACTTGTTGACAGTTTGAATGACACTCTTAACATCTGAATTTATGACCAGAACAGTGGCAGAGTTCTTTCACAAAAGAATCATACAATATAATATTGGTATTTATTGAATTATCATGATTTTACTATTGTTATTATTGTTTTGATTATCATTGTTGACAATGATTCACGCATGATCCGGTGTCCATGCCCCACATACCTGTATGTATATGTGTGAGTTTTACAGCCTTCAGGTAAATCGATCAAAGTTTATTTATAAAGTGCTTTTCATACAGGAATTCACTCGTGTTCATACAGTTAAACAAAACATATATTTTAGCAGCTAATTTGTGTTTCAAAGACATCGTCTCTGGCTGTAGATAATCCCTATTATTTAAAAGTAATAGTTTACCTGTGATCCTCCGGCTACAGGAACCTGGAATGTGAAGAGATTTGCCACGAGTCCTTCCAAAGGGAAATTTAAACTATCGATGTACACAGTGTAAATTAAACCCAGACATCCCTGGCAATAAAAACAAAAGTGTAAACAATTATCAAAAGATTACAACATTAGTATAATTGCATGTAAATCAGTCAGTTGTACTTATGACTATACATTATATAAATGGAAAAGCAGACCCTCCAACTAGGGTTGACCAAAAGTTTGAAAGTCAAATTTATGTATTAAGATTTTTATGATTTTTTCAAAGGTTGTTTTATTTTGTCAGAAGTTCAGGTCCTTAAAACCTGAACTCCACAGAAATCATTGCGGAAAACACAAGCAAATGTATTCTTCTAACTTTATTCAAAGGTAGGCCACGAGAGGTGAACCGCTTTATTTTGAGGGACCACTGTAATTATAAAAATATAGTCAACCCATATTCTGTTTCATATTTAAACTGCAAATATTTTTTGGGAGCAAAATTATCAAAAAAAATATCACAGAGTATCATCTCTAACTGACTCAGCTCTAACACAATTACTGTGCAATATCACGCAAAGCACTCACATCTCCATTCAAACAAAACAAAACATAATTGTATTAAGTTAGGTTATTACCCGGAATATTTCAGGATAATCGAGCCTGGAGACGAGAATAAGACTTTTTGGTGCAAAGACTTCAGCCGGCTGGATCAAACCGTCTTCCTCCTCATCATCTTCCTCGGCTTCAATATTCTTTGATCCCTAAAAACACAGAAAATAATTCTGTTTGGGTTGAAGAGTTCAGAAAGATAGAAGATGGAGGTATAAGCTGCTCACGTGTACATTTCTGTTCTGCTACAAGAGGAAAAACAAACCTCACAATAGATGTTTTTTGGAGAAATACAAGTGAAAATGAAGGCACACCTAAAAATGGAACATTGCTGGATTTTTTTTATGACAGGATATTTTTTTTTAATTTAGGTTTTTATTAGAAAGAGGCAGCCAAAACATGCCTTGCTTATGTATCTGGGATTTATGCGATACTCAGACAGCCGACTGTGGTCCCATTTCACCATTATTCTCCATTATTCAAGGACTGAAATAGAAAAGGCATTCCTCAAGCATCTACCCACATTCTTGCTGGAGTCTCGTTGAGGAGATAAGGACGTCCATTTTGGAGAGTTAAGCTTGTTCAAACAGCCTCACGTTTTCTGAACATCTTCATCAACAGAAATCTGTGTTTGCTTTACTGGCACATGCCGTCTGCACCAGACAAAGATAGAATCAATTAAAATGAGGCAGATACGTAAATCATGGCAGTATCTCGGGGGTAAACCATATAAACATATGCAGTATTTGGGGATTTTAGTGGACAGTCTGAAATGAAAAGCAGGGTGGGGTCAAAACATAGACCAGCAGTGCTTTTTTTTTAACCACACTATTTTAATTTATAAAGAGATTACAATTCCATTTGGAGCATGAGAGAGAAAACAATTTTTTTAGATGAGTTTCATTTTACATATTTAACAAATAAATCACATTTCTAAACTTTAATGACTGCATAATTCATAAAGGTGGAAGAACAAGGTTTAGATGTGATCCTGAAACTGTTACGAAAACAATACTTCGCCCAATTAAACCCAGTTTTATCGACAGAAACTTAAAGACCATTTGGGGATTTGTACTTTTCATGTGGTTAAATATAAATCCTTCCCATTCAAATTCTCTCTCAAATGCATTGTGAAATCAGCACGACTCATGAAATGTGTTTCAAGTGCTGAAAACAAAAACAATGTCCCGAAATGCAATACAAATGTTGCTGATTTGACTACTTTATTTACGTAAATGGCGTTAGAAAAAACATTGAGAGAAAGAGGAAAATGTGGTGAAGAATTCAATTTAAAAGAGAAATTCTATTTAAAAAACAAGACGAGAGAGGGATGATGTGCTGCTACCAAAATATATCAGAATTTAGCACGAGTGATTGAATTAGAAAAAGGGCACGCTGTTCCATGGCCATCAGTAGCCAGATCATAATTACACAGCATGAAATTAGATTGCCCTTTACATTAAAATCTCCTGCCTTTAGAATGTTATCAATGCACAAGGTTGTTAATGACAAGACTATTTGTGATTCAATGCTCATAATGTCTGTTTTAAGAATAGAAAGAAAAGAATACGAGTTTTTAAGTTGGGAGACTCAAGGTTGAGTTGAGTGTTTGTTTATTTCGAGTTCAATGTACATCAAATCATCCATCTACAATTACTCATTATAATACTGAACATCATCCACAATCGTAAAGGAGTGGGAGGTTAATATGTTATTGTCCTCATTCAGAATTAGCCCCATCCTTCCCATCGCTATTTTTTATCAGACGCAGTGGTTGCCGTGGGAACCCATCTCTTATTTTAAATTTTAAAGCCACCCAGACACATCAAAACTCATCATATAAAGGAAAATTGAGGCTCTTTCTGTCATATTTTTTGCTTGGAAGAGGAAATGTGCCTAAAGTGCTTTGCCCGAGGACACAGCCGTAAGCACCTTGGTGACGTGTATTGGCTTGGCTCCATAGAGAGGTTCATACCTGCAGATTGACTTCGGCCTCATAGAAGGTAAGGCAGGAGCAGTAATGTCGGTCTGAATCTATGTCCGTCAACACAACTGTGAAGAAGCTGGGGATCTTCCTCTCTCTGGACAACATCCACCCGCTTGGCTGGCAAAACTGTAAACACACAAACATAACTGTAAACGGGAGCAAGTTGAGCAGATTATTTTATATTAGGCAAAAAAAAGCCTTCTTCCATGACACATAAACATTTTTTTTTGCTTTGTATGTTAATATATTTGATTACTTGGATCAAATGCACAATTCACACAATGCTCAAACAAAAAAATCATTCATCATCAAAAATCGTCATTCTTTTTTATGTTGACGGTAAATAAAGTCAATAAAACATGATTAGATTTGCCTTCATTACGCACCAGTGGGACTAAAATAGGATCAAGGAAGAAGAGGACAAATGTAGAGGAAAGGAATGAGTGAAAGAGAGGAAGGGAGACCGGGAATGCTCCATCCTACAGCACATACAATAGCACTCAGGAAATCTGCTGAGGCGGCTCAGAGTGTGTGCGCTCGCGGGTGCTCAGCAACAAGCCAAGGACAAGTGCGGATAACTGTGATCCTGTCCAAAACTATTCCAAATATGTCATTCATTGTTGTCCTGAAGAAGAGATAAGCACCTTTGGGAGCACATACCAGCTGAGATCAGCCGAGATATAACATCCTGTGTATATATGTAGTGTATACTCGAGGATGACCTTCTCTGACCACGTGGATGGGCTATTGTAGAAGATGTAATTGACTTCCTGTATTTGAAATCACAGTTTTCTTTTGAACGACTATTGGAAGATCACAGAGAATGGCTAGACAAGAGCATCAACACACCAGCATTTAGCAGCAATGATTAGCATGAAACGTTTATATTGGCAAAGAACATGAACCACGCTACCCAACCGGACACAAGTCCGTTTTTTTTCACTCTCCAGTATCGGGTTTATGTGGTTACATTTATGTGCCTTAACACTTACAGTATACTAATAGGATTGGGTCAAACTGGTTTATGTACATTTTGCTCAACTAATATATACAGTTCTCTCTCTCCTCTCATGTAAATCCACTTAAACATTGCACAGTAGCATCCGATTAAAGGTCTGTTTACAACTGCAAAACAATTGAAATGAATTAATTGACTGATGAGGGATCACAGAGACACATAGACATATATATTGGTAGACAAGTGAAAAGACAATATTTATGAAAAAAGTTTTACAGAGCTCCAGACTAAACCATAATCTGACTTTTTTCTCAAAATGTGCATTGAAAATTGACAGACAACAATCATGGGGCTGAAGAAGAACTGAGCCAACTGGGTAAAATACATCTCTTCTTTCACCTTTTATATTGCACAATTAATGTTAAGAGTTTGATCCTGGCTGTTTGTGTAGTATATCAAATTCCTAGAAAAATAGAGAAGATTGAGATAAATATTGCTGAGCCATACTCCAGACTGCTCAATATTTGCCGTTCTTTCTGCCTTATGAGAATTTTAAGCAATCAAAGGTTTTTGCATTGAATATGTAGATTAATAGCATTTGGCTCTAAACTTTGTGCTTGAGAGTAACAGGTGCAGAGGGAAGGATGACATTTTGCACATCACAAAGAAGGAAATAGACACCACTTAATCCAACATTAGCTTTTAGTCAAGTGACTCAACAACACACTTTGCATTGATGTCAGAGCAGGGTACAGGGTTACCCTCCGGCTAAAGCCCTCACCATGTGATGGCCAGTGATACACGAGCTCCAGTCTGATTTGCTAAATGTCGTCAAAACACAGCACCAGAGGGGGAAATATGGGCTGAAAAACCTTCTAGCATTCGTAACATTAAAAAAGAGACATCAAAAGAGGCATCATTTGTGGTTTTGGTAACTAATTCAATTCAGATTCAATTTAGAGTTTCGTAGAAAAACTATTACTGGAAATGATTTAAAATTAAGTAATAGTGAAGAATGGTTTATTTGTGAGAAGCAAATTAAATGTTCAAAACAATAATCCAACAACAATTATTGTCACCTGTATCTTACCAGGAACCAGCCATTTTAGTGTCATTGATTTAAAGCCAGGATACCTAACTTTCAAACCACAAAAACTTGAACAATGTAATCAAATCAAGCCCTTCTCTCTCTCAACAGTATGGTTTGATCACTAGTTTCACATGTGTGTATTGCCCCCGTCATTTCTGTAGATCAGCGTTTTCACAGGAAAAAGAAAAGCACGTGTGGACGAGATACTAACAAACTAAATCAACAACACTAATCATCACTCAATCATGACTCTAAACTTTACCAAATTCCGCTTTGAAACATAAGTTATAAGCAAAGTGCTATAGCAAACACCTGGTCATAACCCCCTTTTTATCATGATGGTGCCTTCAAGATAAAGATAACTAAACACTATCCATATTTCATGTTTATTTTACTAGAAATATCCTTTTCTTATCCAAAAATCGTATGTCCGGATTTGCCACTGTTGTGGCATAGAAAGCATCATTACAGATGAGCACTACACACGTCTTTCATTTGGTTCCTCTACATTTGTTCAGAAGGAGCCACATGAACGGAAGAGAAAACAATGAGGGAAAGAGTGAAGTGTTAAGGGCCAAACAAGGACTAGACAGAGGTAAAAAGGTCAGTGGAGTTCGTGCTGTGTCAAAGGATTGAAATTTCTACATTGCTTTATTTCACTTTTTAACGGACGGCCAAATCATGAGATAGGAACAGTGTGCGGAGAGAGAGGAGTCAGTCGTCTATAGGACAGCCATTTCCAAACTCAGTAACACCGAGGCCCCCTTAAAAATCTGACGGGTCTGCGTGGCCCCCCAAAATAATAGCCAAGAAGACAACATTAAGAATAGGCTCTTCTGGTTATTTTATTTTGGGGAAATAGCCTCTGCTACAAACATTGTAATACAAAAATGATTACAGTGGATTATTCAAGTCAAATAATGAACACACATATTTTAATATTACAAACAAAACATTATAAATTTAACATTAAATAATTATATTATTTTTTTATTTTTTTAATGACCTCCCGCGGCCCCCCTGCAGTACCCTCGCGGCCCACCAGGGGGCCGCGGACCCCACTTTGGGAGACACTGGTCTAGGAGGAAGCATCATAAGAAGGCAGAAAGGTTAGCACCCTCGCTTCTCAGCAGGAAGGTCCTTGGGTTTGAACGCTGGTTGCCTGAAGCCCCCGCTGAAAAATTAAGGCTGTGTCGTCACTGAAAGAATACCTCCAGTAGACAGACCACCTGCAGGAGGATCAGTGAGGGGCTGGCGCTCTATGAATAGATAGATATTATAATCCAACTCCGATAGTTTTGACCAAGCCCGTCCCTGGGCGATGTACTACGGTAACCACTGCTCCTTAGAGGCCCTCATGACAAATCCAGAGGACAAAAAGTACAACTAACCTAGCCTGGTCGTACCACACCATAGTACAAAATTACATTTCGTACTAAGGTCTGGAGGTGCTCCATTGAGCTGCGTTTACAGGTGGGAGACATTAACTCCTTTTGCAGATTGAAATGATTGGATCTGAGTTTACCGTGACGTATGTAGTGCGCCCGAGTCTGTTGTTAGCATTTAGCCTAGCCATCTCCTTTACCGCTAACGGAGCCCGTGGGGAGTAGCACCAAATTTTTTTCCAGCGATTACATTTGCTAAACATTCTCCTTGCTCCGGCTTCAATTTCTTGATAGAACCAGACCGGATTACTTTTCTATCGCATTTTCCTCCATTACCAAACTACAACCTGCCCGTTTGACGCAAACTCTTGACATCACCCACAACTAACTACAACACCTGCCTTCCGCGTTCTCTGAATGGTCGGTCGAAATTCAACCGATTGTAATCGCTAACATAGGGACTAGACCCAGACGTTACATGCAGTGAAATGATGATTGAACGGATGTACGGATGGCTAAAGCCAGGCTACAACTAACCTAACGTATCTCTCATTTCAATTATTCCATTTATCCTCTTGTAATCTAATTGTTTTAATTTAGGAAAGTAAAAAATCATGCACTCTGTTTTTGAGTAAGTCCTTATCATCACACATTTATGCTGACAAAATAGTGCGCACACTTGTGGGCAACGTGTCTATTTCTCTGGAATGAACATGAAATTGACAAAAATACGATAATACTGAATAACCAGGGTTTCTTTTATATTCCACCGCAGTTATTGTCCTGTTTAAAACACAGTTTATGTCAGGGCTGCTCATACAAAAGCAAGGTGGGAAGCTCATTCAGAATTCCGCCTCATTGTATGTGTTTTTTGTGTTTCATTGCTACAGCATGAGAAGAGAACTGCGCATCGTACGGGCTTCAGAATAGATTCACATGGAGCCAGTGACGTTTTCATCCACCTCGCCGAATGGTCAGACCTCTTCATAAATCTGAGGTAGATCATGACTCATTGGTTGCTGGAACAGTAGATCTTGGTTTGATAAAGTGTGAGAACCCCTGGTGTATAAGCAAAAAAATCTATAGACTTTGGTGGCACCTACTTTATGGCTTAATTATGCCTTAAAATGAACGATTACGTGTCTCAAATAAAGTGGCATTTTCAAGGAACTGAATATAATCGCTTGATAGATTGTTTTTCGCGTTCGTTTTGCATTTTGATTTTTGATGTTTCACTAAAATTCGTCGTACGTAGGGTTTTTGTATGTCAGCAGTTGTTGCAATATTGAATGTTGAGCCAGTAAAAAGCAGCCGAATAATGCACCGGGCCCTAATAAAAGCCAGTCTACTGTGGTACTGTTTTGTCGATGTCACTAACGTTTTAGAGTCTCTTCAGTGATCCGTTATGCAACAACAGACGCATAAGGTTTACTTTAAAGGTTGGTATTTTTAGCGAGCATTGATTGAACCCAGCAGTTTTAACAACAACAAAAAGACACAGAAAGGCAAAACACTTATGTCTCTATGTGTCTATGTGTGTATAAATATTAATATACACAGTCCAACTTTTGACGGCTAAGATTATTAAAGAGGACACATATTTTTCAATTCAAAAGATAATTAGAACATGACATTTCTGTTAAACTTCAAGGCTGAAAGATCATCACAACATTTAAAATTCCTAAATGTTATC